TTATGCATTGGAGGGCCGGGCTTGCGGAGGGCAGATGCAAATTTCTAGGCGTCAACTTGTGGCGGATTTTCGGCTTAGGGGTCTATGTTAATTAGTTATCCGCTGTACGATTTCTTGCGGGTCTTTTGTTGGGGTTGGTGCACCTGCGGCACTCTCCCTACGCCATACAGGGCACACAAGGTCGTACCAGCTGGAAATAAGGGAAAATGGGTATTGGTAATGCGGATAATAGTCAAGAAGAGACCCATTTGACAATGGTATTTAATTTACAAATTCCATCTATCAATTTTAATTTAACCTAAATGCTTGACTTAAAAAATTTTTCCGTTGCACCAAAAAAGCTCAAAAAATCAGTCAAAAACCTGCCCACTACGCAACTAAAATAAAACAGCATTTAAAATTATCGTAATTTAACAATTTTCGAAACCGTTACTGATTTTTTATAGTTATTGCTTTAATTCTTCACACCTATAACCGCATTAACAACAGATTTTCGATTCCAATACTTCAGTAAGTGGACTTTTGCGACAAAAATACTCAAATAACCCCTAAAATGTCACCGATACTCCCGATCCGTCCGGATACTCTCATGCAGGTAATTTTCGGCGCGGCTGCCCCTCAGCAGTTCAATGATGCTCCCCGTTCGGGCCATTTGCGGGAGTGCAAAGAGCCGGTGCCCAAATTGGAGGCGCTGGCCAGAGTGTGGAGGATGGGGCATTGTACCCGGAGGGTATTGTTTTCGTACGCACTCTTCATTCACACACTGTCCCCAACAGACTCGATGCCGATGAGGGTGGATGGGTCTCTACAGAGCGGCAGGCTGGCGATAATCACAGGGCACCTAGGAGGGGGAGGATGGACGGTTCGGTCAAGTGAGGGCCCCCGAACTGTCGGCACCGACACTTCAACACAACCCCCTATATCTACCACGGAAAACCCATCCCATTCAATGGTGGTGTGGGCCCTTTGGCGGTGGATGGTTGTGTTGGGATGGTCCCGGAAATTGTTCCGGAAATGGTCCGGGTTTGTCGATTGCCGACAATTGAACATGTATTGTTGTTTAAAATGGTTTTCTAGTGGACTAAGAAAGCAGCGCTGCTGAGACCCTATTGTCCTGGAATAGGTAAAAAGTCAAGGAATCACAAGTTATTATAGCATTTTCTCGTTAGGAGGATTGGGCGTACACCCCTAGGGATATCGGTATGTCTATTTTCCCTTTAACCTCTCGTCGCAAATAAGTAAAAAAGTTGTAATACCTGAAGTTACGGGAAATGTCTTCACCAAGAGTGAAAAATATGGTATTTATCGATAGCCGACGGTAGGAAAAGTACGGTAGTGCACCTTACAGTCACTAGTAGTCAGCAGTCGTTACATACCACAAGTTCAATACATATCACAATTCAATGTTCTCCCTTCTGGTCACCAATCGGCTTCCCCATCGAGCCAGGGAAATTCTCACCTTCCCACCATTTTTAAACAGCTCATGGTTTTTTTGAACCGGGAAGGCGCCCTGGGGGTGGTATACGGCCCGAAGAACCAGTTCCCCCGACGCTACGGGCGGGCTTCTTGTGTACCTTAGTCTAGGCTATGTTTAGCCTTTTTTCCTCCCCTTTCTCCCTCTTTCTCTCTCTTCTCACCGCCTGCCAATGGCAGTTTATGCCTCCTCCTCCCCCCTAGGGGAGGAAGGTTTTTCCGCCTGTGCGCCCAGGCTCGCAAGAAGAAAAAGAAGCCCGGGGAGAAGGGCAGGCTTTCTCAGGCTGTTTCGAAGAAGTGAAATTGGCCGAGAGGATGCCGTGGCATGGAATGGAAGAACCTGTCGCCTTCACTTGCCTTCCTCCCTTCCTCAGCCAGACCAACACAGCATTTGCATGCGATCGGAGGGGAAAGGCGGATGGGGGAGAAAGCCTAGATCCCTTTAGGCTGAGGACGAAAAAAGGGACCGCATTGGCAAGATGGCAAGGTGGAAAAAGCGATTTGAGAATGTGGGTGGTCCGGCCGATCGGTGGGGGGCAAACATGGCAGAAAGTGCTTTGGACGATGATTTGGCAAAATAATCGGATGTTAAGCTGCGTTTGCCCAAATTGTGGTGTATTTCTTAAGTCTTCTTGCTTCATTATTTAAATCTGTAAAATATGGGTCGCACTCATCCTGCACCGGTATATAAATAAACCATCCAGCCTCCGGCGAATCAAAAATAGAAAATAGCTTAAATAAATGAATTTTTCATTTTGGTATATAAGCTGTTATTTTGTGATCAATCCACAGCTAATGATATGAAAATTTCCATAAATTTTTCGCTCTCAAGATATCCTCCGCACTTACTGGCGAAATTTGTATGCAAAACGCAGGCACGCAAACCATTTTTCATACCTATTCTCTATAAATCCGGAATTTTAAGGTCTCTAACTTTTCCGTTGAGTTATCTAACCGTAATGTGCCCATCCACGCGCCGCCTTCTATCACATCAAAGCAAAATATTTATACCAATCTATCCCTCCATCCACACCGGTAGCCACACTCACGGTAATCCTAAAATTGGGGCACCGGCCCTATCTGATAATCATCTCCCCGCCACCTTCCCATCGGCATTTTCGAAAGGGTCGTCGGGGGCCCAAATAGGGGCCCCGTGTGCGGGATGGTTGACGGGTGATACCCATCAAAGATACCGTAACCACCCTGTCAAAACGGTCCCCATCCCCCCCGGCCATCCAGAGAAAGAGAGAGGGTCTCAATACCCCCGCGAACCGTTGCGCCACCATCCCCCGACTTTGATCGCGCCAGTTTTGTTGCCACAATTATTGCATTGCGTACGATCCCCTCAACCATTATTTAGTGGATCCAGAAACGGGAGGGGGTGGATTTACGGGGGTGGATTGGTTGCATGCGGCCACTGTTTAGGGTGCCTATGAGAGAGCTGTAAATCCAATGCACTAGCCGTTCCCACGGAATAAAGAGTCCGCGAAGCTGGGCCCGATACTATTGTTGGCGATTTTTTATGGGTATGCGGAGAGTGTTTTTTGGAGGGTGAAGGAGTTTTTAGGGGAAAACGGCCGGACCAACTAGGTCCTAGAAAAAGCTTGGGGCGGATAGAGGTCTGGGCCAGCCGGACCAATATGGACCATTTTTCGGGGTTTCCCTCTAAATTCTGATGGTAAAATACGTAATAAATCGAGGGTTTTGCAAATATTCAAATCTCCTGACGGTAGCTTGCAAGAGGGCGTTTCGATACCTTAAGCATGTTTCTCACTTTAACGTTTCATGACTTCTTTCACTGGTCGTCTCGCAGGTTTTCCCAAGTGGGTCCAAAAATATCTAATCTAAAATCTGAAAACGAAGGTTTAATTGTAAGAATTTTGCGCGGTTTTTAGTGCAGAAACGCCTGTTAGCATTAAAAATGGACCACTCCTAGTTGTATTTTTAGCCTTGTTTTCGTGCTTTCATAGATAGCTTCAATTTATCAGTATAATTCATATAGAAAAATTCTATTTACAGAAACTTCTAAAGGTATCCGAACTAGACCCAGTGAGCAACACCCCACTGCCAGTGATTTGAACCCGTCCAACCTCCTGCATTGTCCCAAAACTCCGTGTGCACCGCCCAATAATTAGTGGCAAGTTGGCCCCAATCAGGTGTACGCATTAGTGGCTGCTCACATTCATGCTCCCCAATATTCAATACAACCCCCATCTCCCCCTCACCCCAAATGGCCCATGGCCTCTATCAGCGCTCTAAATCATATGGCCCTGTTCAAAACTCCAGCCAACCCAAGAGATTTACGACATGTCGATTAGATCACCTCATTTGCTGTGGGCAAACTGTCTGGTGGTTGTGCCCCGAGGGCCCATGTTACTGCTATCTGTTTGCCGTCTTACCATCAATCTTCTCCCCGTCCCAAACCCATTCCTTTCAATGCTCCACCCTGTATTCTATCCCACAACCACCGCCCGCCCTCCTGTCGCAATTGGATCAAAAAAGAAAAACGTCGGAAACAGAAAAACTGCCGGAGATCCCGATTTTTGATAAAAAACTTCCCACTCTCGGCGGGGACTTCCCAAAAAGGGGATAGAGCTCTATGGGTCGGATGACCCCTGCAGTATGTGTGTTTTTAAGGTTTGTTGGGCCGAGGATTAGAAGTTTTATACACCAAGAAATTCATGTCATGGCACTTCAGCCGCCGGAGACCTGAATTACCCGGCTGTCATAGATTCTTGAAAAAATTTGGCTTTCTTGTGGTCTTTACTAGAAGTGTTACGCATATCGACCCGAAATCGGGATAACAGTCTAGTTAGGACGTAAAGTCTAATATTAAGCTAAGTGGTTTGGGAATAACCCAAACATCTTGTCAATTGCGCTTTGCTTAAGTTCTGCACACAGTATCCTCTGATCGGACGTGCAATCCTGCGAGCGTCGCATCTATAAGCGTAGCGTCTGGACCAGAAATGGCCTCTAGCATACAGCTCTACTTAATTCAAATCTCCATAACTTTTTTAGCTAGCTCTCCCTGTACCTGCAACGTCACTTCATAACCCCTTCATATCCATTTTTCTGGCCCTGACTTTTTCTTCCTCGGTTCGATTGTCCATTTTTTGATAAGGAACTCTTCCCACCCCAAATGGTCACGAAAGAATATCTTTTTCTCCTTATTTGTTCATATCCGCTCGCGGCAGACCCACGCAGCCAATCACCCTGCTTTTCCTATTCCTCCGCGAATTTCCCCGTTCCCACCCAGGTTGGTCCTCAACTCTCACAGATTTCTCTCATTCTCATTGGTGTGCCATGGTGGTGCGGATAAGTGAGATGGGAGAGAAAGGAGAGAATCAGAGAAAGCGAGCAAGATATATCAGGCTGACGTTGGGATATTGGTGGGCGGGGGGATACAGTCGAGGGGTGGGGCTGCCGGGGTGTTGGGGGTGCTGTCCGTCTCTTCCTCGCTGCATGTATGTGTGTGTCTGTATTGGTGGGCGTGGCTTAGAGATTCCCGTCTCGGCCCGTCCAGGGGTATGGTGCTGGCCTTGAGGAGCTACAACGCACGCTTCAGCCCAGCCATGGCCACCGCCGTAGCCCCCGTCACGGCCAGCGTGGCCACACCGTTTGCCGATGCCCATATTGCGGGCCCGCCACGATTTGAACGGCCTCAACTTGATGAAGCTTGTCCGGTTTGCGGGGACAAGGTTTCCGGATACCACTACGGATTGCTCACGTGCGAGAGCTGCAAGGTCAGTTTTGAGGGAGTATACTGGGGGGGATTCCCCCGACGGCGGTCCCGTCAGGGTCAGCACCGGACTCGAACCGGACAAGGTCGGACACAGAGTCTGATAGGCGCGACAAGGACGACGATATTCACTTGCTCCCATATGCGCACTTTCATTCTGCAAATGTTCTAATTTTTCGGGCGTTCAGCTACTAAGCGTTTTGCGTAAAAATAATGGTTTAGCACTCCTTATGGATACAATTCTGCTTACAATTAAAGATACTGCCTTCGTGATAACAATAATTTAGCTTCTTTAGCATATTTAAGGGCAATACAGTACCCACTTGCCTGCATATTCCTGCCTTAATAATCGATTCTTTTTCAGGGTTTCTTCAAACGAACAGTACAAAACAAGAAGGTAAACAATCCCCATTCAAACTCACCTTATTCTGATTTCTAGCAATATCAATGTTCCGCCGAACAAAATTGTACCGTCGACAAAACATGCCGAAAGCGATGCCCCTGCTGTCGATACAAGAAATGCATCGAACAGGGTATGAAAGTAGAAGGTTAGTCTTTACCACGTTAGTATTCCAATAGTTTCTATCATTCTTTATTCTATCTTCTTTATATATTCCTCCTTTCTTAAATAATACATAGCTTAATCTCTACTCGCGAGCTCTTTTGCCACCCAGTTCTCCCCACTTGTTTTCGATATTTTTTGGGGGCAACGGAAAGACGTTATCTCTGTAGATGACTCAAGTAGGTAGGCCACTGTATTGATTGAGATTACCATCTAGCCCCATCCCTTCTATTCTCCACCGCATATTGATTTTGATCCGGGCTTCGTCGTGGTGTGGATACCTCCAGATTCTCCCTTTCCCCCATTCATCCCTTTCCACAACCCAAAAACATCCTGAAAGTGTTTATCCAGAGAGCCAGGGGTCCGGATCGGAAGACCCATAGGGTCGTCAACTTGTTGGCGGTGGCTATAAAATCAATTCGGCGTGGCTGCCGTGGCCGAGCGCCGGCTCGTAGACGATTTCGCCTCCACCCCCATCCCGTCCCTTTTCGAGCCATTTTCACCGGTTGCGGCTCGAATGTCCTGGGTTGTGCGTGAGTTTTCTCTCGCCTTCCCCTCCGCGCGGCGCCTTCCGATTCGAAACTCTGTGCCCGGCGATTAGCTGTTCTCTCGAAGTGGTCCCAGGCTCTCAACGCAGAAAAAAATGCCTTCCCCCTCCTTGGTTGGTGATGGCTGTGACTCAAGTACCTTTTTGGGGAGATCTAAGGAAGGGATCGGGTCGATTCCGTTTTGCATATTCCAATGTCGGGGGAGAAGGAGAACATGGAGTGGGAGAGGGCCAGGGTGTGGCCCATTGGAGAGCGCGTACCCCCCAAACGTGAAGCGCGCAATTGGATGCCGACCCGAAAAACCGGTCGAAGTCCGTCCCACCCCCCTCTCCGCAACCCGAAACAAGTAAATCGATGGTTGGGGCCTCTATCGGAAATACGCGCAGTAGAGAGGGGGATAACCCCCAGGTCCACCGGTTAACTTGATTGCAATTCGGCGGCCTTTTTTTGGAACGGGAACGTGCCAAAATTGCGAGAATAGGTTCGAGGGCACATCCTGTGAAATGTGTGGGTGAGTGGGTGTGGGGGAGATGCCGGCTTTTGTGGGGTGAAAGCCGACGGCAGACGACTTTCGATTCGCCTTTGCAAAAATTCCAGTTTTTTACGCTTCCAGGCGCTAGAATGGCTTTTGCCAGGTAGTCGACTCAAGCCAGACTCACTTATGTGATGTTGTTCTCGGGAAAAGGGAAAAGGAGGTCGATTTCGAGGTGGGCTTCGAGCTCCGGAATTTACCCCCGTAAAAGCCGATGGGTAGGGTCAAAATATTTATTAGGGTCAGGGCGTCCTTTTTGTCTGTTTTGTTGTTGTGGTCTGGTAGGAAAGGGATGCAGATCTCGGGGTACCGTAACCGTAGATGTTTGTGTTTGGGAGAGGGGTCTCTCCGCCCTCTTTCCGAGCAGCTCCTTCAACTTTTGGGGCACAGAGCTGCATGCCGGGGCGCGTCTTTTACCGTAGGCATGGCCCATTCGTCGTTGGGGCGTGAGTGCCCCCTTCCGTGTGCGAAATGACCCACAGTAGGCCGGGGCTCTGTGTGTGGGGGGAAAGAAGAAGAACGATTCCTTCTCTTTTTATGGGGGGAGGACTGTGAGAGGAAGGGGGCTCTTTTTTGCGATTTGCAGCGGCTAGATGGGACGAAGTGGAAAAAAGCGATCGAAGAAGTTTCCCTGACTCTCCGGGGGGTGGGGGGGACACAACGGCTTTGAGAGATGGGTGGGCCTGAGCGGAATGACTGGCTGGGACGATGCGAACGGTGGCAGAGTTCGGAGAATCCGCAGTCACCAAAAAAGGAGGGAATCCCGGGGTCGACTATCGAGAGGGGAGAGGAAAGGGATAAGCGGATGGGTGGGTGGGGGGCTAGGCGATTGTGCAGAGTCAGATGGAAAATCTTGGGGGTTAGTCGATTGTGAGTAACAACTTTTTGTGGAAAAATCATGACGCAAATATGGCAGAGGCAGCATAAATGCGAAGTCGGAATAACATGTGTTTTCCTAGGTTTCCTAATTAGCCTGTCCAACGCCGAATCTATAAGCGTAAAGTTTCTGCAGAAAGAGCGTCATCTGAAGCTAAGTGCTAATTCACCTGATCTTCCGCCTTTACAACTCCAAATTCCTCAACCACCCACTTCCACAGCCCAGCAAAAGAAAATCGATGACCCGCCTTGATGTTGTGTAGGGCCAGCGGGATCAGAGTAGCAAATTACACCTGGGTGGCACACAGATCCCACTTCAAAGAGGGCACCACCACCCCCCAAAAAGGGGCATCGAGTGCGCCATGCATAATTAGAGCCGGTACCCATTTGACAATAGCCAAAAGGAACAGCCCCGGAGGGCCAATGTGAAGGAATATGTACCGCGCGGTATCTACAAAACTATTTTTCAGCCGTCCGAGAGGATCGAATGAGGGGTGGAAGGAATAAATTTGGCTCCTACTACAAAAAAGATCGGGCCCAACGGATGCAGCGGCAACAAGTTCGAGGCGTCCCCCAGACTCCGACAACATTTTTCCAACAACAACCAATCGATCAGCACATCGTCACGAGCAGGTAAGACATCATTCGCTTTTTTAGTTTTGGCCTTAAAAAGATGGCGCTCTTCACCAGCTCTTTAAACGCCTGGCTTAGTCCTAACCCGCTAACCCCACACCGTCTATGCTATTTAGATTTTTCAGCACGAACGACACGAGGACGATACTGCAGCCAACGCAGCAGATACAGTACTTTGACCACAAGTTGAAGCAGGAGTATGACAACTTGCTGCAGTCGCCCACCCTTTCCTCAACGTCTGCACATTCTCCGCAAAGTAGGGATTTCAGGGGTCTTGTCGTATATACTGATTTTTACAGTTGTTGTTCCTCGAGCTGTTCCTCCTTACGTGCCAAATTGCGATAGTTTGGCTGCCCTCCTTGGTTCTTCGATTGAAGATCCGTTGTTGCGGTCACAAGCCACGCAATACATGACGACAGCTTATCCTCAGAATATTAAGCATGAGCCGTTTGAGTAGGTCACAAGACTTATTACCAGTTTATTTACGCTATTTCAGCTACAACCGATATCATGATGCCCACCTCTTCGTCCATCACCATGGCGAATACGGCGTCTTCTCCCAACCCACCACCACCTATGCCAGCATGCTTCCGGTGGCCCCAATCTCATCAAGTACGAGTTCAGGTGAGTAGCATGTTCCTACCCTGGTGTTACTTCTTGTTCCTTCCCCGTTGTGTGCATGCTTGCATGGTGTTTTCCTAGTTCAGCCCTGAGGACCGTGCTGGTTGCAGGAGGCTCATCTGGCTCCAACCGAAGTTCTCCCCTCCTCCCTGTATGCCCGGTGCCAACGGAGAAGACGATCGACACCGTGTTCTATGGTGGCAAGTGAGTTTTCTCTTATTTACAGATTTATCGATCAGTTTCAGGCCGAACATCCTGAACTCGATGGTGCAGCATATCAAGAGTGAGGACACGCGGATTCAAGGATTATTGTCGATGCCAATCACCGACGCGTTGGACCCGTTCAAATTTTGCCTACATGCCGTTGACCAAGATTTGCAGCAATTGGTGGAATGGGCAAAGTCGACGCCTTTCTTTGAGAATCTAGACGTAAGTCTTATAGTTAATAAGAAAAACCGTTTTTGCTGTAATTAAAAAACTAGACTACATTAAATGTAATTTGTCGGCAGGGGCTGGCTAGTAATCACGCCATTACTTACAAAACCTAGTCGTAATTATAATCCTTTCACCTACTTGTTACCAATTAGCAAACCCAAAAAACTATACACATGATGTATTTTGCCAGCGGGGGGCTGCCTCGCAATCTAGTAATCTAACTCGTTGCCTGTTGCTTTATCTCATCTCCGATACCCCCAAGGTCAATCCGTTCTGTGCGCCCGCAGGGTGGGTGGCGCTCGCTCTCGAGATCCCCCTCCTTTTAACCGGGTATGCCCCGATAATGGGTCTGCCGTTTATGGGTGGTCTTGAGTAAAAAGAGATCTGCAGGGGGGTGAAGAACCTTCTCGACAACTCGTTGCTGACCCTGGTTGGCCGGAAGGGGGGACGAGTTGGTGGGAAAGTGGCACCTTCCGGGCCATGAGGGGGGTCCTATGGATCAGGTCCCATTCACATCAAAGGTGCCACCGACGGAATGATGGGACAACCAACAATTAGCACACCACGGTACACCGTGTTTGACACCATTGGGGAGGTGGGGGAGGGGGTAGTGTTGGGTGGACGATAATTTGAGAATCGATCTAAGAATGCTAATAAAATTTAAGATATGGCGACGTCCTTGGTATTGGAAAATTGCTTTAAAATCTATAATAGTGTTTAGAATTTTATATTAAATGTTAATATTTACAGGTAAATGACCAAACAACCCTCCTCTACACATCATGGTCTACCGTCCACATGATCGACTTCACCTGTGCTGTTGCTCGAGGCTATCTCCCTCCCAGCATCAAACTCACCAATAGCATCGAGTAAGTGATCATCATAACTTCCCCCTCTCCCTCCTCACCCCCCTGTCACTCCCCTCAATACCCACTATTTATTGCGCAACCACCAGTATCATTTATCTTAAAAAAATCTTCGGCCCCCATCCATCAATCGATATGTTCGAATCGAGTCCGACTCCCAGCTCCCCCTTCGCTCAAGTTGACCGGAAAAGTTGAGACGTATTTGGGAGGGGGCGCTTCGCGCTGAGCCGGCCGCTCCCCAAGCGATCAATGTCTGTCGCTTTGAAAGCAACTCGAGCGTTTCCGTGCCGAGCACACCCGCTGTTTACTTGTCAGTGAATTTTTTCGGGGTGGAAAAGACGTCAGCAATAGCGCGAATCAGCATGAAACAAAATGCTTTTTTAGGATTCCTATGGGACTCGTCGCGTTGATGGGGTCGAATTCCGGATTGTTGAAATGGCAGGAGATTGTGAGACAAATGACCCAGTGCGGTATCGATGATTCTGATTTTGCCGCCTTCCGGTTTTTCGCACTGTTCAATGAAGATGGTGAGTATTCATTGATTTATTCTCAAAAAGGGTGTGCAAGCACAGACTTGAAGTATCCTCACTCTCAAGAAATTCCTCTAAAGTGCATGCATCCCTGTTTTGATCTCTCCCCTCGTAAGACGTCGGAGACAGAGATGGTTCTTGAGTGAGGGTAGACAGTCTCGAGCCTCAGTGCTTGCTGCCAGCCGTAGATGGGCTATGGCTGGAACATGTTTTCCGAAAGCCGCCTCCTTCTTTCCCCGAAAAGGCGGCTCTCTTCCTGGCTAATCACGCTCACACGGTAGAGCTCGGAAGGAAAAGGAGGGGAGAGTGAGCCGGTTGGGAGCTTCTTGCCCCCCTAGGGCGGCGAAAGTGCCATCCATCGCTCCGCCACCGAAAAGGCACGGACGATTTGAAAGCGCCAAGCTAACAGAAAGTGAAACGGCTTGAGTGAGAAGGGAATGAAAGCTTGAAGGAGGGAAGGAGGGATTTGTGGAAATATCATTAGAAGGTTATGAAATTCTCATCGTTATTCTATGATTTTCAGCTCTTCTCACGGCCAAGGATAAGCAAGTAATCGACTTTGCGAGGGCCACCTTATACAATTGCTGGAATGAATTGCGGGATCCGCAACGACTACAATTTCTTTATGATGCCTTCAACGCAATGAGGTATGTAGTTTGCGCTATGATTGGCGATTTGCTCTCACTGCCTTTTTCCATTTATTGATTCCTTTGGTATCTATGAATTCCTCCACTTCAAGCTCTGCTTTACATTGATCCATCCCAGGGGGAGTTCCAAAAGACCTTGACCGCCAAAAGTCATCGGGAAGGGGCCGGAGCGGGCATTGCCCTGGTCCTAGCTGTCCAGCCGCGTAAAAACTATGAAATGACAAATCTCGGGAAGGAGATCCGCTTTTTGTGCATCGGGTCGTCAGCCCTTGCCTCCTGAGAAACCCATTTCTTGTTCGGATGGTTTTTCATAAAGGTCTTCCGGGGGCAGGAGGCCCGTAATTTTAGATTAGCAAACGGGGGGACACGATCTGGAAGGGGAAGAGGGGGTACTGTACTAGGAAGGGTTTTTTGGATGTCTGGCGGGACTAAGAGGGTATATTGTCGTTCATATAAATTTTTCATGTAACTTCTTGTATCTACTTTTTCTTGAATCTGTTATTCTGCGCATTTCACAAATTTTAAAATAATAGTTTTTGGCCGTTTTTTGAGAGCTCGAACTTTCTCGAAAATTATTACTTGTACATTCCTTCCGACTTTCCTCGATCACACCCAAATTCTGCCGAAGTGCTCAATGATTGCCCCCAAACCTTCCTCACCACTAAATAGACCTGAGCCTGACCTCGACCCGTAATTACCTGAGAGTCCCAAGTAGTTCCCAAGCCCCCGTAAATGCATTAGCATTTCTTGCACCCGGAGGATAGATTGAAGATGCATTGTTTGAGCAGCGATTTGCATATTGTGAGGGAAGAAGGTGGCAGCTCCTAGTTACAAGAGGTACCCTGCGGGTCATCTATTGTAAGGTAGTGGCAGTATAACTGTTGCCTAGCGAGGGGTTGCACTAATCCCTCGCGACAGTCACCACCTCTGTCGCTTCATTGCATTCTGACCGGAATTAATTAGGGTTTTTGGGGTACTTGATGGGCTAAGAGCGATTTTAGGTGTTTAAGATGGGGAGGGGTTGCGGGGATGGAAATAGATGTAAATTTAAAGTTAATAATGTACTTTAGCTGCTTCTACTCAATTCAGGAATAACGGAATACAATTTCGTAATAACTTCATAATTAAGGTTTGACGCATAAGCAAAAATATTTTCCTTACTCACAAACCTTTTGTTAAACTTGTACTACTAACTGAGACTAAACTACTTGTACTTTGTATTTTAATTAGTAATAGCCCACATCTAAAGTTAGGGAGTTACTATGAAACCAAAATTTTTGTAATATTCATTAAAAAGGTGCTTTTAAAAATTGCCATGATCCGCACGATCTCGCCTATTTTACCACGATTTTCATCTGGTTTTTCTATATTTTCAAAATTGTAGAACACCTACCCCAATACCTCCCTAATTCAAATTTTCATACCTCTTCACCTGGCCCAACCCGTAGATGGTGTTCCCCCCTGAAAAACACTTACGATTTCGACGATCCAACACATGGCTGCCATGCCTGGTCCCCCAATTATGCCAGCTGTTTTGCCTCTACCGGATCCAAAAACGAACGGCCGTTCCCCTGTGCTCCACCCATCAAAATCCGAATTTCGCCTTCCTTAAAAGGCGGGATGCCCGGGGGTGTTTTTTTCTCGGGGTTAGAGATAGATTGACGTTGGAATAGTCGGATGGCCCTCTAGTCGGCTGTCGCCATATGGCCTTGAGACAGCCGCTAATCGAAAGAAATCCATCCCTTAAAGGTGAGGAGGGGTGGTGGTAGTTGTGAAGAAGGTGGGGCCAGCAGGAAAAACGGTTGGGGCATCCCCTCTCGATGCCATTGTGCTGGGCCGGTTTTTTTTTGGGCTGATCTGCCGGGGCAGCTCTCACAGCTCACAGTAGCTACCCATCTACTAGCGGTTTGGGACCGGCAAAAAGGGAGTGGTTGAGGCTGAAAAAGTGGCCTTCGGCTGGGCGCTGGTATTCTAGGGGACAGCCGCCTGGAGCGCCCATGCAAATTTTCGGCGTTCGCTTGGGGTACGGTATGATGATCGATGGGGGGATTTTAGGAGAATTTGGGGTTAGGGGAAGGGCAGAGTTTTGGAAATGAGGAGGTTCGGAAGATGGATGTGGGTTTATGATATTGTATTGTGAGAGTGTTGTGCGTGTGGTGGTACTGATGTCGAATTCGGTTTATTTTTCTTAAAATCGTTGTTAAACATCAAAACCGGCGCACCGTGAAAAAAAACAGAAAATTCTTTTTATAGGGAATTTTTAAGAAAAATGAACAGTTTTCTAGTGATGTGGTAAAAACTATCGTATTCGTCTAGTGCAATCACGTCGTAATTATAGTCGTGGATTAGTGGATTTTCTCTCTTTCAAATTTTAAAACGTTCTTAATCCACTTTTTTCAGAACACTCGCCCGAACCGCCGAAGCACAACTTTACGAGAAATACCGGACAGGCAATATGGACGGACCATCCGGGCTTCTCAGCGAAATGCTCAACCAACATCGGCCGAATCCGTACGTTCAAACGACCATCGTCCCCTAATTCTGAAGATCTTGCTCCCCCCCCTCCCGAATCTTCCCTTTCGTTACCATCTATCAGGTCTCCGCGGCATCCCCGTGCACTGCCACATTCCATAAATATCTGAAATACTCTGAATTGACCCTCGATCCCGTACTCATTCTAGTTGAAGCACTTTTACGTTTTACCGCTTCTCAGGCCCCATCATACGGAATAGTATGGTCTCACCCAGCATTGCAACCGAAAAATGAAGGCTTTTAAAAGGTAGATTTACCCCTCTATACCTCCATTTTTTGGTTTTACACCATCTAGCCTAGCATCCTAAAAGAATCTCCAGAGATTTCCGAGTTGCCCCACTTTGCCCACCCTAATACCTCACTTGCCGTTGACTTTTTTTCTTTGAAATCTTTTTGAATTTGTACTTCGCCCTGCATTCCACGTTGTATATAGGAACCCTTTTTTGTTAATCGATTTTCTTTAATCCCCGTCCTGATTTTTCTACGTCCTAACTTATGATCTGGGCACCCCCACCAATATCCCCTCCCCGCCACAAATACACCACCATATACACTCACGGTCAAGTTTTAGGAACCTGGATTGTTCGTATATGTACCAACTTTTGTTTTCGTAACATGTTTTTCCATTGGTGAACTTTGAATGATTTTAAATTTGCCAGTTTGTCCCTCGAACAGCAAAACGGGGCCCCCAACAAACCGCTACTTCTCCCAACCATCCGTGCTACTCTTTGAATACACTGCATTTCTTCGTGTCATCACCATTTTCCTACCTATACCCTTCTTAACCTTACTTTCTGCCCCGAATTCAGAGGATTTACGCGCGAATCTCGCCAGTTTTCTATATTTTTTTCTTGCCTGTGTGGTCTTAAATTAAGGTTTGTGATGATTAAAAATTTCTCTCAAACAATGTGCACTCATTTGGGGTCGTTTTCTGGCCTTGCCCGACACGCTTGCCTTATTTCTTTATACTTTATACTGAATAAATAGGTGAGAAAACGTATATAATGTGGTGGTAAATGCATTTATTAAGATAAGGCACGGAATTATACATGACACATTTGATGGAGAGTTTGGTGTGAGTTTTAGTACTCCTCCTCGGCCTCGGGGTGGTAGTGATGGTGGAGACTACGGTGGAGACGGCTTCTAAAATTATAAATTTAATTTTTAATGTACTTAACTTTATTTTAAATGGGTAATTACTTACTTCTCAATGCGCGGAACACCTCCAACGACTCCAGATTCAATTCTAAATAAAACTATACAAATTTGCCCTATATTCAAACCCGCAGTGATCGATTCCACGGATGATACGGAACAAACCATCCTCACCCCAGTCCTCATTCCACGAGTTGACAACCTAAACTACGGTATTCCAGCCACCAAATATCTCCACGCACCAGCCAGTATGGAATCCCGCGCTCCATTCCCCATCCAATCATCTTCACAGCATGACCACCACCCAGCGAGCCGCCGGTGTGCTAAACTGTGGGTTTATAGAGTCCGCAAAACTGCCAACTCACCACGTAGATGCCACCATCGTAGTTCAAAAAGTCGGTGTACACCTCGAAGGCAACCTCGACGGGTCCGTTGGTCAGAATTTCCTTCTGGATGGCCTCGACGTTGTTCTTGACACCGTAGGCCGACTTTCCTAAAGAAATTCTAATAGTAAAAAGGTCAGGTAGAAAACTACCGTAGAATTTGTCTTGCTTGTACTCCTTCTCGTAGCCTCCCTGGCAGGTCTTCTCGCACTTGGGGGTGGGGAAGAGGTCGTGCTTGCACGGGTCGAAGTGAGTCTAAATAGGTTAAAGATAATAATATAATATATTATTGATATAATACAATGGTAAAAGGCGAAAAAGTGTATATTATGCTAGTAAGCGAAAAGCAAAATAGAGGAGTTACTCTATATTACGGCGTTTAGTGAGTTAAATAAGTATAGTAAGTAGCAATTAACATAAACAAAGCGATTAATTTATATTACAAATATAAAAATGTTTTGAATGTTTTATTACCTTGTTGGAGTGATGCTCACATGGTGGGAATGGATACGGCTTGCACCCCTGCTTGGCGGTGTAGTTGGATCCAGTGACAATACCATCCTTAACCCAGTATTTCCAGGCCGACAGCGGATCTCCGCCATTGCATCTGAAATACAACGTCAGAGATCATCTTCTAGCATCAGCCTTTTGTTTTGGTCAGGCTAGTCCCGCCAACTTCCTCCCACCTTATTTCAGAACTACCCACCCGACCCCTCTCTATCGTCCTTATCACCCAGCCAAAGCTTGTTTTTGCTTCCCCGACCCCTCTGGCTGCCCAAACGTGGGGTGAGCCTCACGTGTCAACAAGTTTGATTGACTTCGAATTTTGAAAAACCTTGCTGGTGATAAGATGAGGAAATTCTCAGTCTTTGATATTCGAAGCTTACCCGAAGCCGCAAGACTTGCAGCAAGACAGGAGATCGTCGGCCGAGAGCGAGACCTGGATACGGCCCTTCGAAGCGATGCAGATACGGTCAGACATCGCTTCAACGGCTCCGAAGGCCCAGCACGAGCCTGGAAAAGCGCACTTTAATATCTAAGGATTCGCTGGCTTTGCATAATACATAAATAAAATTCTTTTTGTCATTATTTCCCTTACCGCAAGAGCTCTGGTCACGGACAACCTTGATCGAGTCGCACATGGGCCACACCTTGCGGGAGTCGAAGTTCTCTGGGATGTAGACGTCGAGGTTCTCAGTCGGAGCACGTTGCATCAGGCCCTATAGTTCAAACTAGAGATTTTGACAGGGAATTGTTAATACCTGAATTGGGAGACGAACGTTCTGGACGCCCATCAGTCCCCACTTGGTCCTGTCGGGGTAGCGGTCGAAACGGGCGTGACGGCGAGCCTAATTTTAATTACGTTGTAGAAATCCAAAAATAAAACGCTTAATAAATTTAGTTATATAAAAAACTTCAGGCTAATATAAAAATTACCGTCCACAAATCCTGAACACGGTTAACATATCGGATCAGATCATCTCCAGTCAAGGCCTCGGCCTCAGCAGAAACTTTCTTGTTACGGTACTCATCTATAAACATATTTGTTTAATGTTCGATGTATCTTATCTTACCCAGAACTGGCGTCTTCTGGACCTTCGACGTCTGATACAAAGGCTCCTCCTGCGATTCCGAAGAGGAATACCGCGAAGCAGCGGCTACGGCGACCAGCGCCAACAACCCGAAGGCTTTCTATAAAACTATTGCATGATTTTTCAATAAAATCCCTACCATTTTTCAAATCAGAGGCAAGAAGAGCTGACTGCCGCGGCCCTCGATTCGCCTTATGACCTGAAATGAGGAGAGGTAGTGTCTGGCACCGCAGGGCTTATCAATAGGGGGGCCGGCCCGGTCACTCAAAACTATGCACTCCGCAGGGTCAGAAAAATGCGCCCATTTGACCGACCGTCCATTTCGCGAGATGGATTCAAAAACCAAACATTCAGCTTTATAAGCAAAATCAATGGGAAGGCAAAATGATGGCTGGGATGTGCAGAAAATATGTTGCTAAATGAACGCAGAAGAACATGTGATTTTCAGACATCCAGCTTAAAATTCAAAGAACAAAGGGATTATTTGCTAAAATTAAAGTTCAGCTTCCACGTCTGCTATTTTTAAGGCCTTTTCAACATTCTTCAGCTTGTTTTCTTGGACGCCAGGCGAGACACAACACGGTTTCGTCGCGAATCTTTGCAACCACAAGGCGTATGATGTTCTAAAGTTCACTGTGAGGACTATTTCAACAAAAAGTGCGGGTTTTCGCAGCTGCAGGTGCAGAGGAGGTGGTGCTCCAAAATTGGAGGGAATGCAAAAACGATGCATACAATATTTGCTGGTCTGAAATCAGACGTGGAGCGGCAGATGGAAAAGTTTTGAAAGGTCACTTGGTGATATTTGCTGGTGCTCTGACACAATAGTTAATATAGAATGTTGCTGTCACCATCCCTTTAATAGAATTTTATAGACTTCCAAACCATGCCTAGACTTTCTATGAACTCTTGGCATAAAGCTCCCACCGACCTTCACTACCATACCCAGCTTTTCACCGTTTTTCTGAGAAGCTGATCCTGCTGTCTTGCCCAGCTTATACTGCCACTCGTCCCCTTCCCTTCAAGAGGAAAGGTCAGCCATCGGAAGGGGATGTCTCGCAGTCGCTCAAAATCGGGGTACCAGTTTCCTCTACCACATCCTCCACCCTCAGGCTCCTTATGGGCGGCTATTGAGAGCCCTCTTTTCGAACACTTCCAGCTCCATGTACTCATCGCCCATCTAGAGACAACATTCTTCTCTTCAAATGGATCCTAGCACTTCCAGTTCTGGCGGCAAAGTTTTTGTAGTTGGTGGGGATTTCTGGGCTTTTGGATGCCATATTGTGCCCGGATATATCATTAAGGTGTCGTCATTTACCTAATTTCACCCTATTTAATGGTGTATGATTAAAACAACTTTCTATTCATTTTTTACTTCATTTTCCACCAAGGATCCTCCCTCATGCGCCCTTTTAAATGACACGCTAAGTGCTTGGATGTAATATATCATTAATCCATCGCCAAATTCCCTATTTAATGGTATCCTGCAAACCAAGACTTTGTATTCCTTTTTCTCCCTTTCCCAATCAACAACCATACTCCTTGATCCCCAGCTGAGATATCCCAAATCCAAAATCCACCGACCAACCCAAAAAAAGCTGCCCCCCCCCCCCTAGGGTCTTCAAATTGCCTACAAATAATTTTTGCTTTCCATCCCCTTCCCCCAATCCTTTTTTATCCTCCAATCCACATTTTATCCCTCGCCAAAACCCACCGCTCAAGGGCAACAAATCGTATAGCGGATGAAGCAGTAATTGCGACTCGGAAACCCCTTCTTTTCTCACATCTGGTGGCCACGCTTTTTCGATACCCAAATTAGGCTTCCCTTTTATATAACAACACCTGGACGCTAGCGGCATTGCCATTATCGCTGCCTTGCTCTCGTTTATTTATAGAGACACCTCGCATTTTCAGGCCCCTAAAATGATATGACAACTCAATGGATATTGAATGTAATAGTAATCGTGGCCATTTGTTGGGTCGTCCAGGCCACCGAAAATTCCACGAGGTGCAATTTACCAGCATTTTCAAGAAATTTCTTTGCAGTAATGAGGTGCCATTGCTCAAAATGGATTTGATTTCTAATTACGAGTCTTTACTACAGAGCCGGAGGTAAATCTTCTAAAACATTTTTTATGAACATTTTAAGAATACGCCCATTTGAAGAGGTATTTTGTGTTGAATCGGTTGAAATATGATCGTCGAGTTAAAGTCAAACGGTTTGTGGTGTCAACTTATTAACTAGATGAAATTTTAGAAGCTGGCCTCCTACACGAGCTTTGAGCGGGGGGAAATCGAGATTTACGGTTGCCCGAAATATTGAGCGTCCACTTATGCACGGTGTTTTGGTATCACCATCACGCATGATTTGGGAGGTCAGTTTTTGAGCTAATTTTGTTAATCTTTGTATGTTCCAGTCGTCTGAACCAACTATTGCACCGATTATGAAGAAACGTGGCAATCCAGGCTTAAAGCGAGTCCGAATAGTCCTTGAATCGAGGGTACGGTGTTCCTATAATTATCATATTTTGCCTAGGATACGATTCCACCAGGAAAGCGCCGCATTAAGGGGAGGCCAACCCAGCAGTTATACCGGATGAATCAAATGAGAGGTAGGATACTAGCAGTTTTATTTCGGGACCTATCGATTTGTTAGTAGCGTTTTCCCAAAGGGCATCTTCGCTCTGAACTTTCCCTGGTATGGTCTCTGAAATAGAACATCGTTTAAGGGATCAGCAGAAGGGAGAACGTGGCTGAGCCCGGCGAGATGGACCGGCATGCTCAACCCTTGCTCACGACAAAGAGACGCTCTTCTGGATGGAGTGGAGGGCCGAAGAGATACCGAAAGATCAAGAATAAAACTATTTGGAGGAAGAAACCGTTTCCAAAAAGTTAGCTTTCAACTATTTTTAATGACGCACGTGTTTCTTAAATTTACCCAGTAACCTTACTGCGAATGCTAAAATCTGATAGAGCTGCAGGACCTTTTTGGATGTGCAACTTAATTTCCGTTACGCTCCTAATAACAAGCGTCGTTGAAACATGCAGTCGCTTTGACCTACCGGAAAGTAGTAATTATGCCCATTTTCAGGTGTTTTCTCCCAAAGTTAGTAGCTAAAAAGAGTAGAAGAAGTGCAACTTAAAACAAAATAAACAAATCTAATTAAAATTTAGAACGGCTTGTCGAACCCGCATCACCACCGCCACCTCCCCCGCCAACCGACCGTGAAGCTCGAAAAATCCGACCCCGATATATTGTAGGTTACCTTAGTTAGCTAAGTTGCAATCCGTTCTTTTAGCTCCCTGCTTTCCGGAAACCTGAAGTACCGGTCGCTGGCATCCCGGATTACTGTCTTAAATGCTACTTATATTGGATCAACAGGTAGACCATTCGCGTGTTTTAACTGTATACCAAAATCAGATTGGAACTGGTCCCCGGCAGTTCGATCTTCGATGTTTGCTGCAATCAAGCCGACAATCACCCGGTTAATCCCCACTTCACGCGCTCCTACTCCCGCCCCAAATTTAATTAAATTCGATACACCACTTTCGAGGATGTTCCAAGATATGACAGTTTTGGTCTGCATCTCCTTTTTTATACACGCTACCCGCCATTATGATAATAATTGTTGCTTCGAAAATAAAGCGTTGAGGGCTGTAATTTTGATGCAGAAAGGGGCCCCTCAGTTTATTGGAGGATTGGCGGCGAGGGATTTTAAACTTGGCCGGGTTTTTCGGATCGATCGGGTATATGATGTTTTGATGGTTTATGCTAACTAATTAACATAAAATATCGGGGGGTTTTCTAAGGTTTGTTTAAGTTTCAACGTCTAATCGGCTTTCGGGCTTGTAAGGGTGTATAAAACAACTTCAAATAATTTTAAAAGGTGTCGATTTTTCTTCCCTTAACTTCCGGTTTTTTTAGAATTTAAGGCTCCGTTAGAATTCAAAGTTTTGTCGAATGCGCTACACCACATCGTAAAAATTCTTTATCATTTAAAAGCAACTCCGTTAGCTTAAGATGGAAATTCTCGCTAACACCACGACTTATACCATTTCTGTCCACCGATTTCTGTCCACAATTTCACATTCATCACGTGCCATTTGCCAGATAAAAAAACCCCGCACACATTGTGCGCCTCAACTTTGATGCTGAGCCCCGCTGTGGTATCCTACGGCTTCCCAGGATTTACCGCCCCACGGTCCCATAGAGTTTTGTGAAAATACCAGCTCGAAACTTCGGGCATCTCCCCCTGTTGGTTGTCAGGGGTGGATCCCGTGGTCTCCCCAGGGGCTTCCCCGTCAATCCGCGCTTAATTTGCGCCGGATTTATTTTGGCACAACCTAGGGGAAGGGAATGGATGGAGTCCTCCCTCTTATCCCTCCCCTTTTTGAAGCTCTTTTTCAGCCGTTTTTCAGTCATTATCGCCGCCCTTTTTGTCCCAATTTTGCCTGCTTGCCCATGGGGGGTGGTTGGTTATCCAATAAAGCATGCAGGCGTGAACTAACAAGAGTGTGCTTTTTTGTTCCAATCGGCATTGTGTTTTGATGGGGATGTGCGTTGCCTACGGATGGTCGCTGCTGCCGGTCCGATGGGACGCTCAAAAATCTCTAGCTTGTCGTCATTCCTTGCTTCTGCGCATTAATGAGGTGCTTCATATTCTCGCAACGGCATTCTTCATATTGTTGCATAGCCCACTCTTAAAAATATATAGAGTTCCTTCCGTCCTCAAACGCGGTTTTTTTGATCTGTGGATACGTGAAGAAACTATTTTTACCTCCCGATCACTCTCTCGTTAGCTCTCTTACTCTCTTTCCCTCTTTTTCTGCCACCTTTTTCTGAAATCTCCATGCTGTACTTTCAGAATTATGTATCGCAAGGAACTCCCCAGATCAATCTATTGTAAAACGATCGACTGTAATCGCGACTGCGGCTTATTTCATAAAAATTTTATTTCAACAACAAGTAGGTCGTTTTATTCATTTAAGAACATCTGTTACGAAATCGAACACTACCGACATCTTTTAGGCAAAATTCGTTGCGAAAGCCTGGCGACAAGCAGTGGGATTTCGGTGAATGGTATGGATCTTTATATTGACGTAATTATGAATAGGTTCCGAATCGAGCTCTCCTTACACTCACAGCAGAAGAAATTCGCAAAGTGTGTTCGATGAAATAATGGAGAGTGCCAAGCGAAAGGTATGTCAAAAGGAAGCCAGGGATTTGTCTTGTTGGTCCCGTTTGTTGTTGACGCAAGGATTTCAGATTTCGGTCTCTTATAAAGAACCACCATTACCTCCATTGCCAGAAGGGCTGCCATCAGATGCTAGAGAAAAAGCTGTATGGTATGCTCATCAGGATACCTCACATTCTGATACAACATTAACGAAAAATCATCCGGTTTGTTAGCGTTTACTTGATAAAACGGAATTGTTTTTCAGTTCTGGAAAACCGAAGAAGCTACAAGAATTGTACTTGGAGATTCTGATGATGAACTCGAACCGCCGTTAGATTTGCCTCCGCCAAAGATTCTAGATGACGAATTGGACTCTTCGATAGATTCTTTGGTCAAGTAAGTCTTTGATCGAAAAATTCTTTATTTGTGTCTAGACAATCTTCACTTGACAAATTTTCAAACCCAATCATCCATGATACTTCTGATATGCAAATAAATGACAGTGATGATGACGGTAGGAATCAACACTACTTTTAATTCATTAATCTTACAGACTATTCGCGGCTTGACCTTTCTGTTGCACGAAGATTTAGTAAGTAATTAGAACGTTATCTGAGTTCTGAGTCCAAATTTCAGGCCACGATTCGCTTTCCGAGTTGGCAGAGCGGCGGTATATTTTCCGAAAACTTCCGGAATTCGAGCGATCGTTGGACGTGAACTAATTAACTCACTGGGATTTGCACAACACGATTACTTCTATGCACTGAAGGGTGTTTATTCGCTTAATAAAGGATATGGCTCAAGGGAGAGGGGAAGAATTGCAGGAGCGAGACGGTGAAAAACACAATGCGCATTAGGCTGCTGCGGGAAAAGAGGATGGAGTTGGAATTCGGTAGAGAGAGACAGACAGAGAGAGAGAGAGAGAGAGAGAGAGAGAGACGAGTAGAAATATGCTCGCGTAATCGGGTGTGAGGTGGAAATGATTAGTAACGAAAAAGTGGAGGATCGGTGTAGCCTACTCCAGATCGGCCCATGAGGTATCGGGAAGAACGAGGGTTGAAGTTTCGCTCTCCACGGTGACTAAAAATATTAATTTAGTAAATTTAGGTCTAGTTTTCAAGCTATAACGATTATAATTTACCTGTACATATGATATGTCAATTGCCGGGAATCGGGGTAGCTCTTTGAGCAGTATTCGCAGATATAGGGGTTTGTGCGGACGTCTCCCTTGTAGACCTGGGAAACTGGTTAATTCGTGTTTAACGAAAGCTATACCTTGAGCGGGTGCTTTGGTTCGAATCCTTCAGTTTTGTAGGCTGGCACCGGAACTTCGATGGGAGCAAATTGGAGGGCACCGTGGGCCGAGGTTGAGGGGAACTGGAGTGGGACCGAAGTGACGGGTTGGAAGGAGTCTCTAAAAATTATAATAAATTAATGTTACATGATATCTGTGGTTAAAAATAGGCGAAAAACGAGACGCTCAAAACTTACTGAACCCGCTTCGGCGCCGGCTCCTCATCCGGATGCCGATGGTAGAGCAACTCGGTGTACGAGAAAAACGTCCGGCCACAATCGCACTTAAAACCATTCCCATCTGAAGAATTTATTCTTGAAGCTAGTGCATTTCCTACCGTTGTGGTGCATGCTGTGGTATTCCAGTTCACAAGCAAAGTGGAAAGATTCGCCGCATTTTCCACAGACGTATGGCTAAAAGTCATTTCGCTATATCGATTTAAGTGGATCTAAAGTACCTCATCGACATTGTGGACCCGTTCATGAGCACGGAGGGTGTTTAGATAATTAAAGGTGAGACCGCAGAAACGGCAGGGGAAATATTGGAAGCTGGGCTCGTCTTTTCTCGTCGTCGTGTGGGAATCAACTTCATCCTGAACAAATGAATATGATAATTATTAGTTTATTTTCTACATAAAAACGTGTATTTGCATGCAAATAAGTCATTTATACTCGATAAACCCGTCAATAGATAAAATTATACATTTTTCGTTTTATGGATTGATCTTGTGTATCTATTGCTAGAATTGTATATTTCCTGTACGTAGTCAAACTAGCTGCACCTCGAGATCCCCCAAAGTATCAATGTCTTTTCCCTTCCCGCAAACCAACACATGTTGTACATAATCCATCTTCATGCCCTTCTCTCGCCAACCACCACATGTTCACTAGTTTATTCCAGTCAGGAACAACCAAAATCAAGAGCCCAAAAAACAAACAAGGATGAATGAACGAAATTAGTTGCTAGAAATACTGACAGTAGGAACCGTTTCAGCCTGAGGATCGTGAAAAAAAAACAATTTGCATAGAGCGAAAAGTTTGGTTAGGCAGCCGCTTTCTTCTCGGGTCCCTCGAGCTGGACACATACAGAAATCTCAGTCACCGGCTGAAAATGGGTTGATATAGGAAAGAGTTTAAACGTGGTGGTGTCATTTTTTTGGAAGCGGTCAGTTTTTGTGTTTCGCAAACTATTTCAGCCGTTAGGACGGATGGACGGTGGACTGGGGGTGGACGGACAAGTTCATGCTTTGATTGGGACAACATTTAGGGACGTACCAGGTTGTCTGTGGATGGTGGAGGGTTTGTTGAAGCCGGGCTGGCCTCCTAGAAAAAAAAGTAATATAATCGGACCTTTCGACATGAGAGGTTTACGAATTTTTAATGGTCTGGATTTTCCTCTAAAAATTTTAGGAATATCGCGATCTTACAATATTGGTCTTAACTGCCAGATTCTTATAAGAATTGATTTCAAAAATTGAACGGGCATATGCTAAAAAGCAGTTAAATTTCTTTGGAGCTGGATTTTTAAAAAACGATCAAATGTTGAAATGTTTATTACCAATGCGTACATCGCACTATTAAAAAAATCTAAGATACCTACAAAAATTATAATATCGAAAAACCTCGCAATTTTTCTAACCTAAATTTAAAGTTTAATACGGTGGATCCCTAACCAACCTTTGAATCAACATTGTTTTCACCCTCGTTCGGCATCTAAATTGAACTAAATAGTCTCGAAGAAATCAGCAGCAAAAATTAGGACAACCGAAAGACAATGGCCACCAAGAGATCAATAGAGCTCACCTTTGGATGTTGTCCGCTGGCATCCATGAGGGGGGAGAAGCAGGCTTTACACTGACAAAAGGGGAGGACGGGCCACTCCTTCCCTCGCTCCTCTTCCCCTTCTTTCCTTTTCTTTCCTCCTTACGTACCCTATACAACAGCGGGGCTTTCGATCTAGGTTGGAAAGGGCTATCCGCTCAACTATCCAAAGGGCTTCTCACCCTCACGCAACGACTGTTTGTCCTCCGGGCAACTCTTTCGAAATCCAGTCTTTGAGTAGCGGTGAAGTGATGGGCGAGGAAAAATGGAGATTGCTATCAATAGATTCTAGGAGTTGTAAAGGGTTTGTGAAGTGAGAAAGAAGGACCTTCTTTGTGTCTTTTTTATTTTTCAGTTTTAAAGAATGGTGGTGGAAAGTTGCAAAACATGTTAAAACGATCAAATATCCCCAACCCTTTGGTGTCCATACCGTTCTTAAAGATTTCTTTATCAAAATATAATGGCAAAACATACATATAAAAATGAAACTGGTAAAATTTAATAAAAATATATGAACCGGTAAAATGTATCCGTATACGTCGAATTGGCTCAAAAACGTGGCGGTTTTACTTCGGACGTTTCGGGAACTTCATTGGGCGGATCTGCAGACCGTTGAAGAAGCTAAGGGGATAAAATCATCGTACTTATAGCAATCGATTGCCAAACACCTGTCCGAAAATCATCTGTCCGAAAAACACCTGTCCGAAAGACATGTGTCCGAAAAATCACCCGTCCGAAAAAACATGTGTCCGAAAAAACACATCGTCTATCCGAAAAACCGTATGTCCGAAAAGTCGCCTGTCCGAAAAACACCTGTCCGAAAAACTAATGTACCAAGCAGCCAATCAAAACCCTTTTCGAATTACTTAACCAGTTCTTAAAGGTTCGAGGTATAACTGCCACCAGATAGCCCCACGTGGGGAAAGCCCCGGAATCGTGACCAAACCAAGTTTCATCGGCCGTATCTCAGGGAATGCCTGCCCGAGCTCATTGATTCACTCTCCAAAAATTTATTATACAGTAGCGGTTCGTATCCCTGGAAACTACCCTCCCATTTTCTCCAAAATCCGGTTTGAATAGATTACCTGAAGGTCTTGGGAAGTTTCGGCCGTACTTCGATTTCAAGGTCCGAAATTTACTTTTCGGACAGTGGATTTTCGGATGGATGATTTTCGGACAGGCGATTTTTCGGACAGGCGACTTTTCGGACAGATATTTTTTCGGACAGATGTTTTTTCGGACAGGCGATTTTTCGGACAGTTGTTTTTCGGACAGATGTTTTTCGGACAGGTGTTTTTCGGACAGGTGATCGCCACCCATAGCAATCGATACCTGAAGAATCATATCCAATTTGTCGTTCATTTGTTCTTGGTTCTGTTCCAAACGATCTAACCGTTCCAGGACTTGGGTAAGATCGTTGGAATTTGTTGAAATTGGATCATAATTGTCTAGGACAGCATCCTGCGAATCCATATCATCGTCGTAGGTATCATTTTCGATTGCTGGTGAAACGGAGGGCTTTTGATCCTCGGAAAAACTCGGTTCTTCCATGGGCGCTTCATCTGCCCCATCGGCCTTCATTAAAAAGTCATATGCTATTTTTTTCGGTGTCGCGTAGGTCATCTCTGAAAAGCGATTTCTTTATTAAACTTGATATCTATTTAATCGGTTTCTTGTTTTGGATGCTATGGATGGATAACGTGCATTAGGATGCAAAGCGCAAAGGACAAGAAATTTAGTATTTAGCATTCCTATCACATACCTGTCAATACCGTTTTGGATCTTATCACGAGTCACTTTCCGGGCATACTCAAGATGCTTCATCAACTGGGTACTGTCTATCCGCCTGCATGGCGGCAGTCTGGCATTAACAGCATCCAAAATCTTTTGTCTTGACGCATCGTACCTAAAATACAAAGTATTAAGTATATTTTAGTACCTACCTAATACGCCCGGGCCCTGTTTGATCTAACATAGTCCGCTGATGGTTTGGAGAATACCATCGCCGATGGATCAGCAATGAAATATTTGATGGTATCCTGCCTGAATCGGGATAAATTATGGCAATTCGGGGCTGCTTACTGTGTCCTAGTCGTTGGGTAGAATCTTCACGGACTGGCGGGGACGCTTCTTTTACTTTCTTTTTCGAGGTGAGCTTGGCGATGAGTTCGAGGTGATCGTACATCATTTTTGCGTTATGTTGAGGGCAGTACCTAAAGTATTCTAATTAAATAGATCTTTGAAAGGACAACTATTTTATAGAAATTATAAACCCAGGATGGATGATACGAAAACCGGAAAATAACGATTATTTGCATAATGTAATTGAATTTTAAGCGCTACAAAAAATTATGGCGTCTATAAATAATTATTCCGATATGGAGGTCATACAGATGGGGCGTAAATATTTATTTTTGCTATCTTTTCGATCGCGAGTTCAATGATAAGCTTTCGGGACATTAATGAAGGACTTTTCTCATTATGTGGAAATCTACGGCGATTATCAAAAGGAGGTATGATAATACTATTATAATATTGCAAGAACATTAGCGAAAGCGCACTGTTGTTCGATTCGAGAAATGAGTGGTCAAAAAAACCGACAATCTCCGCACCCAAACTACACGACCCTAAAATATTAGGGGGGTCCTAAAAAGGCGGGAAACCGAAACATTCAATTGCCGCCATGGCAATCATCAAATTTCCAAATCATATTGTAAACCCCAGTCGAATAGGCATGATTTCCATATTATAATTGCTGAATTTGTATTGATAGCCATTTGCTCATTCATAACTTTATACACAGATTTCGACACGCCAAGTATACAAAAACATCAGCATTCACAGTAGCAATCGGCCGTACAGGGATTTCAGAACGCAATATTCTCTTTAATAAGATTTATCAAAACCAAGTATTTAACGGGGCTTGTTTAATTATAGATGTGTTTTGTTTTTCTCATGAAATTCGGTGATAGCAATGGAGTATAGGGTCGCTAGCAAAATTGTAGAGGGTACTTTGGATATACTGGTAGGGTATATAACGAGTTGGTTGATGATATCACATTAAAGTAGAAGGGTACTGAGGAAAAGATATAGTTAAATCATTCATGTTCGTTTGCATGGGCGCCGTAGAATTTTGGACCGGGAGCAAAGTAGGCCATTTTGACGATGAAGGGCATTCGGGAGATTGAGGTGGCCACCGGAGTGTGATTGGCAAGAGCAAGAGCCTGGAATGATTATAATTAATATGTAAATTATGTCTTTTTTTCTTAAACTAGCGACCCAGTTAAAACAAACCTCGTTAGCCTCGACAATCGTATGAAATTCGGCAGTACCGGCACGGCTCTTCTCGGTACGACTTTGGTTGACCATCACCTTGGCTGGAAGTGGTCCACCGGCGGTGCGGAATAGCTGAAAAATACAAATATAATGTTAAAAACTAAATAGACGGAAATATATAGCCATTAATGATACGCAATTCTCTTACCTCTGTAATTTTCTCGACATCCATCGTAACCGGGGCATTGAACCAATGGATGGTATTTGTTGGAGCGCAGACTCGATTGCGGAACGCCAATTCCGGAGTCGAATAACGCTAAAAATACACATTTTATAATATAATTTTACCACGGTTTTGGATAGTAATTAGCCAAGCATACCTGATTCCGGGAGTTTGAGTAATCGCGGAAAGATGGCGACCCATCGGGCAGCTGGAAGATGGCGCCTTGTTCCCGGACTTCGGTTTGCTTGGAGGGGCGGATAGTGATGTTGCAGCCGAACATTTCCATTCCTTGTAAGAATTGGAGCACTGACGTGACCTGAAAAATGTAAAAATGCTTTGCCTTAATTATGTAAATGTTTATCAGTTCAAAACAATGAAAATTGCGTGTCCTTATAACCATTTTCTACGCACCTGTGCCGGCTGTCCCATCTCAACCATAGCCGTATCCGTCTTCTTCTTCATAAACTTGATCCGCTCGACATTGCCATACTGGCATAGGATGTTGAACAGCTTCTCGCAGTTCATAGTCTCGTGCGTGATACCATAGATCTAAAGGGAAAAAAGTAAACCTTTTGTGGTAGTTAAATTACCATAATAACTGGGCTGCCTCCAGAGAGTCGCGGAGCATTGTCTGGATGTCCGCTCCGACCGTAATCATATCGTTCTTGATGGGCCGGTGGTGCAGATCTGCCACCATATCCATAGTCTCCATGAGCTGTGTGTCCACCCCCACTGCTGTGTCCACTGTAGCCACTTTGTGTCATTTGTGATGGGTCTCGTCCGTAGTTGTCTGCGTAGCCTGGGTCACGCCCACCGTATTCATCTGTAAATGCGATGTATGTGTGACAACATGCATGTTAACTTCTGTCTTGTTAAAAGTTGCTTAACGGGGGGAAGTTATATTTTTAAAGAGGTTTTGACATTGTTTGAAATTTTTGAAAGGCATTTCTTGAACAGTAAAAATATACTATATTTTATTTTCTCCCGGAAGACCTTAATCAAAAAACTGGTTTTAAAGTTGAAAATAGTTTTAAATTATTTTTGGGTTGAGGTTAAGCCCATTATGATACTTTTCGGCCCTATGGCATACGAAAAAAATTAGCATAATGCTGAAATGCAAATTTCATCAGTTCCCCGCCCCCGCTAAGCAACCTTTATCGCTGTTTTGTCTCTCCTTTTTAAAAAAAAACAATCACTATACATCACAAAAGCTTTGTATGTGTATACCTCGTCGGCCAGCGCCGGCTCCCTGTGGTACTTGTTCATAACGGTGTGACTGTGCTGGGGGACCTCCATTGGCTCCCCCGATTAGTGGGCGTCGTGTGTATGCGGGGGCTGGAGCACCAGCATCTCCTGCTCCGAGGTCTGAAATTAACCCATACATCCCGCCGCACCTCCCTCCAATCGCAAAACAGAATTCAAAAAGTCAAGCAAGGAAAATCGCAGCATAGGTATATACAAATAAGCAATAACCTTGTAATCTAGATTGAAATGTGCAAAAATGTTTGTTTGCCAATGAAGCGAAAATGTTTCTATAATTGCCAGAGTTCTATATTATTTGCATGTTCTCATTTTAATCAAACGTTTGCCAGTCTCCAGATAGGGTGGTGATTTTTGGACTAGTGCATTTTCCTTATTATGCAAATTGCCGGTATCGATGGAAACGCGAGGTTTTGACTGGAAGCATTTGTCACGGCTTTGTCAAGTTGTGCCAATGGTTCGTTTGAAAAAGCTATCGTGCCATTTTGAGGGTAATTTGCATTGGCTGGCTGCGAGGTATGGAATGCAAAGTGCCATGTTGGGGGTGTAGCCCAAACTTTTATTGGCATCCAATCGGCCACACGCAAATACGTACCAGGGCGAGTGTAATCCCATTGAGTCTCATCGTTCCGGGTCACTTTCACGTGGTCAGGCTAAAAATTAAGGGTTGAGAGTGGGGATAAAATATACCTTTGCAAATTCAACTTTAAGGGTGCAACATCCTGAGTAGATATCAGCTCCATTCATAGCATATTTGGCACGACGAGCTGTTTCTTGGTCGGAGAATTCGACGAGAACCTGGAAAGAGACTTTGAAGTTGAGTGAGAGAGAGAGAGAGAGAGAGAGAGAGAGAGAGAGAGATAACATACCTGCAGCAAGGTCCGTCGAATAATAGCGATCTTCTTAACATCTCCATTCGGAGCGCAGATTTCATGGATGACCTCGACGGTGATCGGATATTGAGCGTTATATACGGTGAGAATCAAAATATGATTCGGCCGTTCACTCTCGAGGCCGAGTCGCTGGATCATCGGCGAAGTGCTGAAAGTAGAGGTAAATTATCTGAATGCGCTGCTTAAAAAGATACAGTAATCCAAAAAAAATAACAAAATTAAAATAAAACAGAAGAATATTAACTTACGAGTAATTGAAAAGTGCCGGAACTCCAGCCACATTAATCGGCTTTGTGGCAGCAAAATTAACACACTGCTTAGCGGCGTCGATTGACTAAAAATATTGGCTTTACATATGCAAAAAAAATATATGAAGATAAAAGCGAAATTAGAAAATGAAATCGAAAAACCTCAAACTCGACGAGAGCCATGCGCTTATTTGGCATCACCGTTGCGTAGGCAATCTGCCCGAAGGAGCTCAGCGCTTCCAAGAGATCTGCTTCCGTAGCCTAAATAAATTGGTATTGCTGTGTTAATATGGGTTTTAGGTACTTAATAAATGGAAAAGTAGAAGAACGTACCCTACTGGACAGATTCCGGACGTGAACAACAATGGATGGATCTGGGTTGGTCGGGTCGACACCGGGTTCAGGGCGGAACCTCTTTGGTGGAGGCGCATATTGATCCCGATCCATGAATGAGGCTCTGAAATTAAACGATGTTTCAACTTTTTAAGTTTCGGTCCTTTTAGTTTTCAGCCCAAAAAGATAAAATATGTACTTTTTATCTGGTTCTAGCTGCCAAAAAGCTTCAATTAATTTCCTACGTAGGCCGGCTATACCAAAATTAATAGGGAAACTTACTGATATCCACCACCTTCCATTGTCTTCTGGTTTTGTCGGCCGGCCGAACAGGAAAGCTGGAAAATAGTGATTATTTAAAAATTTAATTTGCAGGAACGACTGGAAAAATCAAGCCAAAACGGGCTAAAGACAAGGTAGCAAAGTCAAGCTGGTGGATCGGAGTGAGGGGTGGTTGCAAATGATCTGAATATTTATCGAAGAGTTCCGTAAAGTAAGGCAGATGCGCCGACCCAGGCAAATTGAAAGCGGACGGTCAATTGTCGCGTTGCGTGCGTGGTGCGGTCCGGTTGGAGGCGCTGTTCCACCTGGCCTTCCCTCTGCCAGCCTTGCCATACCATCTGTTCATGGAACGAAAGGCTTGCCCTCGTAGTCAATGATAAACTTCTGCACACTAATCAAGCAATTTCGGGTTAGTAGTGTGCAATGGTGAACTGGATCGATAATGATAGTGTGATAATTCAAATTTAAAAATATGCAAAAAATGCGAGCGTATATGTAAATAAAAACCAGTTTCGATTTGCGTACGAGTATTGAGGTAATTTAGGATTGATTAAAACTTTATAGTTCACATAGGACGAGATAAAAAAGTCGGTTTTTCAAGGTAAATTCTTGGCACTGTAAGGGTGAGCATATAAGAATGCAATGGAGCTGAGAACTCTAAGATACAAATGTACATCGATATGGTATGCTATAAAGAGCGTTTTGACGGAGCAAACTTATTGAATAGATATTTCAGAATTAACATCTATCAAACGAATCAGGGCAGAGGGTCTGGAAATGGTTCCGGTAGAGGTCTTGATGCTAATTCGGCGGGTGGTCTCCAGTCTTCTTCAAGGCTGGCCCCACTTTCTTCTCGATCAATGTCCATAGTAGGGGATAGAAGATCCGAGGAGGAATGGAGAAGCTGTGAGCTCGGGATGGCTAACGAGGCTAATGGAGGAGGTCTGCGCTTCGCGACGTCTTCAGCTGGATTTTCCGGCATTATCTGGAAAGTGTAGTATTGTTCCGCACTATAACAATAGTAAATATACAATATTAAAAAAATTAGAAGCTGGAACTTCCTCTTGCGTGTTCTAGGAATTTTTCAATAGACGGAATTTAACGGACGGGTGGTTTGGCACGTTATTAGGTGCTTAATGTCTACGTAATTATAGTTTTTAGAAAAAAACTGACGTTCCCCTCGTTTGTCTACAATAAAAATTGCAGTGTTTTATTGGGGGGTTTGTAAGTACCAAAATTAACTATAAACCAACAAAAGAAATAAATATTATTTACCGACCGTTTCTAAGACGGGTAATGGAGCCGTAGAAGGTGTTCTCAACGTCCCAATATCCCAATCAAAGCCATTTCGTTTCATATCTTTATGCATCACATCAACTTCCACGCTTACCAATCCCTCGGTAGCCATCCGTAAAACTAAAAATTAGATTTTGTTTCCGCATTAAAAACAACGGCCCACCCTCCCTTGTATCGGGTCCAGCTAACAAATTCGGGTCTATCAATTCAGGTGTCTTCCCGGTAACCATTCCGATAAATCCTTGGAACGCCGAGGACGGTTCAGGAGCGCTACATGCTGCTTCTAATCTATGCCTGAATTTAGTTTAGATAATTTACATTAATTTGTTGATTACCTTCCCAACACGGTCGGCATTGGTACAGCTCCGTAGCCTTTCACGACTTCGTTGCCCCAAAAATCGCGGCCAAAACAGGTTATCACAAGTTGGGGCCCTAAAAATAAATATAAAAATATTAATACACATGAATCCCAATAAACAATCACGAACGTACATCGAAATGCATTCGTCGTCCGAAACGTTGCGGCAAACGGTAAATTAAAAACAAACCGCTGATTGGAATTCCTAAACAAATTATAACCCTATTATAAGAGCTTTGGAACCTAAAACAGGACGCAGAAATTCCTTCCGTATCTCCAGATAGAAAGGTCCAATCGGGTCCGGCAACAAAGTTATACCGTATCCAAATCGAGTCGTGTTCAGGGAACTTAAGAAAAATTCGGCAACGTCTGTAAGTTTTACCTGGGCAGTAGTAATTTGACCTTGTAGCGCTAATATAAAGGTAGACTTCCCACCGTTGGCCATCACATCTAGAGGATTTTAATGTATCACAAGGGAAAACTAAAGCGGCAATAAGAAAACGAGAAAGAAGGGAAAAATGAGAAATCTTTGAAAATTGAACTTTAACACTCCAGATAAAATTCGTAAGGTGTTTTCCAATCGCGGGGCCATTTTGGAAAATGAAAATGAAAAATTGGCAAAAACCCCACAGGTGAAAAATGCAATTCCAAATTCACCTGACACGAAGTCTGGCTCAAAGTGAAAATGGTATGTCGCAATTCTTGGTGCGGGCATGGTGCCCGGGCATCCCATTTCGTTGCTAAGCGACTTGCTGGGACCCTGGCCGCCTGGGGGTCCTCTAGCTGCCACCCTTTCAAGGGGGTCCCCCAAAAATTGTATAGCGATAACGAGTCGCTTTCCGAGGGGAAATGACTGACGGGAAATAAGGGCCAGGTAATTATGGTGGTTTTGGAGAAACTTGGGGAGTAATTTCCGGTACGATACAGATATCATGGTCTTGTTTGGATGTGTTTAGTAGTCACGAGGTTTCATTGCAAGCATTTTATCCTAGACCAGGGTTGAAAAGGCGCTTCGCGACTTTTCAACCCTGGCCCCGTCTGACCTTTTCATCCTTCAGTTTGCATAATTGTCCTGCATTCAAACGACAAAAAATGAAAAACAACCTCTCCCATCCTGTTATATAGCTGAATCCCAGCTATTATACCTAACAAAGAAATTTTCACAAAAACCTAAATTTAATGTCGAAAATAAGTGATTTTGTTGAATCTAAAATGCGTCCAGTCATCTCCAGACCATTACGCACCTAATGACGTATCATACGTACTTTAAAATTCATCCCCTAGCGAGATATCCTCCGGACATACAAACGGAAGTGGATGCAAAGTGGCACACACAGACAAACACAGACATTATTTTTTATATATATTAGGATAACGTTTTAGAGCCTAAAATTTTACATGTGAAGAAGATAACTGGCGAAGAAAGTGACAAAGACGCGCACCCTGGTAGTATTTTTTTATCTAAAAAAATGTATGGCCAATTCTGAATATTTCCGTTCTTTGAATACCCTTCGAAAAATCTGTGTCAACCCCCGAACACCCATCATAACTCTTCACAGCTTCTTCATCCCCAAGGGAATCAAACCGAACCCTCCTCCTCCCCTTTCGTTTTATTTTATGACCACCCAAAGGTCCCCGTTCATGTCATCCTCCCGGAACTTTGAAAACCCAACAAGAGCAGTACATATGTTGTGTTCTCTTTTTGTCGCCAAAAGACCCATTTCGCGAAGCTTGGTGGCTGTCATCTAATCCTCTTGGCGCCTGCTAGAGGCCAAGTCGTGCAAACGGAAATCCGATGCTCTTCCCTTCTCTGTGCTTCTTCCCCTGCCCTGCGGGGATGTGCCCACACAACGCATCAAAACCACCATCAGCCTCGGAGGCCAAACCCTGGCTCGGGGGCAGCCGGCTGCTGCTTGGCGTTGTGTCTTTGGGCACATCATTTTTTTGTGGGTGGTGGGCTTTTTGTTAGATGTCAACCTGGCATTGATTTGGATCAGGCGTTCAGCTTGTGGGGGTTGAACTTGTGGTTGACAACTGCTTTAAAGCTACATTCTAGGCTTGGAAAGAATCTAAACTTTGCATAGTTTTACCAGAATTCCGAGGCGAGGATCTGAAAAGCAACCACCCCTCTTCCGTTTTATGGAAGCACTCCGAAATTTTTTTAAATCCTTAATTCAACGTCGAAAATCATTTTCTATAAAATTTGAGAGGTGCATAATTTTTCTCGATAACATTAAGGCGGCATAATATACGATAAAAACTCTTTCCTAAACCCAGTTCCTCCGGAGGGACAGACGAAGTGGCATTCAATCGGCACATACCCAGAGCCACCCCTGTTTTTAGCAATATAAGGCACCATAATATTTTAATTCCCTCCCTGGCCTCTTAACGGACCCCACCCTCCTACCGAAATGTGTGGCCCACCCCATATCTAAAGTCATTTCGGGCCGTCTCCCCCTTCACCACCACACTGGGGCCCTCCCCAATGGGGGCAGATGGCGGAAGACCCTCAGAAGATATGGCCTGAATAATTGCCCCCAAACACTGGCTATTGATCCTCTTTTGCTACACAACATCCCCATCTCTTGTTTTGGCCTCAGCCGTAAATAATTCCGGCTGGCCGGGGCGTCAATGGTGGATAAATCTGGGGGTTTCTGAGGGGAGGATTGGAGGCCGAACGTCGCATTGTCATTAGCCGATTGCGCCGGGTTATTATTTTTGCCGGGTCTCCTAGGATACTGTATAGATTTAATGCTTATAAATCCTTTCGCTAGTATTCTCGAGGCAAAAATATAACCACTATCGCCCATTGTTTCCGAAGAACCTTCCCAGGCGACTCATTTTCCTCTCGGAACGAAACCGAGAAGCCTCATGGGGACTCACTTCCCCTTAATTCAAGATCCTCCCAATTCCTCTCAATTCCAAGCCCACCCTTTTCTTTCCCCTCCACTACTCCAACGAACCAACAATCACCGGGGAAATTGGAAAGCCTCATTCTCATTTTGCATCCAAACCCCTCTCTTCCCCCTTCGTTGACAACCATAAAATCACGAACAATCCCCCGCCCTCCTCCACCTCCAATTCAATCTCACCACACTAGGCCACCCCCGATTAATTTCCTGCTTTTACCCTACTACCACAATTAAATTCGTTGTCCTCACCAAGAATGCACTTCCCTTCTCCGGACTCTAGTTCCCGCAAAAAATGGCTATATACAAAATGGTTTCGCGGTTATCAAATTTCTCTCGACGACTCGGCTGCGGGCTTTTTCGCTCGCTCGCGGCTGCTTGCTTCTCATTTGAATTTCCAGCGGGGCGGCGGCTGAAATGAAAAATGCGGAACGCCCCGAAACCGGAGCATTCATAGGGGATGAGAGTCGGGAGGAAGGGGAGGGGCGTGGAAATGGAATAGGGGTGAGGAATGAATAGTTTTCTCTATACTGAATTTATCAAAAACCCCTCGGGGCGCGGAGGGGTTTTTTTTGGTGGGTGGAGGTTGTTGCTGGGGTTAGGAGGAAGAGGAGGAGGAGTAGGGAGGGTTGTCCGGAGTAGAGCCAGTCTCCGTTGGGTTGAGAAGAGGCCCTTGACACAGTTGAAGTATTCCCTCTATACCACCCATTCCGTTTTTTTGTTGGTCATTCGGGGTATTGTGCGGGGAATGCATACAGAATCTGGGGAAAACATTTAGTCATTCAATGCTGGTATTTGTGTGTTGTTTTTTGATGCTAAATGGGTTGTAGGTGAGATAGGGTACGGTCAACGTAAAGAACCCAATCTTCGTGTCCCAGGATTGACACTTTTGCATTTTTTCGTCTGACGTATCTCTAAATTGGCCCCAATTCCCTCGCATCGACCCAGTGGCTGCAGATGGCGGCGTTCCATTTGCGGGAGTGCGTCAGTGTCTCGTTTTTTGGTTTTACCAAGTTACCGGAAGTGTTTTTGGGCCTTGGGGTACGGTATATCTCATAGTTTTTTCGAGGTTCGGGGTAGTCAGAAAATTATTTCTGCATGTCGACATAATTTAACATTTTTATCATATTCTCTCTGATATTCGCAAAACTTATGGTGAATCGCAGCTGTAAATAATGTGTCATTTCTGTAAATCGTTCTTATCGATCAGAATCAGCGATTTTTGTAAAATCCATTGACTTCAATTGTTTACATATTGCTTTGCTGTTTCAAGCCATAATCAGTTGCTCCTTGAAGTCATCTCTTTCTTTCTCAGCTCCTTTTCTCTGCGTAAATATATTTATACATAATAATACCTAAACTTACGCTTTAAAGAATCCATTTTTAGTCCTGACCAAATCCTTAAAAACTCAAATAAGTCGCCCCTATTGTTCTAACCGGGATCAATTCCCCCCTGTAGGCAAGCAATCCCTCCCTCCTGGTCGGCCTCGACTCCCGTCCCACCCTGGCCATGGCAACCAGACGAACACCCGGCCCCCGTTTTTCCTCCGTCAGCCCCTTGCCCTGGCCAGGAACAATGCACTCTTGGTGTTCGATTTCTCATTTTGCGTCTGGGCCACCGGCTGAATTCGCTCGCGCTCCACGGGTTTCTTCACGGCGGGCCAAAATAAATTTCGCCGCCTGTTTGGGCCTTATTATCCGGGGTGATAAACGGGGGTACGGTAGCGTAACGAGGGCTCAAAATATCTCTGAATGGATACGATGACCCCTTGGATCCACGCGCATTAGTCTTGGTAGTAATAACGATCTTTGTAATTTTGTCAAAACAAAAGTGTTAAGTAAAGGTCAAGAAGGTTTTAACCTTCTGTTATTCTACTGGATAAAAGTTCGGTAAAAAATCGGTGTGCAATTGCATAAAATTTTCGTTGGAGGGTTTTATAGCACAATAGTTCAAAAATTTAAAAGAATTTTTAGTGCGTCATTAGGCACTTAATGGTTTTTGAGAAGACCGCATATGTCTCAAGTTCTTAAAAAATAGCTGATTTTTATATAAAATTTCACTTTTTTAGAAACTTCTCTGTCATTCTTTTTTTACAACTATTAGCATATGGGCATACTATAAGGCAGACAGTTGCGGTTATTTTCTTTGATTATGGCAGCTGGATTCGGGAAGAACTATGTCTCAAACCGTCCCAAACACTGTTTGCCCTTAATACCTAAATCAAATGTTGTGAATCTCCACGACGGTTATGAATTGTAAACTCTACGGACAAGTGGTTCCACTCGGGGGCCGTTCGCCCCTCCAGACCCTCCTCCTCCCCCACATTTGCTCACGTTTCCTTTCCATTTGTGGAGGCAGGGCCCTCTCCTTTCCCAAATTGCGTTTGGCGACCCCGAAAGGGTGGCTCTCCTCCCCGGGGCCAAGAAGGCTGTGGCCAACGCTAGCTTCGGAACGGCCTTCTTCTGCTTCCCGTCCATCTGCCCCATCCACCTCTTCGTGTTCCTCATCTACCATTTCCCCGGGGTAATCATTCTCATCCTTTCGTTGGCGCATCTCCTGCTCTATCCTCGGGTGTCTCTTTCATCTGGCTCTCTGAGAGCCACCCCTCACCCCGTCTTTTTCGCCACATAAAAAACGGGCACCCACTTACCGGTTCACTTTCTGTCTGGAATTGGGGTGGGGGAAGAGCTTTGGAAGTTCCTGGAAATTGTATGGTACCGTATGCTTGGGAAGCTGGTGTCTGACTCTTCCAGAGGATAGATAGGATTCTAGACTTCATAGAATTTAATCCTTTTTGTCTACAAATATCAAATAACGTTTGCAAGAATTTGGCTGATTTTCGTTAAGATAATTTTGCCGAAATTCGTTTTGCATAATGAAATTCCCACATTTCTTACGTCAAAAACTTGACCGGATTGTCGAATACTCCAAAAAATATCGCAACCAAAAATATAGACAAGTAATTTTTAGTAAAACGAAGCTATCACCTTTGTGACAACATTTTGAAGTGTTATGCTAGTGCCTTCACATTGACATTTGTATAGTGACTGTAGGTGGCTATGTAACCCTATCCACACGTTCGGGTGCTCGCCAGAAAGGGCCTTCCTTTTTACATGCAACCCTATCCATTTCGAGGATCTTTTCCTACCCTCCGTAGACGAACCGGGGACATGGCCCTCCTTCCCTTCCCCTCAGAACCCCCATTTGCCATGTACTTTTTCAAGGATGGCCCCAATTCTTTTGTTCGCAGAAATCCGCACCTCAGGGCAGAACGTCGGGGTTTAATCCGGCCAACTCATCCCTTTTACGGCTTCTCCGCGCGGAACTAGGCAAACGGTTTTTTTGTATATTATCGCACCTGCCCTGACGACTACTGTAAGGCAAAAAATCTAATCCGCGGGCTGAGGCTGTAATTGTAGGTTTCTCCGTTCTAAGATGCTAGAATTTTTGTGGTACCACTTCTTTATTTATTCCCGCCTACCCTGGCCCGCCGAAAGCATCTCCGGGCAACCGCGATTCAATTTTTTCTTCCCTTTCCAATTTCCTCTGCACCCTTCTTGCGGCAAAGCTTTCCTGAAAGTGCGGCCACTATGGATGGGGAGGGCCCCCGTTTTCTGGGCCGTCTGTCTCGTCCCGTTCCGTGTTTATACTCCTTGCTGTCACCTTTTCACACGTAGAGCGTCTCTAAATGTAGCGAATTGAACGGGAAGTGCTGTTGGCCCTTCGTGCATACGGGTGTCAGCGGAGGAAATTTGCAAAAATCAATTCGCACTCCCGGCCTTAGGGAGTGGGAGGGGAACTCTCAAAAAGTCATGAGAGTCGCTGGGCCATTATTGGGGGCAGGGTGGCATTTTTGAGTAAGTTTTGGGTTGCGGAAGTAGTGTTTTGGAAATACCAAAGTTTCTAAAATATTTTTACTAAATATTGTCACGTATGAATGGAGAGGGGAAGCTTAATTGCCCACCATTTTGTTGTGCTGGTTAGTAGTGGGAGAGAGAGAGAGAGAGAGAGAGAGAGAGAGAGAGAGAGAGAGAGGCTAACTGAACGACTAGCGGTAGTCGGAGGGCGAGGCGGCCTTCTATAAACGCATCGCAACCTGGACGGCAATTAACGCTTCGCGTTCTGGGTGCTATGTGTGTTCGCCCTCTGCGCGCAACACTAGTCCAACCTCTACTCTCTATATTAAAATGGGAAATGGGTGGGCATAAAGTTGCTAGGTTCAGGAAGTTCTCTTTCTGGTTTGTTTCTGACCTTGTAGCTCCATTTGAATATTACGGATCTACAAGTCCTTATGTTATTTTTATGTCTAAAACTGTAATATACTATTTTTTATGACTGTCAAGGAGTTATGAATAAAGTTCGTATTTTTTCATGGTACCGCCAAACATAGTCAAAACCGATTTTGTCGAAGCTAATTTTCACCACCTGAAGTTTTCGTTTTAGCTGTTTTTGACTGCATAGATTTCTTTAGAATTTTAAGCTCTATCGAATGAGTCATAATATATTGCGCCCAAATATACTTAAATTAATATTTTCGATAATTCGTGATCGAATTATTTCATTTTTCCTACTTCTAGTTATTAAATTACTAACCGTTGATTTTTTTAGTGAAAATCGCCTTCAAAAACCTACCATACACCTTGCAACTTAATTTTTCGCGCATTACTTCCTTGTTTTTCTAACGCTATCCATCCCTTTGCGGCCCTCGCCTCTAGGGGCTGAAGCTCTGAGTGGCTATAGCCGTTCGAGGGCCCATCAGGAATGGCCCCGGGGGGCCAATTTGTAAGTCCGAAATGCATCAGGGATTGGAGGGGACGACCCCATACGCCCCGGCCCCCCAAGCGCTTCGTTAGCAGCAGCTTGCGCCCCTATAAACAACAATAAACATATAAAAATCTAGGGTTCTGCATCAAGGTATTGAACAGCACTCGCCACTAAACTTTTCAAACGCTGATTCACGAAAACAAGCCGATATTCCGCGCCTCGCGCCGCGTAATCCGAGCCCGGCCGTTTTAATGGGTGCGTTGGCCGCTGGTGGCTTATTATGTGTCCGGCGGCGGGCAGTCCCTATTTGTGCACCGGGCTTTTCTCCATCGGCCATTCATCCACCTTTCTAGCCTGGCCGGCGATCTGGGGTGGATGCCGCTCATCCAATCGCATGGATGGGGCGAATAGACTAGACTAACCGGTAGCTGAAGGTAGCAAGTTTCTTGGTTTTTGTATGGGGACTCGTACTTTGTCGTGAAGGGCAGCATTATATTCAAAACAAAAAGTGTGATTTAACTAGTTAATTACGATATATTGCTGCCATAGTCCATCTATTCCTACCTTCAAACCCATTTAAATTAGAAATTGGCCATAATTCCGACAAACATAATCCCGATATCTAAAATACCGACGGCCAAAACGCGACAGCCCATGTTGTGAATAGCACTTTATCTTAATCATTAATTTGCATCTAAGGTTATGGTTTTTAGGATTAAAGTTGTAGGGATCTTGTCGTGTCGGTATTTTCGTACATCGCGATTTTTTATGTCGGCGTTTTGGCTTTTGAGATCGAGTCTAGTCGGTGTTTGAACCTGTCGAGATCGGCAATTTCAGATCAGGGCTTTCAGTAACGCAATTTCTGGCTGTCGATATTTTCGATATTCGATAGTCGATATTCCTGCAACAACATACCAACCACGCAAAAAAGACAGTCCACCCTGCGGCCCTCCGCTTCATTGACTTCCTGACCTCAACTCACTCGACAGTCACCCTTCCTGTTCCTTCTCCACCTCCTCCACACCCTGACTCAATACACCCCCCTATTTAACCCCGTTTTTGTGTCCGATTTCACAACATTCCCCCCGTCGGCCTTTTCAACCTGGTCGTGTGCATGTTTGTCTACGTGCGGAATACCGGGTCAAACCTTCACAACCACCTACTACTACTATTACTACTCCACGGCCCCCTTCTTTATGCCCAATGCCCCGGAAAGTATCGACTACGGGTTTGGCTACCTGGGTGATGTGACCTTGGGAGGTTTGTTTGGGTCGGAAGTACGGGAAATGAGACAGTTTTGTTGGCTAACCTACAGTACGTACTAGAAATTACAAGCATCTGATCAGGAAAATAAAAATAGCGCAGGTTCTAGAATTTTTCATATTTATCCGCTGGTCTCTTCCAAGCTACGATTTGAAAATCCTACCTTATATAATTTTGGCGTGTATCTTTGTGTGTGTGTGTGTGGATGTCAGTTTCGAGACCCGATTTGAGGGCCTTCCCGTGTCCAAAACGTCCCAATTCTCCGTCACCCGGGGGAATCGACCCTTCTGTTTCCGATCGCGTGTTCAGAATTTCGACAAAATACAAGTTTACAAAGTTAAAGCCGGTTTTACTCATTTTTGAGGTCCCTGAGGGCTAATTTGCATAATCTGAAAAAAATACAAATTTCCTCATACTTGCAAGCTGCACGCGCGCGTGTGGTCGGACGGGGTGAAGGGGTCCGAAGGACCCGAGCTATCGGGAAGGCAAATTTCTCATGCAAAGGCCACATTCCAGCGCCCAAGGCCCGCGAAGCGGGTTTTGGGCGCTGGTATTATATAACTTAAGATAAACTTTTGCATAAAATTTTCTAATTCTTCGTCCCGAGGGGGAATCGACCCCATCTTAATTCTCAATTCTACATTAAAATTTCTCTTACAAATCCTGTTTTTTAAAGAGCGATAAGCCGTTATAAAATTTTAAGGGCATGTTTTCGCATTTTCAGACCTCATAACACTTCTGAATCCCTTGAATCTATTCCCTGTAGTCCCAATAATCATAATACGTGCAAAAATCCGGCACGACCAAATCCTCATACCCATTCTTCAATTTTTTTCACACTCGATCCCCCGTCTTTTGCTGCCTCCACGCTGCCCTCCCTTCTTCTTCTTTCCTTTTCTGGCTTCCCGTTGCCAAGTAGCGGTTGGGCGCCTTAGTATGAACTGTTACTTTGATCCGCCCTCTGCCCCTTCAATTTCCGCCGTTTACCTACAGCCCGTGTTTTCCTGAGCTTGAAGTTTTGTCTCAAATACATCCGTATATCCCTTTTTGCAGGGTATACAAAAAAACGGGATGGCGGATAGTCTCCTCGAGAACTACAACCCGCTTTACGATGTCCATCTGCGGCAATATTTTGCGCTGCCGCATATGCAGAAACATCTTCGTCGTATGGGTTTAGTAAGTTTTTACCTAAATTTTGTACATCGGAATTTTAGTCTACAATCCTCTCATAATATCAATATTTCTAGATTGATTCCAACGGGAAAATGCGTGACGGTGAAGAGGCGGTTTACGCTCGACATAATATGATGATGGATATGATGCTCAAAAATAGGTATATTTAATACACACCGCACCGAGTACCGCCGTGTTTTGAGGGAACAACAACTGTTAAAATTAGCTGAACTACAGAAAAAGTTAGATGCTGCTGAGAAAGTCGAGGTCTATAGACGGATTAGGGTAAGCGATTTGCATATAATATTAGCTTACATTTGACGTTTAGAGCGGCCAGAGCCCAGAATCGTTTCGTCGGGTGAAGGCGTCCAGAAGCTTGTCAAGAGGTGGGTAGCCTGAGCAAGCTTGGAGACAAGCTTTAGGCCGTCCAAGGGAAGAATCCGGGGGTAGACGACGTCGTTATTCCAACAGCTCCGATGATAAGCGGATGATCCAGAAGGTTGAGACCACCGACGAAGCTGATCGGATCAATGAGAAGGATCCGTATGCCAGGCTGTCTGCCAAGGCGTCGAAATATCGATATTTGCATAAGGTATTGTGAAAGAGATTCCATTCTGGAAAACCAGTTTTCTGAAAAATTAGGGTTATGAAAATGTCCTAATAAATATGAGTTGTATTAAAAAAAAACCAAAATATCGTTCCAGCTGGATGACCGTACCCTCGTCGACTATCAAGATCAACTCCGTCGCGAGCTGGACCGACTCGAGCGCTTCCGAGACCTCTCGTTCGGCGTCCACTCTGTTGCCCGCCATCCTCCATCATCAGCGCAGTCGTGGTTCTTCAGGAGGAGGTCGCTGCCCTCCCTGACGGCGTCGGCCCCGGCCGCCGCCTTACACGAACCGCTCAGGTAGACACTCCCCCCACGACACGCAGCCATCCCCCCTCATCCTCATCTTGCTTGGGAAGGTTAAGAAGAGCTGGCCTCAGAATTGCTTGAAAATTAGCGCACAGATGGACTAGAATTGACATTAAGACCTAAATACCTCGTGTTTCAACGTCCAGTAGCACATCGTGGATAGATGGCGTTGACAAGCATCATCTACTCAACTTGTTTGCAAATTTTCAGGCGATTTTGTTTCCGGATTTTCTTAAACTTCCCAGGTCAAACCCTACAGCACCGTGTCGTGACCGTGGAGTGTCCCTGTAAAACACACGGTACATCATTAGCTTCTCAGCAGTACTGATTCTCGGATATGGTTTGATAGCGCGCATAATGTTAGGCTTTAAAAATTTTTGCGGCGCCAACATGCGAAAACTTAAAAGCTAACAACGATAGTTTCAATTCCATAGGCCTTTTTCCACAACCACCTCTTTCCTATTTTTTATCCATCATATAGATTTATCGTATAAGCATGTGAATGTCGTGTCGTGCATCAGCAAATAGCTGCCATTCAACTCGACCCAACAAGGTAATTTGCGTATTAGTAAACACCTTAAATTTGTCACAATTTTGCCTACGACCAAATTTTTGAGGGCTTCCATGCTTCAACAATATTATATGTTGTGACCCGAATGAACACACCTCACGAGTTGCCAGAAAAGCTAAAAAATGAAATTCTATAAAAGTTCTGGCAACCCGTGAAGCTATGCCCTTTTCGCTTCTCTTCTACCCCTTTCCCTTTTTGGCGCTGCCTTTCCGTGTGCGGTCGTGTAAGGTAAGGCCGTTTCCGACGACGTCGAATTATTTTTTTAGTTTTTGATTTTTTGGCAAGCCAGAGAATGTACGCAAAGCCACGGCATTGAAACACGCCCACGCTTTAGACGTTATTCCAGCTAGCTTCAGGGGGAATTATGGGAGCCAATGGAATGGGGGTGTGTGGGGGTGGACGGATAGATTTCTTGTAGGTCGGTCAATTCGTTGCGTGGCCGAAAGGTGACGTCATCGCCGAGGAGGGTTGCGAATGATTCGTGTCCACCTACCGTACGACAGAGGAGGACTTCGAATAGTGCAAATCCTCGTTTGCCACCGATTCAGGTTGGGAAAGAGCGCGAAAATAAATGAATTATTTGTTTTTAGCGTAAGCAAGTTTCAAAATCGGCTGCCACCAATGTCACCAAGTCATCAGCAAAGCCTGTAAGGCTGCCACCAACACAACCATCCACCAGGTACGATACGATAATTTAAAAACTCGCTAAATTTATTTTAGAGCCAAGTCCCAGTCGAAAGAACGCGGCTCAACCAAAGCCTCAAAACGCGACAAGCTCCCAGCCTTGGAGGCTGTCGGTGTTGGCATCGGTCTGACTGCCGGTGGAATCGGTGCAGCTGTAATGGCCAGAAAACAATCAGAAGGCAAACCAAGCCCACCGCCAGCCGCTGCTTCTTCTCCATTGGCTTCACCAGCTCGAACCGAATCAATCCATGGCGATGGTATGTTTTCAAATATTAATCCTAAATAAATTCATAACTTTTAGATCGTCAACTGGGCGACGAACAATGCACATTCTACGAAGATGGCCAAGTCTATCGCCCAGCCAGCAATGCAACAAATGGCACAAGTGACACTGGAGGTGCTGATGAAACCAACGATGAATATTCCGCCACCCAAACCACTGAAGATGAACGTGAACGAACACCGGAACCACAGACTGAACCCGAAGACCTGCCCACCCCCCGCTCATCAGAACCTCATCATATCGTTGAGCGCAGTGCCAGCCCCGGCCAAGAGGAAAACCGTGAAATCGAGGACCTAGAGGAGGAGCCAGTTCATCTCAAAGAGATACCGCCCCAGGAAGCCGAGGCTGAGCCTCACCATGAACCCGAGATCCGAGGCTCCGATGAGCCCGAGGGTGGCAAATCTCCGAGCCCGATCCCCGCCTCTCCCATCGCTAGTGAGAAAGAGAATGAGCTGGAAGAGGAAGCTCACCATCAAATTGAGACCGATGGCCACCATGATCAGGTTGTTGAGGCTCACTACGATGAAAGGGAGGCTGAAGGCAATCCTCATGATGAAGAACATCATGCTGTACACAAACGAGTTCTTGATGAGAATGAGGCCCCAACCGCTGAATCAGTTGAAGAGCAAGCGGAGCGTGAAGTGTTCCATCATGTCATCCATCGGGAAGAAGAGCCTATTGATGATCATCATGTTCTCGAGAGCCAACCAAACGTTGAGCATCAATTTGAGCAGCAAGAAGAAGAACGGGTGATCACACCGGTTGAGGCAAGTATTGCGGTCGAAGAAGAGGCAGCAGAAGAACATGTAGCTCATTCACCTGTTGGGTCAGGCAATGAAGAGCATGAGCATGAGCAGGAAGAAATACATGCCCGCAATTTCACCCCAGTAGAGGCGGAGCATGTTGAGGAAATTCATCAACCTACAGTCGAATACGAAGATACAGCTGAACCAGAGACTCAAAGGTCACCGAGCCCGCCGGCTGATACTAAACGGTCTGCTAGCCCAATTGTTGAAGCTCATCGAACACCCAGTCCACCGGTTGAAGCTGCCCGAACACCTAGCCCACACCAACAACAACATCGCACTCCCAGCCCTCCAGCAGAGGCTGAACGTGAGCCAACGCCTACGGAATCTATCCATCGAGAGCCAAGCCCAGTAAAATCTGAAGACCACCATGTTGATGAACAACCTGAATCTCCAATCCAACCGATTCCAATCAATGAGGTCGTTGATCAGGCCATGAACCAAGTAAGCGAAGAATTGACCCGGTCCTTCTATCAAGGGGCTGAAGAAGATGCTGGACCAGAAGATACAAACTCTCCAATCATGATGCGATCACATTCACCTGTCCATCTCGAGCAAGAGGTCCAAGATTCACATGACGCACGACGCGGCAGCATCACTGAGAGGCAGCTAGATGATCAGGTGCTTGATGAGGACACTAATATTGAGCCCTATCAGCATCAAGATGAGCGAGCTCTGGATGATCGTGAGTATCCGGAAGAGGATTTGCATGAGCACCCATCAATGCACAGCGAATCGGAACATCCGGTGGCGGGAGATGCTGACGAAGATCCGGAGATACCACCCCATTCACCGGTAGCAAATGATGTTGAAGAAGAACCGATAGTAGCCACTCATCTTCATGAGCTGGGACATCAGCCCGAAGAAGAACATCGACCACCGAGTGAGCCGCTCAGCGAGCATGAGCCGGTCAAATCTGCATCCCCTGTCATCCAGGACCGTGTGTATAGTCCGGTGGAAGCTGCCATCTCCCCTGTTGGAGATGAACAACGGGAAGAGCGTCTTGTTACTCCAGTGGAAGACGAACAGGTACAGGGAGCTGTCTCTGAATCTCCGGCTCCTGCTGCCGCAACTCCAGAACCGGAAGCACACCCTGAGTCACCTGTCCATGATCATCATGCTCAGGAAGCAGAGCATGGCGTAGTCCAGCACGACGATATCCCAGTTGGCGGTCACAATCAGGAACAACAAGAGGAGGATACGGAAGATCAAGAGGAAGCTGTGCATCCACCAGCTGGCCATGTCGATGACCATGTCTGTTCGATCCTCGACACTCAGCCACAGGGGGAGGATGAGCTGTCGGAGCAGGAACTTAGTGAACGCCGATCACCAGCCGAGCTTCACTACCAACCGTTTGTCAACACTGAGGAGGAGCCGGAGGCGGAACATCACGATCTCCACCATAGTCCGATGAGTCAGGTAAAAAGAGAATTCAGTCTTATTTTTATTTTTATTTTACAGGGTGAGGATTTCCATCTGCAGTCACAAGAGGCGCTTGGCGTTCCGACAATTCTGGAGACAGCCGCTAGTGAGCATGGGCACGGATCGGAAGACAATCTATCTACCGATTCCATGATTATTCATCAGGAGGCTGTAGAGAAGGAGGAAGAGCATCCGGTTGGGGATCATGTCAGTTTTGAGCCTCAATCATTATTAAATTCTAAATTTTAGGAGACTCACAGCGATGAGGAAGCGAAGAGAAGCAGCGACGAAAACGGGAATACTAACGGTGAACACGGGGAGGTCGAACAGAATTACCCAGATGGAACACATGTAAGGACCCTTTTTATAAGTTTATTTAGTTTGTTTTAGGTCTACGAGCAGGAATATGAGGACGAGAACGGCGGTCATGTACACCGCAAGGTTGTGCATAGTGAGCATGAGGACGAGAATGGCCACTACTACAGTCATCACGAGGTTTGAGTCCGATTTCGAAGGGTAAATATTTTATTAGCAGAGTGAGACAACGACTCGGCTGATTCATGCTGGCTCTAAGACGCCCGGAAGTGAGCGTCCAGGTAGAATTTTAATTTTTAATTTTTAAAAAACTATTTTTTAGCCAGCGGATCCCCTCGAATGAGCCCAACCATGGAACAATCAAGCCTCTAAACTCTCTCATTTACATATAATCTCATCATATTTTCTTTTTTCTTTTTTTGCATTCATTTTTGGTCTCGCCTCCATTGAGCTTAAACGCCCTGTAAACTGGTCACACTATAACACACCAGCTGGCTGATGCTTGGTGTTATTATGGAGGAATTTTTTTCTTTCTTCAACAGTGATTTGCATTGAACGCCTTTACAGTATTGCACCCCATCCATTTGAATATCCCTTCAACAAATAGTTAGTCGATCCGATCGTTTGAGCAATGAAACTGGCTTTAAACCACCGATCCCGCTTTTTTTACTTTGTTTTTTTTTATTTTGTGATTTTCCCCGGTAGTCCCCCATTTCCCCCCGCAGATTTGCAGCCGCCCTTCAAGCTTTCATCGCAGAAACGTGCACGTGAGACGTGTTAGGATTGGAAAATTGGAAAGATTCGCGTATAGTGGTTGAGACGATATCTTGCTTGGCTTGATGGAGTTAGTAAATATTTGTTTTAAGCTGCAAAAAACACATTTTTATAAAAACAACCTTTTTAAAAGTACATAGCGCATCGCAGAAGAAGGCTACAAAAAGGGATCATCAAAACTTTTTGGCTTTCTAATTTAATTTTATATCAAAGTACCATAACTATTTAATACAGTACACAAGAGCTACAAAAGTGGATTAATAAAATATATAAATCATCCCATTCTCCCTTTAACATGTCCGAATATATTCTGATCACCTCCATGAAGGCCTTAAGGGTTATTTAAATTGTTTTTAAGCAAAAGACCGTAGTTTTCCGTTCCTAAAGCGTACTTCTCCCAAACTCCAGCCTAGCCTCTATCCTATCCCTATCATTCTCCCGAGAGATCAGCCGCTTATCCTCCCCCCCCGGCCATTCAATTACGATACCAAAATCCCTGAATTACCAACCAAAATCGACCTAAACGCCCATAAACGAAACATGTTTTTGCATCCACGCACTCCATTGTCCTCAACTTCAACGAAGCCTGTTCCTCCTTTCGATGGCAAGTGAGTAGAGCAAGCCTGGATGACCGCATTTTGGTGGATTCACTTTCAGACTCGCCCCATTCCCTCGTCCTCCTCTCCCACCTATCCACATCGATCTCCGCAGGGCTTCGACCACCTCCTCCTCCCCTCTACAGACTCCTCCAATCCAACCCCCTAAAAGGTGAACTTTGTCTAAATTTCGCTTTCTTCACCCATTTCTCGATCCGCCCCAATGCCCCCCACCACGGCCCGCGCGCTCATCCACGTTCCTCCTCCTTTTTCACCTGTTCCCCTATTTTACTTGATCCGGAAAAACTCTCAAGGATCTCTCGCTGACGGGGTTACTTGAGAGTGCTTTTTAGGAATACTTATTCGATTAGTTTTTTCAGCCTACCATGGAAAATGGTCAGGAAGTGGGGGTTGAGGAGAACAATAACAATAATCGAGGTGAGACTTTTTCGATGGATTTAAAGCGCTTAAAATTATACGTATTGCTAGAAATTGCTTGATTATTCGTCAAAAATGCTTTATTCAATTTTCAGCAAAAGAAGATGCTCGCCACATTTTCAAATATAAAGAAAAAGTATTCAGTCCCCGTGAGTCGATGTTGACGTAAGTCGAAAATCAAATTTAACACATAAGGATTTTTTCTAATTTAGGCATCTCTTCCAAAACACCGAGATGTCCATCGTCTACAATTTCCTCGCCGGCGCGTTTATATTGTTCTTTTTACGAGCATTGGTGGACGACGTGTTCACGCATGGGATGTAGGTCACAAAGTTGCGAGCGTGAAACACGACCTGTGTTATAGGCCGTTGCACCATACATGGTTGATATGGTGGAACTTTGAAAAGTTCCCGCTGACGATGATCGTGTGGGGGCTGATGTTTGCATCGACGTTGATTCCATATTATGCATTAAAGGCGTGGGCACAGATGCCTGAAAAAGTTAGTAATAAAAAGATCAGCTCGTGTCGAAAGTATCATGTCGTAATTCGTAGTATTCAGTATACATTTCAGGAAGTCACCTTCCAATCTTCTGGTGTCTGGATTGCTGCCCTCACCGGCTACATCTTCCTCCTCTTCTACCTCCCCCTCCAGTTCCTCTTCAGCGCTGAATTAAATTGTGCCTGCTCCTTCATCATCACTTGCGAAACGGTAGCCAAACACCAATTTTTTTAACCAATTTTAATTCATTTTTCAGACCCGATTGTCAATGAAAGTCTACGCCTTCATCCGAGAAAACCTCTCAAAAGCCATTTCTCGCAAAACGGCCTATACTTCCTTCAAAAATGTATGAAAATCAATTCCGAAAACATAAGACAATTAGGAAGGAGAGCCGCGAGCTGAAGAAGACGATTGGCCTACATTGGAGCAATATTTCTACTATCAGTTTTGTCCCTCAATGATCTACAGAGATCAATATCCGAGGTAAGACCCTGATTAAACGCGGTTATGCTAATTTCATAGATCGGAAAAGACAGATTGGAAGAAGGCTGCATTCCATGGGCTCCATTGCTTGATTCTGATTGAATTCGTCAATTTGGTATTTACCCAATGGGTCGAGCCAGCCTTATCTACAGTTTCTGTAAGTGAACGTAGAAATATTTTTTGAGTTCATAATTTTTAGTACCCAAACACTACATTTACCGAGTCACTACTACGACTTTTCTCTTCAATCTTGCCGGGAATCGTTTGTCTGGTTACGCTATTCTATGGTCTTCTACATTCTTGGTTGAATATGTTTTCCGAGATTTTGACATATGCTGATCGGCATTTCTACGATGTTAGTTTAGGAGTCGCATTAGAGGTATTTTTGATCCTTTAGAATTGGTGGAACTCAAACAACATGGCTGAATATTATCGCAACTGGAATCTGGTGGTACATGACTGGTTGTACAATTACGTGTATCGCGACGTGGCGCTGGTTTGGCATCAAAGGTCTTCTGTAGAGTGTTGATGTGTGCTTCAGTGGATCGGCGGGGGTCGCGGGAAAATTATTGCCCAGACGTGCGTCTTCTTTTTATCGTCCGTGTTCCACGAGTATTGGTTTGGGGTGGCGTTTCGATGCTTTTACCCGGTTATGTTTATGCTGTATTTTGTTTTTGGAGGTGAGAAAAAAAAACTGGATCTTTTAAAAAGCAAAATTAAGGCGTGTTTTTCTTCGTGTCACGTACAATCACAAACCGTCATGTGTGGAATACGGCGCTTTGGTTTAATTTGCTGATCGGTAAGTAGTTATGATGAAAGGATTAAGAAAGCCAATGACAATTAGCATAGAACCGATTCTAACTTGAAAATTAGCATAAATAGCCTACGTTCATTTCCGTTTTTGCAGTGTTTCCCCCGTTTGGCCTTTTTGTCCTTTGAAACCCATTAAATTTTTATATTTTCTAGGAACCGGAATGTTTGTCGCATTCTACGGCCAAGAATGGTATGCCCGACGTGGACATTGCGCTCCAAGAAACAGCGCATTTATCGACGCGCTCTTCCCCCGACACTGGACCTGTGTGGCTCCGAGTTTAGAATAATAATAATAATCGTGATCCTAATGAATCCAATAAATTATTTTATAAAGCACGGAGAAAACATGCAAAACCGGGCAGAAAATCGCGAAACGGGGCTTAAGAAACGGGAAGCACGCAATATCACAGGAGCACAGTTGGCTGGGCGTGGACTAGCCATTTGATTAGATATAGATAGTTTTAATTATATTAGGCGACAACGGCGAAATAAAAGACTAGAAACGAGATCAAACACCCAAAAAACGAACCACAACCAAGGAGAAAGATGCAGTGCAAATCTTATGCGGCAGTATTTACAGCGGAGAGACGCCTTCATTGGCGAGTTGTCTATCGGAAGTGAAAAAGTATGAAATTCTATGCATGCAATTGGGCATTGTGTCCAAAAGCGACGGGTTTGCGTGAGTGAGAAGTGGTTTCATGAAACTGAAAATGTTGGGATAAGGTTTTCTGGGCTGGAATATGACTTACCATGCATCAAAGTTGTACCACTTCCTCGGCAAGAAGGCTTTGTCCCAAGGATTTTGACCGGGTGTCGTTGAGGTTGCCCCTTCGATCATTTCACGGGCCTCACCAACCGAATCCTGGATTTAATATTTAATTATAAATTGGTGTTTAACATACACTTCGCGGAAGGGTTACTTCCTGCGATACTTGATCCCCATATTTAATCTTCAGCCGATCGATCATCCAGCTCGCAACTCCACCGTTTATGAGTACTGTCAGAATGACAATCGCTACTGTTGTTGCACAGATCACCTTAAAAACAGCTTTATATTGTGCTTTTTTAAGCCCACTTGTTTAGCTTCAGTCGCTGTATTTCGATCCGCCAGCGCAAAAGCCATGGCTCCACGAAGGCCGGAGAACAGGATCATGTGCTGATAATTCATTGGAATCTTTGGTCGCCGGCGGATATTCAACAGGGCACACAGCGGATAGACGAAGACGGCGCGTGCTATCCAGATTGAACACTAATAACAAAAAAATCTGTATCTATCCAGCATTCACTTACGATGGAAAACAGTAAGAATGGCAGATTCCATTTCTGATTCTTTGAAACGAATACCGACACTCCGATGTAGCAAAAGATGAACGATTCGGAGAGGAATGATATTATCTAAATCCGCTGTTGGAACTTGCTTGATTGTCATTAAATTACATGGAAAAACTGCTTCGTAGTTGATCTAGACTCCTCGCTCATATTATTGAACGTGTAATGGGCCTGGCAGATACCGCAGAATAACACGGACACGATTCCTACACATTTTTAAAGTTTTCCCTTTGAAAAGTTACCTGTTAAATGCAGTACTTCGGCCAATAAGAACGAAGCATATGAGAAGAGGATGAATAGAGCTGTTTCCAGCAGCGGATGATCGGCAATTGCGGTCAGTTTTGTTAGGAGAGCTGTACAGCAGCCAACGATTGATCCAAGGATCAAAGAACCTAAATAACTTTTTGATAAGACCTGGACACCCTTACCGAAAAACACATAAAGGAAATTCAGTGCAGCGCTCAAGAGTGAATCAAAATCAATTGTTTCTGTTGACATTGAAAATGAATCAATTGTGCTAAAAGTTAAAGTTATAATTAACATGTTGTTTTCTTACTTTGTCAATACGATGGCGACAGCATCGTTCAGCGCACTTTCACCAAAAACAAGCGCGAACAGGTCCGGCTCCACACGCATTTCCGAAAAAACGGAAAGGACAGTCACTAAAACATGTTTTATTTATTTTCGCTTCATTGAACTCTTACCTGGATCAGTGGCCGAGATCAACGCGCCAAAGACTAACAACTCCTGTAACGCGAACCCCATCCCAAATATTTTTGTGATCATGGATAGTAACAATCTGTAATGTACTCTTTCTTCACATGAAAATCAAAAATTACCCAGTAACTAAACACGAAACTGTTGTCCCGACGAAAACAAATGCCAAGATGCTGCCAATGTTCCGGAAGAAATTACGCTGAAGATTTTGATAAATAACGGTGATCATTCATACCTTTTTCAAACTATAGCCGGCGTTGAAAATGATTGGGGGCAGTAGTATGTTGAAAAAGATTTCCGGTGAAAACGCTGTCTAAACCAAGGGTTGCTTGTTTGAAAACACTCACTTTTTGTTCAATCTTCTGCTCGCTCGTTTTCTTCTTGTCGGCATAGAATCCCTCGATCAATTCGTAATGAAAGGAAACGGCTTGTGCTTTCGTATCTTCCCTTACTTCCAGGCTAAATTTAATAGGTAGCTTTTTTCGATTTGCGTTTCTTACCGTAGAAAATCTGGCGGAGCATATAGGCTTGACTTGTTGGAGGGTAAAACATCAATTGTGGTGCTTCTCCAGAGACCAATGTTGAAGTACTTGATCCCACAGCCAATCATGAGACCTAGATGGTTATTATTAAGTTTTATTAAAGTTACTTCTTACCATAGACGATCGTGAGGCCACTTTCATGGACGAATCTGAAGCGGTTATGTTTGAAGAACCATGCTGTCAGTACGATGACGATAAGCACCGAGATGAAGGTGAGTAGAATGACAGTGTCGAGGTGGTGTAGAGCTTCAGCGCGCTAAAATATAGGTAATTTAATGTTTCTATTTGAATCTAATATCTGTTTAATTAAACCAGATCAATAAAGCTGAGTCACCTGCTGTGCATAATGATCAAAATGGATTCTGTTGGCTAGCTTATCGGCCGTCATAGCTGAGTGTTAGCTTTTCGAATGTGGTTGCGCCGGGCGGGGATGGCGATGCTTTTCAGCCGAAATGGCGTCAAGAAGCGGGGCGGCCTTTCTTTGGCGTGTGGGATAGTTTATGGATTGTCGGATCGGCGCGCCAGGGTTTTGTGGCTGAATGGCATGCCCAAATCGCCCGGAGACCCACCACAATCGATGGCCACCGGTTGGTCACCAAAAATACGGCGCTCAACACCCGCCCCTCTCTGTTTCATAATTCCGGGCATACAGATTATGCATTATCGCTGGGAATGCTGGTCGCTGGCCGGTTCGCCGTCCCAACATGGGTTATCAGTGTAGCAAAATGGTAGCTAGCAACTGTGCTTGCCACCTAATAATATTTTTGTTTTCTGGTTCCTTGAAGCACAGAGTCTAGGGTTGTTTTCAAGTATAGGAAACTACTTCCTTGGTATTCCTGAGAAAGGGCCATTTCGGTCTTAACTAAAAAACTTAGCTAGGTTTAGCAAAATGGTAGCTAGCAACTGTGCTTGCCACCTAATAATATTTTTGTTTTCCGGTTCCTTGAAGCACAGAGTCTAGGGTTGTTTTCAAGTATAGGAAACTACTTCCCTTGGTATTCCTGAGAAAGGGCCATTTTCGGTCTTAACTAAAAAACTTAGCTAGGTTTAGCAAAATGGTAGCTAGCAAATGCGCTCACCCACCAAACAATGATTTTTTTCCCGTTTTCTTAAAGCACGTGATCCAGGGTTATTTTGATGCCTATTAATTGGAATATCTATTATCGTAATAAAATAATACCCCTTCAATACGCGTCATTACGTATCCTACTATATATAAAAAAAAATAGTGTTTGTGTGTGTGTGTGCCACTTTGCATGCAACTTCCGTCATTATGTTCCAGTCGTAACTCGATAGGGGAAGAAGTTAAGGGTATGTTTGATACGCCAAAAGGTGCGTAATACTCATGACACGACTGCACACATATCAGATTTTACAAAAAGTGCTATTTTCGACATTAAAATCAAGTTTTTATGAAAATCCGGGTCTCCCTCTTTGTTAGGAAACAATTTGCATGCGCCGGAAGTGGCGAAAGCCTATATAAATGGGCAGAAGGGGATGTTTTTCATTTTTCGGCATGGGTGATTCGTGCAAATATACAAAGTGTAGAATATCATCGGATCAGACGGGGCCAGGGTTGAAAAGTCGCGAAGCGGTTTTCAACCCTGGTCTTGTCTAAAAAAACAAGCGGATACCTGTAAAGAATCCATTTTTCTAGAAACTAAAACCCTTTCTGCAAAATCGCCCATCCCTCGACCGTTATTTTGTGGTGACGCATCAGTTTCGGACACTTTGAACAACGTGTTTTTAACGCGACAAAGCGCACTTAACGCGAATAATAAAACGCCATTCCTATTTTTGCTTTGACGTTGAATAATCATAGGACGAACCCTTTGAGCCGCCTTGTCCAACTGTTCATTGCCCGGCTTCACCGCATGTGCTGCTAGTAGAAATAATAATAGAAATATACTCCATCTGAGAAGGGCTGCAGGCCTCATCCCCTGCAAGTATTTCGTAATTGATGGTTGGATGCTAAAGGGCCGCGATCAAATAAGGGTCGGTGTGCGGGCTTGCTGGGGCGGTAGATGTTCAGGTACGCCTCCGAAATATCTGTTTACCGAGTTTGTTATTTTCGCAGAAAAATATGTCACCCGAACAAGAAGTCTGTTCGTGACAGCTAGATATAATGTCGTAAATAGTTAGCTTCTAAAGCTATGCAAAAAAACACTCCAAAAAGAATGTTCTGCCGAAAAAGCGTATAAAGTTGCAATGACGATATCCCTATTGGTAGCTACTGTTAATGAAATTCAACTTAAGTAATACTAAGTTATTCTGGAAAGAAATGGTGCCTGAAGTACCTCTGTTAGGGAGAAATCGATAAAATGGGCGGCTGGACGGGCGGGGCCTTCGGGCACCCCAAAAATGAGGTAAATTACTCCTTGCAACGCAAGAACCTTTTCAGAACCCGAATACAAAGTTAGAAGTATTAAGAGTGACATAAGCCAGGCCAAACCACGCCTTTGTCGAGCGACGAGTTGCGAGTTTAGGTATAGTAAACAACCGTATGCCTGTCGTATGTCATAAGCTGTCGCGGGGTATAACATAATTTATCTGTATCGAATTGAAACTTATAACAGATTTTACGTATGCAATTTAGTCCAAAGCTAGCAGAAGAATACTACTAAACACTGAAAACACTGAATCAGATACAAACACGGCTGAATAAGACGCAGTAAATGTTTAAAAGAGGCAAGGTGATTGTTTGATATTCACAAATTTGAAGTAAAGGGTACTTTCGTGAAGATAAGGCTGCAGTTCTTAAATACTACAACAGACGCTTAGTTACCTAAATCTCTAAAACACTTAACGAACTCCAAAGGTGGAAAATCTAGGTTTATAACGCAAGGATGGAGTATGTTAAAACGTATATGGTTGCAACGTATTAAAATTTGAGCAGGTAAATAGCTAGTGATTCCGCGGTGCGGCGGACACACCTAAAAGTTGAGATCCCAGTTAGGAACTAGCACAAAATATAATGACTTTGAAGACTTTTTGGACAAAAGCTACTGTCAATGCAACAAAATCGTTTTGAATGTTGAATTCCAAGGGAACCGACATGTGTATAGTCCAATGGTTGTTAGCTCTACACGAATCGTTGCATGGTGGTGAACAACTTTAATTGAAGCATAATATATTTTTAAACAACAACTTGGGGTAGGAGACACCAGAACACGGTATACCAGTAGAAGGAGTGGGGGTGAAAAGTACAACTCGGTGACATGCGATTGAACGTCTAAATGTAGAAATAGTTAATTAACGGCACGAGTAGATACATTCACGGCCTGAGGGTTTGTTGGTGGCCTAGACACAGCCGGTCCAGTAGTAGCAGCGGTTCCGACAAGTTGTAGATCAAACCCGCCATTTTAGGCACGTTGAACAAGGTTGGCTGGAACAAAAGATCCGTCAAAGCGAATAGAAACAGCTAGAGTTTGAGATTCGAAACTGTCTAAAGCAACCGCTATACCGCTGGACCAGCTGCGTGTGGGGATCAAGGCAAATGTGTAGGCATACATGTCCAGGGACCGGGGGGCAACGGGGAACGTCAAAATTCGCAAATTGACAACTTGAGAAACTGAGAAATTGAAATGGGGGAATGGGAAGGCAGATGGAGGGGCGGGGGCATAGAACTTTTTTTAAGGGATGCATAACACTGTTTAGAACCCTAAGGTTCGGGGGGGAATGACGGAAGGGGGGTGGGGAGGTGGGCAAACGGGTTGATGTGCCAATAGCAGCCGATCTAGAAGTCCGCTTCGAAGTTAGTCATCAGCTCCATCTGTGCGGCCATGTCGAAGGTGTTACCCAAAGACTCGCGCTTGCGGCGTTCCTGCTCGCGGAGACGCTCCATCTAAAAATCGGCATCAAAAATAGCTCAGGAATCATCGAATAAAGAGTAAAGGCACAGATCTAAAGACTGTACCTTCATCCGCTCCTCCTCCTCGTCCTTAGCACGCGGAACTTCCCTGGCTTCCTTCTCGCGGCGCTTTCTCTCTTCTTCAGCAAGAAGCATCTGCCTCTGAAAAAAGAATGAATGTGGAAACCAAAATAGTACAAACCTTTTCTTCCTTCTGTTTCTGCTGCTTCTTAAACTGGTCGAAAACACCTCGAGTGCCGGAGTCCCTGTCCTTCGGGGCATCGTTGTCCGGAAGCAGCTGATCCAGGATGGAAATCGCTAAAAACAAGATAAATTACCTATTAATTACTTACAATTGCTAGATTCCTTTTGAGGCTTGGCGCTGACGAGCAGAGGCATGGCACCAGCGTGAACGATGCCGCGAATCTCTAAAATAAAGCTAATAAACCAGTCCGTTCGCTTATCCTAACATTTAGCCCGAAACAGTACTCCGTTTCTCTCCAATTAGCAAACGCTCACCATTTTCCTGTTGTTTCGGAGGCGAGGTGCGCGGAGGCGCGATGATCGGCTTCGATTCGCCGGACGGGCTTTCACGCTTGTTCACGATCGGCTCGGGGTTGTTGGTCACGGCAACGAGATGGCCATTGGTCGGCGGTGCCTCGATCTTCGGGTCCTTCTTGTTGGCGGTAGCCAGGAGTTGCTGCTTCTTCAGCGCCGACTTCTTCCATTTGCCCTTCAGACCTAATAAGCAAAATTAATTCATGCTTGAAAATCCAATATATAACAAAGGACACACCTCCGCCTGGTTAATTGTGCTCACTTGAAAAAGAAAATATTCATCTGGGTCATGAATTTTGGACAAGGAATGGATGGGAGGACATAATTTGATGATAAGCCGTCAAAATACATTAATCAATGTAAGGGAGCGCAGATTGCACGCAATCGGCCCGTTTACTGTTTTCTCTTGGTAGGACGCGAATGTTTTCAGGCGTTCAAAAATGCCGGCGAGTCGTGCATGCAAATATGCGCTCACTTATCGGACGAAAAGTTTATTATCATTATTACATCTTCAGAAATTAGAATGCGTCAAAGCAACGGGCTATTTATGCAAAGGGAGAGGATGCGAGATTTGTGGCGGCAGGGTAGGCAATAAGGGATTCTTCGGGCAGAAGACACGTAATTTCGGGGAGAGCAAAGCTTATTTAGTTCTGAACCTTTAAGGATGTGTTTGCGTTACTATTTTGCAGTGCATTGATAAAACACCTGTATTCCCTGTAGAATCTGTAAATAAACTTTTAAGGAAATGCAGGGTTAGCCTTCGCCTTGTAAGAGAAAAAAATGAGTGCACATTGATCAATTTCCCTGGGTTAATGGCGCTTGTTGAGATTAGTTGCAAACTATACGCAATTTTTCAGAGATTCTGTACATTCCTTGGCCATCTTGTGTAGGGAGTATATACAACAGACAAAATGAGATCAACCGAGATCAAACAGTGAAGGAAAATAGGGGTATTCTTCGAAAAAACCAGTTTTTGAGGTCAAAGCAAGCGTAAGGCCAAATATTTCCTCTGAGACCTATGAAGATAAGAGCACTAGAGCGTACCTGCCGCTGATCCTAAGGTGAGTAAGAGAGCTAATAGGATTCTTTTCATTTCAAGGCACTATTTAGGAGCGAGGCTTCGGTGGTGTCCTTTGTTAGGGGGCAAAGCTGACCCGACCCGTCGAAGGCCAGTAAAGCTTTTCCGAATCCTAACCTGACTCAGAATCAGATGACGAGCTTGAATCAGAGTCTGAAGAACTGCTGGAGGACGATGGTGAACGATTGGCGGCGGGCACGCCAGGACCTAAAAAAAATAAATGAATGACTCATGAGGACAAAAACGAACGGTTGTTGTTGGGGCGCTTGGGCGTCTGAGGAGCAGCAGCGGCTTGGGCGAGAGAACGATTGCCACCATGCTTGTAGTGGAAAACGTAGGCTTCCAGTTCACGCAGCGTGATCGGTTTCAGCGTCTCAAAGTCGATCTCAATCTCGTCCGGGTTGAAACTCTGCAAGTCCTAGGTTTTTTTTATTAAAAGCAACCTTCAATTATCTAGTACTGAACACAATAATAAAGGATCAAAATTCCTCACAATGCCTTCGCGATGCTCGATGATCCTGACCACCTTGATCAGCCGGTCGCCGGGCAATTTGTTGATGTTGGTAGAAAGGACCTTCTTCTCATCGTAGCTCATCGGTGTATGGTCCTCGTCGCTATCGAAAGCATATTCCAAACGCCAGGCATCATCCTTCGGCAAAGCAGCCTTGCCGTTCTCCTCCACCTTCGGCTTGTTCTTGCTGCCCGGCTTACGACCTCGGTTCGATTTAGGAGGCAGCACTGGGTAATCGACGACTTGTGGGATGGCCACTGTAGGCTTGGGCATTCGACCGCGCTGCTTGATGACTTCCGGGCTCTCTTCGCGGTAGTTGGTGCGGCGAAGCGGGGCACGCTCTTGAGAACGAGGCGTGTACACCGGAGGCTCGAGCAGGGCAGTCAATTGAGCAAGCAGCGTTGGCGGCATTTGGGTTTCGCCGACCAAACCGTTGTCCGTGTGATTTTGTTTCAGCATAGAAAGTTCATGTCCAAGACGCTGGAGCTCGCAAAGCCGATTTTGCACTTTCTCAGATTCCTCTTGCAGTTTGGACATGTAGTGCTCGACGCGGTCAGCTACCGGAACTGCAGCACTCGGACCGGTAGAAATCTGAAATTTGCTTTTCAACGATGCATTCATTTTCCGGAAAGACAAGTAAGCAAAAAAATTTACCGTAAGTTCCGGCGGAGGAGCCACAGCTGGTGGATGGCCGCTTGCCACAATCTTGGGCCAACGCTTGCGCACATAATCCAAAAGGTCCGAGCCAGCGACGTACACCATATCACCGGGCTGATTGAATTTATGGCAATTCGCAACCATCAGTTCGATGTCGGCCAAGAATTCGTCGTGATCGGCGTATTGTCTAAAAAAAGCATGGACATCATAATTTTGCGTTACTTGTGGTCCAGCTTCTTTCGAATTGTAGACAAATCCATTGGCTCTTTGACGACGTCGTAGTACGTGGGCAAATTCAATGCGATGACATCAACCGGCACATAGAAGTAGTAAGCGAAGGCCTGAAAAATGAACATCCAACACCAACAAAAAGTTTACCTGTGTTTTCTTGCCAGTCAACTCGTTCAACAATTTTCCGCAAGCCTTCAACTGCTCAGACATCTTGCCTTGCAGCCGCGCCGGCAGCAAGGAAAAGTCGGGAGCGACCCACTGTTGGAGACGATGTCGGACCGGGGGAGGCTATAATGGATGTAATCGAAGCGTAAAAATATATTTACCGCTGGATCCTCAGCAGTTTCTGCACGCCGCTTGACGCCTTTGACTTTCGGGGCCGGGGCTATCGGAGGATCGATATCAGAAGTGGATGCCTAAATCAGAAGGAATTCAATAAAGAACGTCATCCCTCACCTGGCTTTCTGGCATCGCAGAGTCCTGAGGAAATACAGTATCTCCGGAACGAGACAGCGCAACCGAGGGTTCCCGTGACGCCGCTGCAAAAGAGCAATAAGTTAAGATCATCAAGGTTTTCATTAGGATTTTTTTTGCCAAACAATACACCGACACCAAGGGCCCCAAGTGGAAAAATCGCAACCGCGCACCTCGGGTCGCGTTATGTAACATGTCAAGGTACTTCAGATCGTCCAGACCTTTGGAAGCAGTAGAGGCAGCTCTCGCGGGTGCACCCGGTTTCCGACCCGCTTTTCCGCCACGCTTGGTCTTCGGGATCTCGAGCTCCTGAAAAAAATAACTGAATACAAGAACGGACAGCTGTACAACGGACCCTAACTAACTCGTATATCGCAAGCCGACACTATTATATACGCAAAAAAATGACAAGAGTTGCGGCGAGAATGCGGCATGGGCGAGGCGGTTACCGGGTCGATAACTGAGTTAGCCTAGCTATCTATTGCGCAGTCGCAGTAGCAAGACATTACCCATCAACGGTAACCGCCACACCAGGCGAAGCGCTTTGACTTTTTCACCTCTGCCGGCATAGATTTCAATTTCTCTCTAATGTAGTTTTCCACGTTGCGGCTCATCAACGTCACATCATCATCAGCTTGGTTGAACAGGCAACAATTAGCGAAGACGGTTCGAAGGTCCTGAAAAACTCACTTCAGGCGGCATGTTGCTGCAGCGTTCCAAAATCAGCTTTTCCAGCTCTTTGCCCATCGTGACCACGCCGTAGTGTGACGGGTTGTACGTGTAGCAGTTAGTGAACATCGTATTAATGTCCTAAACACGGAGACCCTTCGGAAGCGAATTATAGATGAAAGGCATATCAAAACAACGTTCATTCTTGTGCGGCGGATAACTAGGGGGGAGGGGATAGTTGTGAGCGACGGTTTGCCGGCTGAGCTGTTTAAAAAACCGCTAACGTCTAACGCATCCGTTCAAAAATAGGCCGATTCATTCCATCAAAGGCTGCTAAAAATGAAAAGGCTTAAGGATATTTTTCAATTATAATCAAAGCTATCAAGTAATTTCATAAAGCTGCTTGCTGAATCGGACTATTGTAAGGGCATGCGACAAGCTTAGTAAATATCAAGCACGAATCATTGCGCCCCCCTAAGCGCCTCGCCACAAGCGTGCTAATCTTCGAAAAAACAAAAGATTTTCCAATTTTAAAAGCGCCCCATGTCCAACAAAAGATCGATGAGTCGTTTCCGATATTTGCGAGCTAGTTCACGAATTTTGAAAATCCTTCAAAAAGACTTCAGACCCTAATAACGGTGCAAGTCAAAAGTGAGGTGCAATCAAAACTTGACCACAACGACAAATCTTGCGATTCTCTTTGCTCGGGACTACAATATCACAAAGGCATAGTCCTAGGGGCGTAAAGGGCGTAGGCAAATAAGCAGAATTCCAAAAAAAAATATATCTCTAACGGAGCACACCTCAGCGCATCAAAAATTGGAAACTGGGGAACTGATTAAGCAAAAGGGGATGCGATGGGTACCAAGGGGTCTCCGTGGTTCATAATCAGTGTTTTTGAGTTCCGGGATAGTTTGTCTATTTCATTCATGTGTATCCGCCGGCACCATGCAACCAAGATCAACGCAAGCACAAACTTACATTCATGCATTCCAACGCCGAATAATAATAGAAATTCTTCAAGCGCTTCTCGATAGTCGTCATATCCATTGGTCGCTTGACTACATTATGGTAATCCTACAAGAAAAGTCGAGGAATTATTCAGACAAATACCGGCAGCTCCAATTTGATAGCGTTGACTGGTTCGAGGAAGGGCCATGCATGCTTGTGCTTGATGGCGTACTTGATGACGTTGTTCAACAAAAAGTCGAGCTGATTTGTGTAGCGAGTCGGCTTGCCCACTGGTGGTAGTACACGAGGTTGCACCATACCGTCCACGGGTTCCTGAAATGTCAATGTAAACAAGGATATCAAAATGTGAGAGTTATTAGCTCTTGGTAACATATTCGAAAAGCAGAGGTAAGATCAATTTTATGATTTCCAAAAGAGGCCGGTAATCATAACCTAGTCACGAAGAATTCTTACAAAAATATACATACCTGTTTGGGAGATTTCCAAGGAGCAATAATGTCCTGGACACTTTCATTGGCCGGTTCGGTCTTCATGTCAGCCTTCTCCGCAGGAATGGACACGTCCTCGCTCACATCATCCTTGACATCGTGATCTTCCGAGTGCCGACCGTCTTCGGTTCGACTGTCATCACTAGTAGTCTCTTCATTCTTGACCGTGCGTGCTGGGAACGCGTCAATCATCGTGACATCCAGGTGAACCTGAAATCGCATAATTATAGGCGTAACTAAAGCAAAGAATTGCAAAAATGAGGTGAGAATGTGAAAGAAAAATGCGATATGGGACGAGCGCTACCAGACAGCAGAAAGTCTCGTTCTTTTTAACGAACTCACAAAGAATATGCGAAAAAAGATGTAACTTTTCCAACGGTTAAAACGCATAAAAGCGAAAGCGGCGGGAACCCGGGGAGAGGAGCAGTTATTGCGTATGGCAAAGATTTGTACATTGGTGCCCATCGTGAGCCAGAAAGTGCACGCACTAATGATATAAGGTGTTTGATCAAACAGTAAAAAAACAAGCTTTGTTCCTCAATAGGGCGTATTATTATCAAATTTGACTTGTTTAGCCGCGCACTATTAGTACACGGAAGGCAGTCATTTTTTTTCTAACAAGGCGCAACAGTGAAGAACAAAAGCAAATGAAAGTTGACACGCACGTCAACATTTTGTTTTGTTTTTAAATTATGAGCAGCAACATGAAAGTTCAGGGAAAAACAAGCGCGGCAATCAACAATTCAAGAGCAGTTTACCATTTAAATTTCTCATAACTATGAACGTAAACGTTTATTACCAAAAATTTAGAACTAATTACCGAACGCGGATATAGATGCTTGCACAGGCACTTTTATGTCCGTATAAACAAGCGTGCGCAGAGATGGGATTTTGAATGGCAGGGGCAGTCTATCGATTTTAGCGTTAGGTTGGCGCGTCTAATACCATTCATGCCGGCTTTGACCTCTACGCAGATATGGCGACATAGACACCAAATAATCGCATGTTGCCACCGGATCGATTTGTCGGAATTTGTTCTAGGCAAAATGCCGAAAAACGGTTGCGGGATGGCCGATCAAAGCGGGTGGCCTAACCTTGGGTGGGGTGTGTGTGTGCGGGCAGAGTGCCAGAGTATAGGCGTCCCTTCCCAAACGCCCCATTCCAATTCGCGATGGGACCAAGGAACGTGCACCGGCAAGGCCATTCAGGCTTTCCACTACCAACACTTGCAAGCTTCTCTACCTATATAGTGTCTATTGTAATTATGTTTATTGGTGAAAATGTGTGTTGGCGGGTGGCCAAGCGGCGGTGCTATGACTCAGCGCCCCCCTTCTGTGCCCACTTTGCCCGGCCATTGCCCCCCACTTTCAGGCTACATGGGTGGTGTGAACCCCCTTGATGTTTATTTATTGATGTTTTATTTTGACCCGAACCCCTTTTCCGCTGCCCAAAGTTCCCGGTGTCCGCCCAGATTACTAGGGTTCCTTAAAAAAGGTATGGGAAGCATTATCGATTTGGGGGCGGAGGAAAGGGGTTGGGTGTCGAAAGGAGAGGGAGATGAAGTGACTGGGAGTCTAGTGGAGGGGATGGATGGAAAGCCGGTTGGATAGGCCACGCCTACCAGGGCCGATTGGCTTGTCTGTTATAGGAATGACGAGGACGGGCTGGTCCCGCAACGAAACGTCCGCCCCGTTGCCGGTATTATTGATCGCGTTGCTTACTCCGCCGCCTTTGTGGGTGTTCTCCGGCTGATTGGAATGTCAACAAAAACATCCCCGAACAGATGTGTGAATGGTCTGGCGGAACAAAAAAGTGATGGGGGAAATATCGATGAAAAATTTGGGTTTGGGATAAATTATGGATTTACGTATCTGGTTTGAAAATGGCGATCGGAGGTTTCGAAACTCCGCTCACATTGGACCGATTTAAATTCAAAGTTAAAATATCAACTGGATAATCTACGTTACTGGGAGCTGCACTGGAATTGGGAAAATCCGGAAAACACCGTCATATCCGATGAGCCAAAAACTTTTTTTGGGGAATTTTTCTATTGCTGAGTTTCGAAATTGGACTACAACATAGAGAGTTGAGACAAATTTTTAAAAATGGTAAAATTGGCGTAAACCCAATAGGCAACTTACTAATTATTTGTTTAAAAAAATTCAAGAGCTCGTGTTCGGTGGTCTGGCTAGTAAACAAGGGGATGTCTCCCCGTATTGATACTCGGTCTAATGCTAAACTGGTCCGACATGTTCGAATTTAGGTAGGAGAGCAGCAAATAAAGTTTGTCTTCATCTTCATCTGAAATTAGGAGAAACCACTAATAGTAAAATCAAATGCCTACGATAAAGCTACATGAGTCCGGCAATATAAAGTAAAAACGACCAATTCCAAAATGCTGCCCATTTTCCGACATATTGTGCGGATCGTATACCTTACGCCGCGTCATTTGGTATTTTCAGGAAACTATCCACCTAGTTAGTCTCTTTCTAGCCCATATCCAGCAAATTTATGCGCGCATACTCGATCGAGGGCAACCGAGGCGCCCGAAGCATATCTGATGTAAAAGTGTGTCGAACACTTGACAGCTCGTAAATAGGAATTTTCGTTGCCCACTCCGGCAGTCACCAATATATTTGGCTGACTATTGGCTCTGACTATAATATGGATCGATCAAAGTATTTGGCGGAAAGCCAGCTGAAGAAGACGGCTTTTCTGGCAGTTGTGGTGAGGTTTCAGAGGTTTTTAACGTCCGGAACTTCTAGATATCAACGTCAGCAATATTCTCAGCTGTTGTAACATTGCCATTGGTGCATAATTATGTGCTATCATTACAGAGTCATATGTTGAGTGAAATGGATTATTGCAAGGTGAGTTTGTTGATATGTTATAGGCTAAGAACTGGTGAACAAGATCAAATATGGGATAATAAGTGGAGCTAGTTGATTCTAACTACTACAATACTTCCAGGCAAATTAAGACAATTCATTCTCTAGACAAAATCGAAAAATATGTGGCTTGACATGGTTTCCCTGGGCCTTTCAATGCCCGATGCAACAAACAAACAACGTGCTAGGAGATCGTGGAGTTTTGGGCAATGGCTAGATCAACAGGCTGCAGGTATACTATCTACCACTTCCCCGTAAATTTTCTAAGCCCAATATGCTGGCTACGATGTGAAGGGGGAGGAACCGAGTTGTTGTGGATGTCAACAAGGCTTGTCAGGTTAAAATAAAGAGAAAAAACTAAGTTTTGTTTTGATTTTTAGGGCCACCGGGGCCTGCTGGGGATGATGGAAATGATGGGGCTGATGGCAAACCGGGAGATGACGGGCCTTCCGGAAAGGATGGAATTGTGCAACCAGCATTGGGACCAGTGGCGGAACCATGCATAATTTGCATTGCAGGTAAAGGAATGAAATCTACCCGTCTCGGAAATCAGAGTGCAAAATTCTAAAATCAAGTTTGATAGAGTTGAAGCTCCCTAAGTTTACGGTGTTCTTTAAAGGTCCCGCTGGTCCACCCGGCACTGCAGGACCTAAGGGTCCGCCAGGGCCAAGAGGGTCGCCAGGAAATTCGGGAATCGACGGGAAGAAGGGCGAAAACGGACTACCGGGTGCCCATGGAGTGGCAGGCAGACCGGGAAGGATGGGAGCAAAGGGGCCAAAGGGAGATGATGGTCGGGTTATTATCGTAGGTGCAAAAATCAGAATTGAAATCGGAGACATTCAGATTCCTGGTCCGGTTGGGCCACCGGGGGCACCGGGTCCTAAGGGACTGACAGGCCCTAGAGGATCGAAGGGCGAAGATGGAAAGCCAGGACCTCAAGGACCGGCTGGGCAACCAGGAGGTTAGTTTATAAAAATTAATTAAGCTACCGCTACTGTATTTTTGGGCGGCTTGCGTTCAAACTTCCCATTTTTTGGCTTAAAATCAGGCTGATCTGATAATTCTACAGGACTTTAACGCCCAAGAAAAGGCTAAAAAATTTGGTAATATCAAAGTACCCCTTTTTGACAATTTAAAGTGGCCTGCGACAACTCAGCCCATTTTAACATTTTGATTTAGATGCGGGCCCCCGAGGTAGCGCCGGAAAAGATGGTACCGTTGGAGAACGAGGGCCACCTGGTTCTCCTGGCCCACGCGGCTCATGCGATCATTGCCCATCACCCCGACTTCCGCCCGGATACTAATCAAACGGATAAACATTTAATCAGACCAATTGATTGCCGACCCCCCACTGTCAAAAAGTCGCATTGGACTGGCACGCATTATCAATCGTCTCGCCCCCCTCATCACTGTCAAAACCCAACAAAGCCAGCACTCCCTATCCTTATCGCAAGTGAAGAGAGATGTCCGAGGGAAGTCTATTGGATTCACTACAAGTAGTGCTTGGAAAATGCAATTTGAATGTGGAGAGGAACCAATTAGAGGTCGAGGTATGCTCACGGGGCCAAAATTTAAATGTGCAGTTTTTAGTTAATCTCTAACGAAATTTAAAATGTGCGTTTTTAGTTAGATTCTAAGCAATTTCCCACCAAATAATACGGGGAAGCGATAATGAAAATATGCAAAACGGCATAAGCAATTATCCTAGTGATAAATTTTCATCTCACCTGTCGTGTGAATTCGCTACATGTCCTTACTTTTTTTAGCAATTAGCCGGTGGGTTGACGAATGGAATGTATCTCATCAAAATTTCTGGCCAAAAACGATGGGTGTATCGCGTCAATGGGACAGGAACGGAAATACTTGTAGACAGGTGTTTGGGCTAATACAACATCAAGTGTTGATTAGAGAAGCTGAACGTCAATTTTTACAAATGGCCAACGAATATGCGATTTGTCCTAAAGTTCTATTTGTCGACGAAAAGAGGATGTTGCAGGAATTTTGTGATGGTATTACATTGGGTCTTGATGCAATAGATGACCCGAATATACACAGGTACATAATTCCCTAGGCCGAGCGGCATTTTTAGGTTGATAGCGCGGAAATTGGCTAGGCTGCATGGACATCCAATTCAACCATCTGCCCCATGGTATCCACAGGCATTGCAATCTTATTTGAAAGAATTAGACGATGAGGAAATGAGGTAACACACGAATAAAATTGGTTTTAATCGAATAACCTAGCATAATCGGCACAACATTACTCAAAATCCCCAAGGACACCATAATGACATTATGCCATAATGATTTGAGATTAAATAATGTTATTTACCAGAGAGAAAAAGGTAAGAAAAGGCGTGGCTTTCAAGAGTTATTTTGTTTTGTAGAGCAAGTGTTTTTTGTGGATTTTGAGTATGCTGGGTTGAATTATGCGGTCTATGATATCGCACATTACTTTTGGCAACATAATGGTAAGTCGATATTTAGAGCAAAATCGTTGGCACCATCTTCCAAACTCCAAAAAATCCGCTTATATAAACGGACTTCCACTGCCTAATAATTTATGCCAATCAGGAGCCCAAAATCGGATGGACTTCCAAACTGTAAACCCGGAAAACCGGAAGCTATTTGCCTCCGAATATTTGAGAGAACTATACCAAAAAGCACCAACTAAACATGAGGTTGATGCACTCCTAAAGAACGTTCTCCACTTCGAAGCGGTAATTCTACATTTTACGATTCATTCCGAGTTTGTCGCCAAATTTTAGGCGAACCACTTCTTATGGAGCATATGGTCTCGGATCCAGCATAAATTAGGCAACAGCACTGCCGTGTTTTCGTATCAGCTGTAAGCATATACGAAACATACGAAACTAATTGCCGAAATATTCAGGAATGCGAGAGCTCGATTCGAGTGTTATGAATACTGTTTAAATCAAATAAAGGCATGATGAGGGCGATACAACTACTAATATTTCAGAAAAAATAAATTTTGTGATCATTTATTGAAAGCATTTGATAAAGTTATGCAGCAACGGTCGCAATGCAAATTATGTAAATTTCTCTGACAGGGAATTTATAAGGCAAGTCTATTCCACATTGCGCCAGATTTAAAACGAAATCCTTAAGTTTTCCTTTAGAAAACGAATTAAGTAACCACAGATTCTAACGCCCGGAAACCCAAGAATAAACGGACCTTACCCCATCAAAAATAGTTTTAAAACATTACCTGTATTTCTCTCTTTTATTTTTATGCTAGCTCCAAACTCATTTTCCATTCAATCTTCAGATTTTGATATACGAAACCAGCAATGTGGCAGGCCATGGGGGTTACCCTAGGAAATCGGCGAGAGGCTGCTCTGCTATCTCTGCGCTCTCTTCGACAACCCGGCTGGGTCCCGGCTGGATTCCCATGTTCCATCGTGCGATACTGACAGACACTCCGACCTCGGACCCCACACGAGATTTTCCACTAAATATTTAAAAATGCCTTTAAAAAGAGTACCTTTGTGTTGTTTTTGGCGTATTTTGGCATTAATGTGAATTTGATTTCAGATTCTCAAACATGGGCCTGAGCACAAAGCCACTCGTCATTGATGGCAAGGACCATCTTCTCGGAAGATTGGCATCCACTGTTGCCAAGCAGCTTCTTCTTGGACAGAAGGTAAGTCGAAAAATATTAAGTCGTATTCTGAATTAAAAGCTAGCTATAAGTGTGCTAATACAAGGTTAAGACATTATGAAAAGACTTTGGTATTTCCTCGCTTACATTCGTGAATTTAGCGCGAAATAGTTCTTTAAAGAGCCGAGCACTTTTTATGGAAAATTTCTATCCATGACCCTTGTTGTGTTAAAAAAGCAATGCGTCAACCCCTAATCGGTAAATATTTACTTTTCTACTCCTTCGCCGATTTATAAAAAAGATACATTACCCCTAAATTACTTGATACAATTGGATTTACTATTTTCAACAAATGAAAACACCCTCCAATTTGCATTCCAGGTTGTTATTGTCCGCTCGGAGGCCATCACCATCTCCGGAAACTTCCACCGCTCCAAGCTGAAGTACCTCTCTTTCTTGAGGAAGCGCCTCAACGTTAACCCGTCTCGCGGCCCATACCATTTCCGGTAAGTTGAATGCAAATTAGAGATGTGCAAGGAAACGTTTTCTGGGAAAAGGTTGAGTTTAACTTGCTATTTTAATAGACAGTTTAGATTTTTCTTAGGGAATATCCCAGATTTTTTCACTAACAAGGAGATGGTCTCTGCTCGGAATCGAATTCGGATTTGAAAATTTGCACACTTATAGAGCTCGACGAGACAAATCGATTGGCGTAACTTTCAGCTGCTGATACAATAACCACGCCGAGTTATAAGCATTTTAAGTTTTTGCATACATTTTGCATTTTTCGGCCATAGCTTCATAGGCCTTCCCCGCCTCCCCATCACCATGTTCTGGTGGCCTAGTGGTGTAGTAGGCGTCCTTCGGGGAATCTAACGAGGGCTCGCACCCTCTCACGATTTTTATTTTTTGCTTTTTCGTCCGAAGGTTCCTCTTTGCTTTCTGAGGACCTTGCGTAGCTTTTTACGCATTATTTTAATTCCTCTGGTGCGCCGACAACATCGAACTTCACCGCAAAAATTTTTCTTGCTGGGCTTCGAGCCCATGTCCGACCTATGACTACCATTTCCAAAAAATTTTCGCGGATGAAAGTTTTTGTTCGGATAACACACCATTTACCAAATTTACGTTTACTCCACGATTTTTGATATGCTTTGAATTTTCAATTTATTTCGGGACCGGCATAGTCATTTCGGGTAAAAAAAATCTAAATTTTTTCAAAGAGATGTTTTTTAGCTATTCCCACCAGAGGAATTAAAATAAGGCGTAAAAAGCTATGCAAGGTCCTCAGAAAGCAAAGAGGAACCTTCGGACGAAAAAGCAAAAAATAAAAATCGCGAGCGGGTTCGAACCCTCGTTAGATTCCCCGGAGGACGCCTACTACACCACTAGGCCACCAGACCATGGTGATGGGGAGGCGGGGAAGGCCTATGAAGCTATGGCCGAAAAAATGCAAAATGTATGCAAAAACTTAAAATGCTTATAACTCGGCGTGGTTATTGTATCAGCAGCTGAAAGTTACGCCAATCGATTTGTCTCGTCGAGCTCTATAAGTGTGCAAATTTTCAAATCCGAATTCGATTCCGAGCAGAGACCATCTCCTTGTAAGGGATTAATACAGAAAAAACTGAAAAGTTATCTAATTATTATTCTTCTGAGAAACCATTACTAATATCTGCTGCAGATTTGCCGTTTTACTATAAACGGGTTGGATGTTCTTGCCAAATTTTGACATGAGGGCCGAGTTTGACTTCCCTGTCCCTTTAAGTATTCTACAAAGATAATATGAAATAATATCATAGAATTAAGCTTAAGATAAAGACTTAGGAGAATTAAGCGAACAAGATTAAACGTTACTATTTCAGCGCCCCGTCCAAGATTTTCTGGCGCACGGTTCGCGGTATGCTCCCCCACAAGACGATCCGCGGAAAGTTGGCCCTCCAGCGACTCCGATCGTACGAGGGATGCCCTGCCCCATACGACAAGACCAAGAAGCTTGTCCTGCCCACCGCTATGCGCCATATCGCCCTGAAGCCTCGCCGGAAGTTCTGCACTGGTCAGTTTATTAAATCAAAGATTATCGTTCGGTGAATCGATAGCTTTTACGCTAGATTTAGAACTACTGTTATAATTAAACCATTATACTGTTATAGCCGTTAATACAATGCTTTTCAGTCGAGCGTTTGGCCCATGAGGTCGGATGGCAATACAAGGATGTCGTCGCCAAGCTCGAGGCCAAGCGACACGTCAAGGGAGCCGCCTACCACGAGGAGCAAAAGTCGCTGCGAAAGCTGAAGATTCAGGCTCTTGCTAATGCACAGAAGAAGGTAGGGTTTTTATGAAGTTTTATAGCCTTCTTTTTCTAAAAAATAACTACGTAGTGCTCCTTCCGTCTTCCCTTCATACAACCCTCCATTTCAGATTGCCAAGTACCAGCAAATCATTGAAAGCTACGGCGGACATTAAACCACTTTTGTTTGTTATTTGTTAAATAAATTTTTTGACAATATACAACTGTAGGACATTCTAAAACAGAGAACATCCACAACCAAATACCCAGCTTACCTACACGTGTACTATCAGTCAGTGGACACGGACTTTGCATCCCTTCTGGGGGGCACTGGGTGCCAGACTCTGCTATCTTTTCGCCTCCAACGTTCCAAGGCAGCCAGAGTCCAGCTTTTTCACACGTTTTTTTGCACATAGTTTCTTTATTTATCATTGTTTCTGGCTTTGTTTTAGTGGAATTTCGGAAAAAAGCGATAAATTTGCATTTGATTTCAAATTTGCATTCTGGGAGCTTGGCTTGGCCACATCACTTGCCTGACATGAATAACTTAAATTCTCTTCTTCATAATTAAAAATCGAATACATGCTGAAATTTTTAGTAGGTTTGAATCCTTCATACAATCAAAACGCGTCCTTAAAACCAACTTTTTCTCCATATAAAATTTTTTAAGTATGAATACTGGTTGTAAATGCCAGTTTCTTTGAAGAACTCACACTTAGATCCCTTTTTGTACTTATTTCCGAATAAAGACCAGAGAATCACTTACCATCTGTCGCCTGGCCCATGAGACAAACCCTTTCAATCCCGTTAATTTTGGGTACTTCATAGTCCTCTTTACATGTCCAACCCATGCGCCCTTGTGTACCGATTTGATACTTGTATTTTATTTCCAAAGTTAGGCGTGATTTTACGAAATAACGGCAATCCTTGCCAAATCTTTTATATCGACATTTATAGTGGGAAGAACGCTCTTAAGTAATATATTAACGATTTTAGATGGGAGAATGCCACCACTTGCAGCACTCACGATTTGTTGCCCGGCATCCCACTGAGGTTTTGAAGAATTTGTTTGGTAATTGCAAATATGTTACAGTGTATTACATGTAAAAAGAAAGCAGTATGGATGTGTGGAGGCTGTCAGTCCGTTTTCTGCGGAAAGAAAGGCGAAAGCCATGGTCAAGCTCATTTTCTGAAAATGGGCGCTGAGGTATAGTTCCCCCCAACTTTTCTTGAAAATAATTTTGTTATAGCGATCCAGCCATGTGGTGTACAAAAACCTTACAAATGGACGGTTATTTTGCCAGTCGTGCTCGATGGCAGTGGGGGAGCCAGAAGATGTTAGGGATTTGAAGAATGCCCCCACCAATTATCACATACATTCGAATGGAAACTATAAAAGGCATCCGGAGGAGAATTACGACTCGAGCGCATCCTCGGCCTCCGTATCCCAGCTCGACCGTGAGCTCCAGCTTTCGTACATAACAAGTGTTTTCAGAAAACGGCACTGTAAGGAGACGTGCACCTTTAACTTATTTGGACGAGCCGCCTGCTAGAGGTACAGATCACCTTAAAACGTTATTTCGCCGATTTAGGTCTCACTGGCATCACCAATATAGGAAACTCTTGTTATTTTAATTCAGCAATTCAAGTGTTGTCAAATAGTCGCCCACTATCTGCGTTTTTACGGTAGAATTACACATTAAAATATATAAACTCTTTCACAGGTCCCAGGCCAACTTTTGGATATTTGCTGACAAACGCTTATGCTGGCAACTTTCCAGTCACTTCCAGCAGGTGCACCTTAAAACCTTCAAGCAAAAAACTGTGTTTTAGTTGTGGAGTCGACACCCTAATCCCTACATTGATGTTTCGATGTTGCTATCGACCTTCAAATCCGATAACCGGTTCTTCAACAATTTACGACAACACGATGCCCATGTATCAGCGCCTTTCTAAAATTAGCATACACAAGTTCAGGAACTTTTTCGGTGCCTACTAACGCAACTTGATGAAGAACTATCGGAGCCTATGTTTGATTATGAGGAGAATTTGAGAGCCAAGAAACCGAAGACCTCGCCGCAAAAGTGCGTATTTTTATATTCGAAATTTATGAGGGGTTATTCGACTGGGTGTAAAGCTATATATAGGAAGCTTTGAGGTTATATTTTTCTTTGGAATAAATCGACAATCATTTGCACGATTTATTTTTTCACAACCCTTTCAGTGACACCTCGATATTGGGTTCAACCGTCGGAAGTCGCAGCGTCATAAAGGATATTTTTGAAGGAAGAATTGAATCGACGGTGCTCTGTTTGGGTTGCCATACAAGGAGTACCACTACCGAACCATTCCAGGCAATAATACCTTACAAGGTCAAATAGTATCAGTTCAGGAACTATCCCTCTCCATGACAATGAACGACATTAACGAACCGAAACTGGAGAAAACTGAAAAAGAAGACCCGGGCGTGACTACAGTACGTTCAAATCCGCACAAAGATTCATCCAAAAATTTCAGGAAGTTTCCAAATTCACCCGGATGGTCAACTCCTTCACAGACACCTTCTTTTCAACATCAATAGATTTAATTGGCTGTCTCGAGGAATACTTTAAGCCTGCATTATTATTTGGGGATAATGCCTACAGATGTGAGAAATGTAAAAGGTAATTAATCAAATCCTTTTGAGATGCCTTTTTAGCCCCCAAAAAGGTACGAAATACTGCCAAATATCTTCCTTGCCGGAAGTTTTATGCATCCATTTGAAGCGGTTTAAGATGGATGCAGCTGGTTTCAAACAGAAAGTAATGAGCATCTCGAGGATCTAGAAATACAGCGGATTTCAGGTTTCCACCCACACATTGTTCCCAGTGTACGGCTTGAACCTGGCCCCATATGCGCTACCAGAATGCACAAAAAACGGAGCGAAATATGAGCTATCTGGCATGGTAATCCATTCGGGCAATCAAGCCGAATCTGGACATTACACGGCTTGTTGTCGGAATTTGGATGATGGAAATTGGTTAGTACTGGGAACCAGAAATTTAAATAAATTAATTTCTAGGTACACCTTCGACGATAAAGATGTAATGAAAATTGACCCGATCGATCTGTTGAGCCGTGAAGCGTATTTCCTGCTTTACCAGCGTATACCTAATGAAAAACAACGGCTGGGCGGAGAATTTTCTTTACTAACAAAAATGGAAAAGAATTGGAACCAGTCAGAGGTACGGTATAAGTTCTACCGAAGGGATCTATTATGACTTTTCAGGAAAACTTCACCCATTATATCTGTCGAGAATACTTGGAACGAATTCGCAGCTTCTCCAACCCAGGGCCCATACCTAACACGAGTTTTCTATGCGCACATGGCAAGATTTCACCCCGGAAGAGCAACAATATCGAGGCGATTGTCACGAAGATTCCTGGCTCGGCATGGCGTCTACTTCAAGCAGAGTAACTTTATCTACCGGAAATCATGGGTTTCTTTAGGTTTGGTGGCGGCCCAGAGCTGGAGTCATTAGATTTTTGCGAGCCTTGCGAAAAGGAGCTGAAGGCTCTATGCAAATCCAAGGAAATGGAGCTACGTCAATTTGCATTCGAGGAACTGGACTTCTTCGAACAATGGCGAGCTGACGGTCGAAATCCGACGCAATTGTGTGTCGTGCCGAGGGTATGGCACGAGAAATGGATGTCCTACGTGACGCGGCTTGATGAAGGTGCGATTTCCTTACGATATAATTTGTATTATTGTCTGTTTAGTCTCGCCAGGCCCTATCAATAATAAGGAGTTGTATGACGAAAATCAGGACCCGTTGCCATGTTGCCCTCCGCGAGGGAAAACGGTGTCACAAAAGAGTTTTGAGATGTTTGTAGAACTATACGGTGGCGGTCCTACGGTAGGTGGAATAGCATGAAAATTATTCTCCCAATATTCCTATAAATTTTTACTTTCAAATTTTCAGGTTCGATGCATGGCTGACTGGGATACCGGATATGCTATGTATATGGAACGCCTCTATGAACATGCCATGTCGATGGATTTAAAGGTAGAGGAACCTACTTATAACACCCTTACTTTTAGAAAACGGAGCTCTACGTACCCAGCCCAAACGGGGACAGCTACCTTTATTGAGACTGTGATGTAACATTTTTGTGTCCAATACCCTGTTCGGTTGATACGGTTTCACTTGGTTGTTGCTTGTGCCTATGACTTGCTCGAAAATTTCTGATAAAGATGTTCTAGTCGCCAGTTGTTGCGCAGTTTCTTTCAGCAATCTGTTTTTTTTTTCAAGCGTATCTGATGATTTATTCGGGGTTGGTGGGGGGCTGGTTGGGGGCGGTGACATGTCTGGTATTGTACATCGGAAACCTAGGGCGGAATTTGCCTTATCGCCTGCCGGCTACGCAACGACTCTCCTTCCTCTGCCCCCATGCAGCCCCCTCAAATTGACTAGACTCGTCCCCGAAAGAACCTTTCTTCTTCTTCTTCTTCTTCTTCTCCCCCTCCTCCCGCCCATCAATTGCTAAAGCCCCCTAGATGGTGATATGTCTGGTATTCTTGGGTTCGATTTTCGAGCAACTCACGAAACGGGCCTATCATCGGCTGGATGGGCTGACTATTGGAAAGCTGTTATTGTTTATCTTCTAAAATTGGCCAAGAAGAAATAGCCGAAAACGTTCTCTGGTCTCCGAGCAACTGTGTGGGCAAAATATTGCGAAATGCAATTTTGAGACACTATCTTCTGCAAAAGATCTTACTCGGCCAGCCAGCTTTTCATTTATTCGATGATTTCACATATTGAGGTTCTATAATGTAGGGTACATTAGTTGTATAACACAACTCAAAAATTCATAACATTAATTTCCTCCTACCCTACTCATCCTTCCCGTTTACCATAATTTCTATACTCTCAACCCCAACAATATTCCGCATTTTTTTGCAAAACCAAGCCAATGCCCAATCGATACTCGGGCCGACTATTCGAAAAACCCTCACCTTTTTGGCGCCCTTTATCTGAACGGCATCCCAGCTGTCCTGCCCTCCTCCTCCATTCTCCCTCACCCTCCGTTTCTATCTTTTTCTCTTTCCCTCCGAGACCCCGACACCCTTCCCCCTCCCTGCTTATGTCCCCTAAATTGGCGCGCTTCCCGCCAATTTTCCTTCTTTCCCGACGTTGCCAGCCATCTTGCCAATTTTTGTTAGATTCCTATTTTGATAGCCATTGCTAGGATTTGTAAATTCCCCTCTGTCGGAGGTGCGCCAGCCGATGATATGTCTGCTATTCTTGGGTTCTATATAGCGAAACCCGTGAATCAGGCCTATCTTCTGCGGGCTGTGCCAAAATGCTGAATACCCGTATCCATATCTATCAAGTACCCATAGCAATGCGACCGTATAAGTGCCGTAAGGAAATAAATGAATCAATATGGTATTTTAGCTATGATGTCTTTGTTTTCAGGCTATATTATAAATATCACACTAAAGTATTAACTGCCATTATTGTAACGGTTTTCGGATTATTGTATTTCTGATGATTAGTGCTGCAAGCAGGGCTACGGTTCTCGTACTATCGACGACATTTCTATCGCGTAACCAATCTGCCAAAGGCTCGCTCATTAATGGAATTGGCAGCCATTTACATAGCTTATCGGGTCGCAACTACAACATTAATGCTCGAAAAGGTCGAAAATCCCCCCAGGATATTCGGATGCGCATGATAAGAAGCCATGCCTACAAATTTGCATAAAACCGCAATTGTCCTGTCCTGCATTTATCAGGGAAATTTTATTTTTTTTTGTTTTTTAATTGTTTGTTAGACAATCGTCTGGTTTCAAGCGAGATTATCAACTATAATAATTTTGTTGTGGTGTCTTTGTGTCTGAAGCCGAATTCAACTCATGGGGGCAAGGAGTTAAAGCTTCGGTCTAAGTAAACGTAAACGTAACGTCGGGACTTTGGATTTTCTCATTTTCTCCATTCGTTTTTTTTTCTTTTTTTATGGTATCTTAGTAGTTTTTTAAGGGATTTAGGTAAGGAAAGATAGCTCAAGCCATCAAACAGGTCGGGTATTGATGGAGGTAGGGCGCCAAAAGATTGGGTTGATTATACAGGGTGCCCCGGAGGCCAGTGGATTACAGTCGCGAAGCGCCTGAAATCAGCTGGTGATATATAAGTCCTTAGATGCTTTTGCTTGATAGATGCGCGAAATTTTTGGGTTGAGAACTCACTGACTTTCCCGCCGTTTCCCTAGTTCATTTTCTCTAATACTTCGACTTTCTTGATTCTGCCCTTTCTAACAATCTTTTCCAGGGTTTTTTCGGCCTGACTGAACAGCCGCTCAGCTCAGTGTACAAAAATGGATGATCGTATGGAAGGTGGATCTTCATCGATCAAAGAGCCGGAAGCCTATGCCGAGGGACGCGTCGGAATCAAGCGCAAGCCAGAACTGAAAGACACTTCGATCAAGCCAATCAAGCAGGACAATCCGGGAATTCTTATGACGGTGATCAAAAGATTCAAAGGCATGGCTATTGACGGGACCAGGCAGCCACTCACTGACATTACTGAAACCACTAGTGCCGAAACGTTGGCCGCAACTGGCTCCGACGAACCGCCATCGGGGACGGAGGGCGCGGGAGTTGCTAGCGATAACAAGACTACAGTTTCGACGAGTGAGATTATCACGGGGTAACGTTTTTATATTTCTTTGAATGGGTTGATTAGGGTTTATGGTTGTCGCCCAAAAAGTGGTGTATGGAATGGAATGTGTAAATAAAGGTCAGAAATGGGTTTAGAATAAAAAATTAGGCGGCGGCAGACACTTTTTAGTACTGAAATCGATATTTTAAAGGGCTGCGGACGGCATGTGTCGATCCCCCCTCATCAACAAATTGGCAAGTAGCCAACAGGGCAGAGAGCGCGCCCAGGGGAGAGGCGCAGAGACATTTTCTTTTCCGCGCGTAACCGATTGACTATGCCGTCGGCATCCCTTTAATTTTGCGATCTACAACCATAAACCGGGGTACGGGGGACACCGGTTTATGGTTGTAACTCAAAACTGGGATTTTGCTATATGAAAAGAAAGAGGATGATCTGAAAGGAAGTAAGCTGCAAAAATAATTAGGCGGAAAGACCGAAAATGGGCAGAAGGACCTGTCCTAGGAGGTCGGTCCATCACGCCCAGTTTTAGCCTAAAAATAAGGCTTCGTGCCACCCGGGGCCTAGTCGCTTCGGATGGGCGCGAGCTCGTACAGGGTTTCGAAATCGGGGCGCCCGAGGAGCGCGTAGCGCGCAGGCGCCCTGATTTCGAAAGAGTGGAGCGGCATCCCATCCGAAGCGACGGCCCGCCTTGCCTGACAATGCTGGAAGTCCTACCTTTCAAAACCCCCGTTGCCCCTTTTTCGGTCGTTCCGCCTCATTATTTTTGCAGCTTAATTCGTTTCAGATCATCCTCTTTCTTTTCATATAGCAAAATCCCAATTTTGAGTTACAACCATAAACCGGTGTCCCCAGTACCCCGGTTTATGGTTGTAGATCGCAAAATTAAAATATCGATTTCAATACTAAAAAGTGTCTGCCGCCGCCTAATTTTTGATTCTAAACCCATTTCTGACCTTTATTTACACATTCCATTCCATAAAACCACTTTCTGGGCGACAACCATAAACCCTAATTTTCCCCTTTGAATTAAAATATATGAAAGATAACTGTGAATCCCGATATTTTAGTTTGATGATGCCTGCCGAAAGGGGTTTTGATGGACAGCGATCAACACTGGGCGCGGTCCTTGTGCACGAGACTACGCCTTGGCTATTTCCGAGACATCAGACCGAATACAAGATTGATGGGGCAGCGATCGAAGCCTCACTATTGACCATGGATCAAACTGTACCGAGGGCATTCTACGATTCGTTGCTGCTCATCAATGCGAAAAACTGGTCGGAGGGGAGGTGAGTACCATTTCTTAATCATTAAAAGGGAAGTTTTCTTGCTTTAGGCCTCTTGCTTTCACTGCTCCCATTGGAGACAATACGACGGCGACGAGCCCTGTTCCGACCGAGCACTCTCTGGAGGATGCTGAAGTTCACGATGAAAACGAGCCAATCGTAGACGGTTTGAGCATGTCGACGCTCTCAATTTCAGACGGTAAGGAAGACCATATTTATTTTATGAGATTGCTTTAGTCCCTGATGGGCTGCCTGACCCTGCCCTCATAGGCGATCTCGCTCAGTTAGACGACATGGGCAGGTGAGTTCCTATTCCATGGATGATTTTTTGGATTTAGGGATGGGTGGTGGTCTACGATGCTGGTCAACAACTTTGCATTCGCCCACCCGGCGACTAACGCATTGGCCCGGACCAAATTCGGCATGGTAGATCCAGACGTACAGGTTGTATTTGAAAAGGCTATAACGTGATCATGTTATAGGGATTTCTCATGCTGGACTGTCAGATCAAGGAATTTTTGGGTCCGTTTGAGCGTCGCCTCTATGGTACTTTGGTTCTGTGGCTTGTCGAGAGGATCTTAAAGGTACAATTAATTAGTTTGTTTAATAATTTTTCTACAGCATGACATTGGAGAAAAGCAAGGTGCTAAGCTAGCGGTCGTCTGCGATTCACAGGATCTACTGCTGGAGGCCGGGGATATTTGCGAGCTTCTGGGTAACTTTTCGGAACACACTGTAATATTGTTCTAAGGTGTGCCTTACCATCAATACGGGACTTCGCCAAAAGAGTTTTTGTAAGTGTTTCTTCTTAATTTTATTTTTTTTTTAGTCCGGCGATGATCTTATTGACTCCTGCCCAATTCGTCGACGGATTTTTAGAGGTGTGTTTTATGATAATTATGTGGAATTATGGGTATTAGCGAATTCAATCGATTTTTATTAATGGTTTTTCTAGACCACAAAGCCATACGACCTCCTACAAGTGCTCTTCGTCGCCCCGGAACCGCTCAACGAAGAAAAGAGGGGCCTGCTGATCAAGTCCTTCCAGACTTTGGTTGCCTTTCATTCGACGAGCTCTGCAAAAGAGCCAACCATGTACGAAAAGCGTCCCTATGTAAGACCACTGATGAAACTGTATTTTTGTTTTTTTTTAGACCAAGTGGGCCCAGTTCATTCTGATGTGCGAGAAGGAGGAAGCGCGTCTTTCCAAGATCTTCGAGATAAAAAAGTACGCTCTTGCCATGTTGTTATAATTTTCTTTTTTTTCAGCACAAGCAAGCATACATTTGACGTTGTGAAGAACGAGGGCCAGATCAAGAATGGCTTCAAAGGCACCCCACAGGGCAAACCCAGGAATTGCCGCTAAAGCATCTTTAGTATAGACCACTTCTTAGCATGGTGATCACTCATCGGGTTTAGTTTTTGATCTACTTGTTGTATGGCCTTTTTGGCGTTTTTCGTGTCTTGGCCGTCTGTGTTTGTCGGTCACATGCCTTTGTTTTCACTTTTGTGATAGTATTTTACTCACGGGTTCGTTAACTTTTGTTGGTTTTTCGTTCGGCTTTGCGTTAAAATAAATTTATTACGGAAAAAGGATGTCGCAAGACCAAACATATCACGATGGGCCGGGTCAGGAAAGGGGGTGGGTGGGCTCGGAATGGGGTTGGCGCTCGCTGTTCTCGAGGATATTCGTATGAATATAGACAACTCGTATCAGGATTTCATATGCTCTTTATGGTGATCATTTGGGATATTTTTGGGGGTATTGGGTGGCGAGGAAAGGAGAAACTATAGGACTTAATTGGGTTTGAGAATTTTAATGTTGCTGGAAAATGAGAGGTCGTGGGTCGTCAGCTAACTAGGTAGGCGGCTGAAGGTAAATGGGGCCGAAAGATCGGACATCATTATGTTGGATTTGGCTATAAGTGAGGGGGGGGGATCGAATAGTTTCTGATAGCCCTAGTTAATTACTGAGACCCTCATATAGAGAAAGGGCATGGACAATCGATGGATCGGCTTTAGCTCCCTCTTTGAATTCGTCTAACGTCAATTGTGCGTCGTTATTCTGAAATTGCCATTCTTTCTAAATTTTCGACGGACTTGTTGGTATCGTGGATATTGATGGAGTAATACTGACCTTGTCCATCATTTTGAAAATCCTGTCGACCCTTTTCTCGGGAGTGTTTTCGTCTTCCGGCAATCGTATTGAGGTGCCAACCATTTTATAAATGGAATCGACGATGGAAAGCATTTCCTCTCGAGTGATGAATCCGTCCTGGTCCAGGTCATAGAGCTTGAAGGCCCCTTAAAAAAATTTCCTGAGGATCTCCGTATTTTGAACACCGTCGGCCTTGGTGGTACAACCAGAAAAAAAACTTACAGTGCAGCTTTTCGTCCAAATTCCCACGAGAAGTAATTGAAAGAGCCCTGATGAACTCGTGAAATTCGATGGCCCCATCCTAAGAGCTTGGTTTGAAAGAAAAGTCGTAACCATACCTTGTTTTCGTCAAAGACTTTAAATACAAAACATGCAAAATCGGTGGGGTCACCGTGGGGAAAGAATTGGCGGTAGATCTTGATGAAGCCCTATAATTCTGAGATAGCACGAATGGAAGAAGCCACAAACCGCTTCCGTCAGCATACCATTCGGGCAGTCTCGGACAAAGCCCTTATACCATTGCTTGATTTCTTTTTCGGTGACTAAATTATTGAAAGTGATTGAACAAAATGGGAAGCCTACAGTAGGTTTGCTCGGCCAAATTCCGGATTTGGTCCGTTTTCAGCTTGCTGCCGTTTTTTCCCATTGCACTGTATCGGTCATGTAGACATCATATGTTTAAGGGTGGTAGAGGATGTCAGGCAGAAGCCTAAATTTAGAAAAATTATTGGAAGGGGTTGTGCAGGGAGAAAACGACATTGAAAATACGCTTGGCCTGGGAAGTAACGTAAACAAAAACAAAAAAAACGTATTTAGAATTCAAAGTATGTATTTTTATTTCCAAGACTCGACACTTGACAGGCCTGTTCAATAGGAATCTGGAATGGTATCACAACCATTCGTGTTCCATAAAAGTTTTAAGCTTTAAAACCACCGTTCCCCCGCAAAACATCGAAAATCCACGATTTAACCGGCGTGCCAAGCAAATCCGGTCCCGATTCCGAGGTGAGAAAAACGACGGGGAAGAGGGATTAAGCCGCAAAAAGCAACGTAGCCTGGCCCCATCGGGTTCACAGTTTTGTGCAAATAATGCCAGCAGCCACGCAGGAGGCAATGGGGGGAGATTTGCGCCCGATTTTTAGCCGTTACACCTTGTGGGTTTGGGTGGTCCGGAGGCTAATTATGAGAATCCTGGGAATGGGTGCCCTTTTTGGGGGTGGGGCGCAAGTTTTTGTTGGGCCTCGGAATTTTTGTCGTCGCGCCGATTTCTTCGTGGTGGGCTGGGAAACGGATATTCGCGTGGGAGGTCGGGGGGGAACCGAAAAAACGGGTGGGGGGTGGACGGCTTCTCGGGGGTTGTCGGCTGGAAAATCAGACATTAGACGCGAAAAAAATGGCGTCAGCCGAGTATCGGGCAGTGTGGATATGTGCGTGTTTATAGGTGCCAATGGGAACTGGATTCGGAGTTTATGAAATAGGGGTTTGTAGCTTGTAGGGAAGGCTTAGGTAGCACGTAAAATATTTTTAAAGGTCTTGTGACAGGTAGATAAAGCTAGAAAAGAGCAGACCGTCTGGAAGTAATAAATCTTGATATACGGTGCTTTAGAGAGCTGTGTTACAAGTGAAGTGCAAAAGAATGGAACCCAGCAAATCAATTAGGAAACGCAAATTCTTGACCAAAATATCTATTTAATGAAACTAGCGATGAGGATGCTGAATATCTCGTCAGAATCAGCCAAATGAATTGACGGAAAATTTTATTCGGTTGCGAAAGCTTGGTCGGGCCGAAGCGCCAAAAACCAGATTCGAAACCTGCGTATCCAAATCCGATTTAATTAACCCTTAATTTAATTAATTTTATCACCATCCCAAATCCAAGATAACAGAAAAACAGCCCAAAAAAGCTTGGCTCCCAACTGGGCCTCCCCCACATTAAAATTTCACGCGACCCACTTTTGAGTGCCCCCGACCATGGGCCCCAACAAGGACGTGTTTCCCACCTTACCTACCATTGCTAGTGGAGTTCCTTCGATTAAAAATATATAAAAGATGCCCTCCTCCTCCATGCCTCAACCCCCCTCTCACCTCACGATGGAATGGCAATTTGGCTGTGCTAGCGCTTGGGCCTGAGCAGGCAAGATGGGGCTTGGGAGCGCTTTCTAAAATGCGCTCTCTCACCCGTAGCACCCGGGTTGGGCATCAGGCGGACAAATTGAGGGAATTGGCGGCGGGGTGAGGTTGAGGAAGGGCCCGACGGGGTGCGCGAGCCAAAAGGCAAAAAAGTAGGTGTTGCCGTTTTTCGGGCCATTAATCCCGGAAATCCGGGCATGCAGAGGAGGAGGATGGGACGCGCCGGCAGGGGCTGGGGGGAAATGCGAGAGGGGGTACCGGGGCCCAACCCATCAAACAAGGGTTCAATGTCTGGTTTTGGGGTAAAATGGATGCTTTTGTCCTGTGTGTGTGTAGCGGCTAGTTGTCCGAAAGCGGTTAACCATCAATCCGAAATGTATGTGCATTCCTAAGGAGCCCTCTACCACGCAGAGCACCGACGCACCCTCCTTCTCCACACACACTGCTGCTGCTCCTGCTTCTGATTCGAGCTAGAAGGAGGGCTCCTCCTCTCTTCTTCACCCCCCGCCCCCCGTTTAAGGCCAAGCCCAATTTAATTCGGGGAATTCGCGTCTGCCAAAGAGCTTCCTGAGCGAATTCCAGGAATCTTGGGATAATTGTGTTTTTTTTAGTTATTGTAGTGCCTGCTCTGGTATTATAGGGCACCAATAATTGTATCAACATTTTTGTAATAGTTAGACTGGTAAAGGTTGCTTAATGAGGGGAAATAACGCGTCCGGAAGCTAATTGCCTATTTAAAATACAGAGCAAAAAAAAACAAAAATTAATGAAGCGTTATAGTTTGCATCCCAATTATATTGTTATCCCAATATCGTGTTTATATCCGTAATATCTCTTCTTAAAATGAATAACGTGATTGATGCAAAATTGTACTTAAAAGGCCATCCGCGAGTCACCCGAACAGGCCCTAATATGGCTTGGCACAGTTTTTTCCGACCTTATTTTTTTGACGCCATCTGAAAGAGCATGGTCGAATTAGAGGAGTGGCACTATTTTGAGAATTTTAAAAGTTTAATTTCGGGGTTAAATCGGCCGTTAAAGTTGCCGATGTCAAAAAATTATCTCGAAGGCCTTTTAATAAATCTACGCAGGTGCTATTGCAGCGTTCCATTTGCAAAATCCTTACAAACATTTTTGCTATGGCAGGTTCATAAAGCCAAGCCGTCAGTTTATTTGTTTTGCGACCACCAAAATGCATAATAAGCTAAAAAGCGTATAAATGCGTTAGAACGACTCGTAATGGAGCCGCCTATTTTCATCAAAAACCCCCGGGTAAGCGGTGCCGCATTTTCGTAGCCGCTTTTTGCCACCCCACACCCAAAAAGGCGGCTTTTGCACTAGCGGCCTCGGAATTCACAGAAATAATTAAAATCCAGCGCATTTTTGGGAAGGGGAGGTGGTTGGTATGTGTATTTTGTGGCTTTGATATAAATATTGCAGCCACTATGCCGTTTACCCCCGGATGGCATTAGAGATAGTTTATTCATTTGGCGGGGCTCCGGAGAGGGAAGGAACCTTCCTTAGCTATCCTTTTCAACCAACGAGCATTTTTTGACAATCGAGTGTAGGTACAGCCACTCAATTAGCAAATGAAGCCATCCGAATTCCGCGTCCAAAATAGGTGCTTCCGCATTCAAAACAGGGGGCCAATTCGGTGGGATTCTGTGGTGAAATGGATGGCACTTTTTTTGGCCCCCAACCGCTCCACGCGGCCCACATTTTCCGTCCAGAACCGCAATTTTCATGAATGCAATATGATACCGCGTGGCTATTACGCAAATTACAGTAGGATACCCGGGAATCGGCTGAAAAATCGCGTTTTTGGCTTGCCACTCGATGGGCCACAACCCTTTGAGGGGCAGCGATGAATGTAATTCCCTTAGCCGGGTGCCCGGGTCTCACGCTTTCGCGATAACAATTAGGAAACGATTTCCGGACGGCTCGAATTGCTATGGAAACAGGTTGGGTATGGTGGCATGGTGGGAAATGTAGTGGAAAGTGTGAATGGATGGTAAGATCTTGAGTAAAACTTATTAAGAAACCGTGGTTAATCATGAAGTAAACAGGCAAGGTTTTAACTCGCAAATATATAAGAAATTGAGAAAATGTGCATGAATTCTAGGCCTAGATTTACGAAACCTTAATTATAAAATTTGTTAAAAAATCTAGAATTTTTAAGTTGAATCGGAGGCAAAATTCGGTATAAAAGAATTAAGCTGAATAAAAAATAGCCTTAAATAGCCTGCTTTTGCGCACAGAAAGCACAGTCTAGCCTTAAACTTTTAACGACAAGACTTTTTTAAGAAAGACACGTCCCCGATTCCGGGCAAGACAATAAACTATTTGCCCGCGACATCCAATGGACTCAACTTGCCGAGCCAAGCCTTGAAAATGGCGGCTATTGTTTTATCGGCTCCCATCGGGTAATTGCGGGGTCGTGTGGAGGAAGGTTTTTTCTGCACTCCACATCGAGGTGGCCGGCATTATCAACTTCCTAGTTGGGCCTGCTCAGATTTTTTCTAGGGTAGAAAAAAAATTGGATGAAAGGGTTGTGCGTGTGCGTCTTTGTGTGATGACTACATGGGCGGCTAATTGCAAAAAAAAATGGGGAGGATTTATAGAAGGGGGCTGGTTGGAAAAACCAGCAGAAACCAAAAAATGGTATTTAAAGCGTAGGTTCAGAGATTACTACATATACACCTAATAACGCGAGGGAACGAGGTAAAGAGTGACACGCAATTGTTGATAGGTGTATATGCTCAACCACTTGAAGGTGCGCTTCAAGGGGTATGGATGTTACGGTTATAAATCCGATAGCGGCAGACAACGACAATTTATTAGAAGCATACTTTTAAAGTCTATTTAGCATCCCGCCGACATATCAAATTTTTATATGCAAAATCTTGCTATTTCAGGGTACAAGGCTATAATTATACGGTTTTATCCCCCCCTACGCTCGCCTAAACTCATGTTGAAAAATAGTGACCAAAAGTGTGGCGTGGACCCGCGATAGAGTTTGGGAGATGGGCTCGAAGTGGAAAGGGCCCAAGCTCTCCTCCCAAGCGCTTCGTGATGGGAGGCAGCCAATTTAGTGGAGCGCCGCGTAATGAAGCGCTTCCAGAAAAAGGGGGTGGAGGGCATTGGAGCACCAGAAACAATGCTCCTTGGGCCCCCTCCTTCGGGAGGCGTGTAAACGTGCTCGTGTATTCGAAGACCCAAAACATCCCGACCAGAAGACATGATTACCCCACACACGCCCCAAATATCGCCGAGAATAGTGAAAAAAGAGAGGGCGTAAAAAGGTTGGCTGATGTCAGATGGCGGTGTCCGAAAGTGTGCGGATATTTTATAAACACGACCGGTCGCGTAGTTTTTTTTGTCGTACGAGAGTAAAGCGTCAGTACATGTTATTTCTATTATATAACACCGGTTATATCGTCTGAAAGCTCTTAAGAACTTGCGGATACTTTCGGTACGGTAGCGCGGCTTTCCGGGCCTGCTTTCATCCTAATGCCGAATATCCCATTTCCAAGCTTTTAAAACAATCACCCGGACATACATTAACCAGTGAATTCTGCATATAGATTGCGCGAAAGCCGCCCTTGAAGTTATTTACATAAATTTATCTAATCAAAGGGATCCTAAAATATCAAAAGGAGAGCCGCTTCATTGCTATGTGAAATTGAATGTGATACCGTATACCGCGGACGTATTGGGTAAAAATGAAATTCAGGAGCCCTCGAAAAACACCCTGAATTGTACGGTTGTTGGCATTGAGACTTGCATGCGTTGGTAATGAATCAGAACGGATGCAATGGAAGCAGGTGTGCTATGCATAGGCAAAAGCGGCATTTTGGAGTTCTTTTCACCTGTTATAATAACAATCTGATTCTACTATTAAAAATATATCCTTTTTGCATAATGTCTAAGGCACGTCAATAGCTATGAAAGATCCAGAAATATCTTAAAAAATCTTCTGCAACGATAGGCACCATAGTTTCTTTGCTAAAAAAAAGTGTTGTTTTGAATTTTTAACCAAATACTAACAACTTACTATATATTATCGTAGACGCTTGTTAATGATAATGAAGGCGAAAAATGAAGAAATGGGCTCCCGGTCCCATGGGAGGTGAGGCTGTTTCCCGGGCGACTAATCCGGAGACGGATCGGAAGGAATTCTCCCCTTTTTGGTTACTCAAGAAGAAGAAGTAAGCCCCCTCCTAGGCATCACAGCGCCAACCTGCCAAACACCTATCCTCCACCATTTTCAATCCGTCTGAAAAAAGCAACAACGTGCCGGGTTGGGGCTGTTAGTAGGGCAGAGTCCCGTCAATGACACCTGGAGTAGTGAAGGAACGACTCAAACTACCAATTCACGTAAAATTAGGAGGCCGTAGGAATGTCTGATTGAAAAACTCCAACTGAAACACTCTTGGAATTCAGACTTTCCACAGTTACGCTACATTACAACACATTCCTCACGCTAAAATATATTTGTATAAGCGTATAAAGGTACAACAAACGTTTATCCTTAACTTGTCGTAAAGCAAAAACCCGGAATGTTTGTCCAAAATGCGAAGCCATAGGTCAGAGTCGGGGGAGATTGATTGCAGATGTGGACCAGGGTCGGAGGCCCCCAGATTTTTCAGCATTCACCCTTTGGGGCGGATCGTTTTCGTGCACAATGGACCGTTGGGAATGCATCAAACGCTGAATTCGATTCCGATAATTGAAAACTGGGTTGGGTTTTTCGAATACGTTCTGCCAAAAGCCAAGAATAACAGAAAACACGATTAGGTCGTTGGAAAAAGTCTAATAAAGAAAACTTCGAAATTTAGGATCTTCCGAAGCTCGGGAAAACCAACAACAAATTTTAATTAGGAATAGACGCAACAGATCAACCAAAACATGATTTCCAAACCGCGAAAGTATGGGAGGGCTGACGCCCCAGCTTCATGGTCATCTGAAAATTGAATCCAGGCCCCGAATCAGATTTTGACTGGAAAGCGGAAACTCCAAGTGTGGTATTCCATAGAGGAGAATCACAGAGTTTTGGGGTCATGGTGGATTTCGAGGGATTTAGTCTTGGGGTCGCTGTCGCGCAAAGAGCTTTCAGCCGCAGTGGGTCGTCATAGATAAGTGGATTAGAAAACGGCACATGCGTCTCGTCACATCGGCTACACCACAAGAAAGATATTGCCTAGATATGGATCCTTTTATTCTTATAATTTTTTATATTTTTCAGGGTTGGGTAAGAAGGCATATAGTTGGGTGGGCGTTACCGCTGAATAATTGGCTGAAACGAAATTCAATACTTTGATATTTTTCAGTGCGATGGCGATGGGTTAGTAACGACAATCGCAATTTTTATATGAAATTTCGTTCACCTACATCTTGCACCATAGTAAGCCCTTAGAAATCTACGACAAAAGGATTGATTTGCATAACAAACATATCCTGCTAAGTTAGCGTATTCCTTTTTCCGTGGCTTCAGATATTAATGGATCGTAATTTAAATATTTAAAACCGGTATCCCAGTATCAAAAATCAAACTGTAATATTCAAACAACGCGCATGCGTATTTTTCTTCAAACCTAATAAACATTTATCTTAATAAAAGTTTTTTTTATTTTGAGTTCAAACCTACCATTCCCCCTTTTTTGCCTCGTCTTTGTATTTTCAACGTATATTTGCATCCAGTTACTGCATGCTGGGCTCGTTTCCTATGCCGCGCCCCTCTCACAGCACTACCCGGAGACTCTGCCTGTTCTGCACTGGACAACCCGGCCTAAATATCTCAAACATTTTTCTCAACCCGGTAGGCCATTTCTTTTTATTAATGTCTCGAGGACTTTGCGGGAAATCGCAGCTGATCTTTACCTCCATTATTCAACATTCCCTCCCAATCATTCATTCCCGGTCATCATATTTTTGATCATTTTCAACGGTTATTCTTGGTTTATTCGTCGAAAACATGGTTATCATCGTGTTTTCTATAAATTTTTATTAAAAATATTTTTACAAACTTAGTCATTCAGGTAACCACTTAATCTACCATGAGCTCCGACATCGCGTGGCAGGTCATCCGCAACAACTCGGCCTTCCTCCGAACCCGCAAGAACATCCCCAAGAAGTTCTCCGTCGAGAAGTACGTTAAAAAGGCCAGAAAACAAACTTACTAGAACAGCAAAAGGATGAAACATTATTATCAAAAATATTAAGGTTCAACTTGACCAACACCAACTCCCAGCGACACAACGGACTCATCAACAAGAAGGGAATCGATGTCTCGGTACGTTTTAAAACTACTTTTAGGCACCTATTAATGGAATATTTAATAATCCTAAAGTTAGTATCTTTCACTAAATCGAAAATCCATTGGCTGGAATTTTCCTTGCATAAATTTGCATTGAAGTGCTTAAACATTGCTTAAAGCCCCAGCAAATTTCGAGAAGCTAATGAGATTTCGAAATGTTTCTACGGGATGTAGATTTTCGATAGAATAACAGATTTCATGTAACATTACAACATTTTCAGATCAACCAGAAGGGAGAGCTGGCTGTTGCCATCAAGTCGCAGAGGAAGTCGCACCAGCCCGTGAACGCCGTCGTCACCAAGACGCTCAACGCCAAGAACGGACGCTCGGCCCTCAGGAAGGTCGGCCGCATTGCTGGCGGATACAAGGCCATCCATGCCCTGGTAAGTAGCGACTTAAAAGAATTATGTTGCAGCTGTTTCCCGGAAAAATTAGGTTTTGTCAGTCCGACCAGTCTGTCAGGGTTCTCAAAAACCCTTGGGCATCTACCTTAAAACATTTATTATCCCTGCCGATCAACTATCGCAACCAATCATTAGTGTGCGAACAATTAGTCTACTTTGTTAATGGAATGCGCAGACGTTTGGAGCTAATACTTCCCATTAATGTGACAATCTCCACTACAGAAAGGCGGCCTACGTGGAGTAAACATTTTTAAAAAACCTCCTGACAGCTAGCATGTTTTAAAATCAACTATTCAGCTCATTCCCCCCGCTTTCGAATAATAACGCCCTCTCCGCCGACTCCCTTTGAGCACAAAGCCCTCCCCCAGCCCCCTCTCCCTCGACCGGGATGGCCGAGTGGTTAAGGCGTTGGACTTAAGTTCCAATGGAGTGTGAGCTCCGCGTGGGTTCGAACCCCACTTCCGGTAAATGTTTTGCTTTTTTGCCTAAATGGCAGAAAAAACTATTTGAACAGCGGCGTGGCATAGTTTTGGATGTTTTTGCGATTTTTTGTAAGGACTTTGGGTTCTATAGGATCCTTGACTCTAATAGCCAATAAAGCTAATTAAAGGTTACAAATTTTAATTTTTATAATCTTCAGGCTTTAGGAGCAATGTGACAGATTTTGCGTGATAAAAACGTTAGAAAGAAATTTATGCCGATAGGTGCGGGTGGACTTTTGTATGGAAACACATCGCATTTTAGACCCAATTCAACCCCCAATGGGTTCGAAAACTAGTTGTAATATGCATGAGCACTGGTGCGTACATTCTGTGGTAGGCTAAATTTGCATATGCTGCTTGTCGTGAGCCCATGCATGAGTGAGATGGTGTCGAATGAATGCACAACCTAATTAGCGCGCCAATCAACCGAACATAGCTTTGGGAAAACAGCAATGAAGCCAATTATGGCATGCGTTACCATCTCTAGCCAATGTTGTTTCCACTCAAATAACATTTGCAGACAAGTTTTTAGGCGATGAAAAGTTGTACATGGCGTATCGTAGAAGTTCTATCCGAAAATTCCTCTGGGAGTGCTAACTTCCATTAGATGAGCACCACAATCAAGCATTTTGGCAATGCGTACGCACAATCAGCAAAATATCACAGGAAAACCAAAGATCTTTTACGTAGACTCCGAAAAGACAACTCGACCCCGATGTCGTCTATCTGAATTCATAAGCAGATGGAGGCGGCTGGGGCTGACAGCTTTGATGCTAAATTTGGTGCTAACACGGAAGGTCGAAATCGGCCAAAATTGGTTTTCGTCACGGGGTCAGCCGACATTTTCGTGATAAGGTTGAAGCATTGAAAAATTACGCGGTTCTGGTTTCGGCGTCATTGTGGGAAAAGGTCATTTAATTTGGAGATTCCCATTTTAGAAAGTAGGAAAAGGTTGGTGGAGCACAAATTGACGAAATGAGCTAATTTTAGTGGCCTTTAAATTAATAAAAGGCTGAAAAAGTTTGTTTTGTGAACCCGAGCAATATCGATTTTCCGTGCAGCCTGTTGCCCGGCTCTACTAATAAACAGCAGCGCCTGTCTGGAGAAAGCCCTCCTCTCCACGCATTCTCCCCATACCGGGATGGCCGAGTGGTTAAGGCGTTGGACTTAAGTTCCAATGGAGTGCGAGCTCCGCGTGGGTTCGAACCCCACTTCCGGTAAACGTTTTGCTTTTTGACCGAAAAGTCGGAATACAGGCCTCTAACAACTGGCGATAGCTGATTTCGTATCTTTTACCGCATTTTTATCTTGAAGACGCTTTTGATGCTATACCACCAGGTATTTTTGTATATAGTTTTGCGGTCATAAGCTAACTCTTAGATGAAATTTTTGTGCGATGAACATTCGCAACCTGACACCCCCACCTCATCAATTATTCGAAAACTGATTACACCGTCCCTTTTTAGCCTAAAAAAATGCTTGCAGGTGCTGTGGATAATTGCTTGCAGGCGTTATATGGTTGGGCGAGGGAGGGGCGAGATATTGTAGTCTAGGTTTTTTCAGTCTTGGGACTGACTTTATTGAGCATGTATTCGATGATTTATTCTGTATCTTTAGTTGTCTTTCGTATTTACAGTTTTAAAGCCAAGATTACGGGGATTTGAGTTGTAGATTGATTTGGCCATCATTCGGCGAGAAACTGAAAATTTTGTAATTAGCTTCGCGATTCTCCTCCCTGAAATTTGCACCAGTATCCCCCAGAAATTAACCAAATGAGAAATGGAGCTTAATTCATGCCGCAGACTGGTTGTTGCTTGTCTGCTCAATTACCGCAGGCCCATCTTTAGGCTGTCCAGCGGAAGGGCTAGTGTTGTTGGGGCAGAGCCAAAGGAGGAGACTCTGTGCTTATTATGAGTGTGTATGTGTGAGGGGGAAAGGGGGGGGCCCATGGCCAGGGGCCCACAGGGCCAACCCTTCGACGAGACTGGGACCTACTCTGTATGTCTGCCTCTCCGCACCGAGGCCACACCTTTTCTAATTTCCCCTCATTTTCAGCCCGCCCAACGCCGTGCCTCCCAGTTGCTGCGCTCGCTGAAGCACAAATCGGCTGCCAAGAAGCCGGTGACCGAGGCCAAGGCCGAATAGATCCAGGCCTGATCAAGCCTGACTGTTCCATATATTGTTATCCATACCCCCCAATTTGCCTTTTGATCGTTATCCGTCGCCCCTTCCTTGAATAAAGTGTCAACATTCCGGGCGTGTACCACCCCCGTGGCTTCTCTCATGCATTCTAAACCACACTAACAGCCAACAACTAAGCTTCTGTTGCAGGACAGCACGTGAGTGTGGCAACATCTGGATGAATGCCATACTGGAATCGGATCATTATTCTTTTTGTGCTCGCCATCCGGACGAATGCGACGAATTGTAGCCGGACCCTCGACTCTGATACGTTGGAATGTGATGGCATTCCTGACGACATCGATCTGGCTATTACGAATTTGAATTTTACTTCTTGCCCGACAACCCAGAAGAATATTACGAAATTTTATGGAATTCAGAACCTATATATTCTCTGTCCAGTTCGATTGGACCTATTTCCTAATGTTTCCAATGTATATTTCAAAAAGGAGTCTTGCTCTCCAGGGTCTCTACTTCCATGGCGTTATTTTGCCGTGTCTTATAATCGCCAAGTAAAAACTCTACACCTAGAGGAATGCGAAGAAATATCTTGTGATTGCACTAACGCTTGGGTAATCAATTCTAACGTCTCCGGCGTGAGTCATACTTTATTCCGATTCCCTAAAATCGTCTTACCAACGAATTGGACCTGTGATTTCTCAAGATGCCCAATCGAGAAATTGGCGCTACCTTCAAAAGTGGTGGTCGAGGTTGGAGAAGACCTTATTTTGGAGGCCCACCCGCCGAGGGATGCCTCATTTGACTTCGATTTCAATCCATTTTTCCGCTACGTGCACAGCCCTGGGCCACCGTATACTGAGACACATAATGGGTCTACGATACGGCTATTTGCCGGTGAGCCATCGCTTTCTCATATGGGGATCATCGCCTTCTACTGCTGGACCTGTCAACAACCTCTTGTGCGATTCGTTACGGTGGGTGAATTTTGCTGCTCAGGAAATGAAGGAAAAGGAACATTTTTATGAATACTTATTTGAGAAAGCTTGAGCGGGATTTTTGGCTCGGATTGGGTGGGTTTATTGCCGAGTTTATCCGTCTTAGCCTAAGAATTGTGAACGCTGAGCGAGACTAGAGCTTTCTTTGCGGCGTTTTTGTAAATTCAGGAGCCTGAACTTCTTGAATTCAGCTCTTTGGCTGCCTTTTTTTTGGAGTTCAACACGTTCCACTCCTGCTTCATGCTTTTTCTTTCGTTCTTTCGTTCTTTCTTTCCACGTCGAGTCGCAACTTCCAGCTCAACATCCCCCTTCGGTCGCGCCGTAGGCATTAGCCCCTTTTGCTAACGGAATCCAATTATGACTCTCCGTTTCCAACCTTCCCCAACCATCGATCTTCTCCCTTCCCAACCTCACCACATATTCATGCGGCCCCAAAACCACGGCGCAACGTCAGAAATGTAATTTTTGGACCCGGTGCGTATTAACTAATCTTGACATCGGGGCAAGCGCGAGCTCACTAGGAGAGGAAAAAGGTTGCCTCAAATTTAGGCTTTTTTGCTTTGGTGCCCGAAGGGGGGGGGGGCGGTCTCATCGGGAACGGAATGGATGGAAAGGAGGGATGGAAGGAAGGAAGGATGCTTAGTTGAAGCTGCGGTCTGCAGCTCACCGCTTTACCCAAACGAATACCAAATGAACCGAGAAAGATGGGGGGAGGAAGGGAAGGATTAGCACTCCGTAATCCAATAGAATCCTAAAACCCGAAATATACGCTTATATTATAATCCACCGACGAGGAAGGGGGGACCTGGGTGTTGATTTTGTGGGATTAATGGCATAATAAGTGCTGTGAAAGTGTATTTGCCTTCGTAATATTTTGAAATCAGACTGACCTAATTTAAAGGTAGGCCGCAAGGTATCAACATATTACCAAAGCACGGCCACCGCTAATCGGTTTACCGTAGGAATTAGCGAAAATGCAGAAACGGTCGATTGAATTTAGCGGCCCTCGTCAACTTTTATTTTAAGGTCTATGACGTTCCGTTGAGATTTTGGTTCGGAACTTAAGAGACAAATGGATAGCGTTTTTAATTTTAAAGCAATTTTCAGGTATTCGTCAAATCGAACTTGTCGGTATTTATCCAGGATGAGATGAACCAACATTCCATATACATACACGGTTGGCCTTTGGATAACTTGACGGTTGCGTTAATTGATGTAAGTTTGTTTGTATTACGCTTTTATGAAATCAGTGATTATCATCGCTCTCAAACCCCTGCGTATTAAGCCAAAATACCCGGTATCGACCCACTCTACGTGCTCATGTAGCCATAGATCCCAATCCGGCTTCGCCTCAAAACCTCCAGCTCAAAACTTTCTCAGCAAATTTGTCTTTTTTCCCACCGCCCCCGAGGTGCTGACTACATTTTGTGTAGGACTTTCACCTAATTGCCACGGAATTTCCTGGGGGCCCCTTCTCCCTTCTCCCCCTGCCCCTATTACCACTCACAGCGCATAGTGTTGAAGAATAGCCTAACCCCACATCAAAAACTCATGTGGAGCCCGAGAAAAAGTGGATAAATGGATTTTCGTTGGGACAGTACCCCCCGAGTGGGGGACCCGGATACCTATTCGCCCCGGATTAAGAGATTTAGCCAGGTGGCCATTCCCAGTAAATACAATTTTCTCGCCTATAATTTTTGGGGAGAGGGGAATGAAAACGATTTGCCGTATTAGACAGACACAGATAAAGCATAGAACTTATAGGTTGATGTGGAATGGGATGATGAAAAGCATATTCTTGGCAACGATACGATACGGTTTCGCAACGGGTCACTTTTAATGAAGCATATGTATGTTTTAGAAATCGTTTAAAAGTTTTTTGGCTGGGGTGTACAAAAGTTTCCAAATTTCAGCCATTCAACTTTTTACCTCCGCCATTATGATATGTATACACGCCAATGTAGCCATTGTGAGCACGACCTCCCAAGGTAACTACTAATTTTACAAAGCTTCGAATCAGTTTAATTATCGCATGAGTCGCCGCAAATTGGACCCTCCGGAAGCTCACGTACACCCACTAGAAAAGCGTACTTTTCAGGGGCAATTTCTCCCTCCGCTTCTGCACGTCCACCCAATGCGACCAAGTCACAACCCGCGTCGCCCATGTCGCCGATATCCGGCCAAAAGTAGGCGACTCAATAACACCGCCACCACCTCACACCTAATCCCCCTCCCTACCAAAAATCCCTTGTCTCCATGTTGCTGAACGTCATCCGGCACTCCCCCCATCACCCCCGCCCTAAAAAATTAGAAAATCGGGATAATCCGATGGCTGATGGGGATTATGGCTATTTATGTTCACAATATTCTTGTTGACACACTTGCATTTTCTAACAAAAGGGGAAATCGTATCCGCCTTGTAGGCAGCCAAAAATCTGCATGAAAGGGACGTACGGGATAAGAATGTACACCTCTCTACTTTACAGGTAAAAGGCGGCGTACTATCCGGCTCTTTCCCAGCCTGGCCCTTCCTTCTCCTCATACCATTTGTAATAGTCATCGGGTGTTGTTGCTGTATCAGGAGCAATTACTGGGTGAGTTCATGGATGGAAAGCTTAAAATATTTTCCTGCTTTCCAGACCAAACCATATTTCTTTCCCGTATTCCAAACCGGCGCGAAAGCTGTTGATCAGCGGAATGATAAATTCAGACTTCGGGTTTGTCCCTTTTGGGGTGTTAGATCCCTCTTATTTTTAGAGTAAATTTGCTGGGGTTTCAAAAATGTGGAGGCGCACGTCAAGGGCCACGGAAGCCACAGAAGAAACTAATTTGCGGATGGAGGAGCGAGGCAGTTTATGTGTCAGGTGGATCCGGCGAATTTTCAATAGGGTTTCTGTATTGGAATAAAAAAAATAAGGAAATCTTATAAGGACCCATATCGGGAAGGTTAGACATAAGAGAGGTGGTTGAAAGGTTTCTTAGCAAACCAACAGCTTTTTTTGGTACATTATTTTGCGCAAATATGGTATTTTAAGTTTGGCATTTCCAGAAGTAGTATTTTTGTACATAGAATTAGGTGTTTCTTTGAAAATTCATAATCACGATATACATCATGTCAAAATGCCATAATGTCAAAATTTCATGGTGTCGAGATTCTATAATGTCGAAAGTTTGCAAAGCCGGATTTTGTTTGTGAAAACGCTCTACACGCCAATATTTCGTAATTAGGAAAGCTCAACATTCTCTATTTCGATATTATCCTCGGAATTGAGAAATTGCGTCTTTATGCAGTTTCAATATTATTGTAATGGCAAAATTACGAATTTTGACACTAGCAATTTCGACATTTTGACACCAAATCTATTGATTCACATATAACTTCCAACCACTTTAGCGACTATACCGGCCACCTAATCCCAGTCATCAGCCTCGGCAATATCCAAATCAAAGAGAAAATTGGACAGGTGAATTCCAGCCCCTCACACCCCCATTTGACGGCATTCTAAATTCCAGGGCGCATTTGGTGAGGTATATCGTGCCCTCTGGACAGCATCTAATGACCGGGAAGTCGCCGTGAAGACCATTAATTTGGCGGACAGCGAAACAGAAAAGGAGGCACAGGCAATTTCAGCCCCGTTGACGGAATTAATTAAAGGGTTAGGTCCTCTCCAAGCTGGATCATCCGAACATTGTACGGTTATTTGGGATGACAAGGGATGGCGGGAAAATGCTGCTTATTTTTGAGATGATGAATCTGGGTTTGTTGCCGCTGTATCAACATTTCCAACCACATTTTAGGAGATTTAAAAAGCTATTTGAAAGCCAGAAAGCCGTTGTGTTCCAATTATGCGCAATTTCCACCACCACTCGAATCCAGCGAATTGTTATTTATTACAAGACAGGTGTGTTCGATATCATTCTTGGGGGATTAAAAATCCAAGTGAGTCGGACGAGGGGTAACGAGAATCGTCACGTACCGGCGGAATGCCGAATTTTTTTGGTGGATTTTGGATGGGGTTTAGCGAACCTGCGGATGGACGAGGGATCAGTAAAATAACCAAGTTGCCACGGTTTTTGGGGTCTAAGGAATGGTGAGCGAAAACCCGGGATTTGGGTGAATTTACTTGCAGTTGGACTCTTAACAGCCACTTTAAGAGTAGCTAAAAAAATACGGAATATTTTTAAGATCGTCCGCGGCCTCTGCTACCTAAATTCTCAACAAATCGTCCATCGAGATCTCGCTGCTCGTAACTGTCTCGTCTCCGGCGCAGACGACACCAAAATCTGCGATCCCACCAAGCGAGCCCCATTTTGCGTCAAGGTAATTTATACAGAATATCATTATTTACCAGGCGGCAAAGGTAGGCTGGGCTGGAAATATGTATTTACCGTGCGGCCATAGTGCACTTTGCAATAACAAAAATGGGGCGGGGGAGGGGGGGTTGGTATGGAAAAGGCTGGAAAATAATGGAGGACAATCTAAGGAAAGGGCTAATTTAGATTTCCGACTTTGGGATGTCAAGGCGGTTGTATTCGCAGAGTGAATATTATAAGATGCAGACAGCTGGTGCGATGCTACCTGTCAGGTATTGGAGCGGAAGGAAAAGCTAAAAATGTGAAATATTTAGATGGCTCCCACCTGAAAGTTTGAATAGCTGCAGATTTAGTCATCATTCCGATATATGGTGGGTTATTTTAAATTAAAAATATATCAAAGCATACCACCAAGGCCTCCAATTTTTATTCCAAAGCAAGGCAGAAAAAAACTATTTGACCGTAATTTTAAACATCATCGAGAGGACCTACAAACCCACGCTGAAAGATACCTTAACCATGCGATTTTGTACGGCTTCAACACCGGAAGGGATATAACCGAGTATGAAAGCATTTCAGGGCACTTGGCGTCACAATGTGGGAGATCTTCACATATGGGGAAACCCCATTCGCGGATTTGGAGAACAACGAAGTGGTTGCCATCGGCTTGAGCGGGGTTAAGCCAGCAAGGCCCCCTCGATGTCCTGTCGAGGTTTCGAAAAAGTTGTTTTCATCGCTGTTGAATTTCTAGATCTACCAACTTATGGAAAAGTGCTGGGTGTTGAATCCGGAGCAGCGAATTTCAGCTGAAGATGCAATGCTTGAGCCGTGTTTACAAGTAATTATTGAATTTCAATGAAAGACCGCCAACATATTAAAAAACAGAATAAAATTAAAAGAATCGTTTATTATCGAATTTTAGGCATCACCATCAAGGCCTCGACCACCACTCCGTCATATCGACCCACTATCTTTCGAAGTGGATGTACCGGATGATATCGCGCCATTAATTAACGGGTCAAATTGTTAATCTTCATGTTTTCGAGGTGTATTTTTAAAGACATCATTCACCATTTCATGTGATTCGGGTATTATTTTTGTCAAAAACACTCCTTATTCCAGTGACCAAAACCCTCGCTACGGTTAGCCCCTCCTCAACCTCTAGTTTGCTAGAATTTGCCGATCAACGTGATGTTGTTTTGCATATCGATTCTTTACATATGTTTTTCAAAGATAAATTGTGATTTATAAATAATATTGATTTTCAAAACATTGATCCATATACATAGTATAGTCAGTAATAAAAATAGGCATAGACAGCTGCTTGGCACCAGAGATATTTCTATAAAGTAGCTGTATTTTTTTCAAAGTCTTAAATACTTACATTCGCATGGTAGAAATTAGAATGACTATCAGTATCGGTATCCCAAGAACATTGAGAGGATACACTAAAAAATAGCCTACAGGATTAAATAACTACTTACTGCAAAGCCTGACCCCGATTTTCGCCAATAAACATTTGGACCACATATTTATAGCTGGGGAGCTCTAAAGCTAAAACAAGCGCAAATTACTTAATTGAGATTTTGAATAAACCTTTCAGTCGCTCCCGCACCTCGCTTGCCAATGATTTACTAAGCTGTTTGCTCGTCTCAGCTTCAAATGGCTCTTCTGGGAGTTGGGACTTGATCACTTCCTCTAGGACGGCCCGGCCGATAGCGGAACGGAATCGGGAAATTTGAGGGTGTAAATTGAGGACTGAACTTACTTCTTTTCGACATTCGGTCTCAGGGTTAGCTCGCGATCATCATCCATGGCTTTGAGAAAGTGTCTGGTTGCATTGTCGCTTGGGTCCGTTTGCCCTGAGTTGCTATGGTGATTTTTAGCATAGCACCATAGCCGAACATATAATAAAAGCTAATAAAATACTGGGCATTGACGGGGCGCTTAGCAAACAAACAATCGTCTCTCACATCAAAGCCACGGGTCCTCAATCACCGACAAAAAGTAGCCCTTATAATGTCGACTTATCATAACAGTAATACATACGAGCTTTTTTCTGTTCAGGTTTATCTATGTTCTGGGCCCATGCTCCATATACTGCAAGCTGAAAAACGGTCCCCGTATTCAATTTTGTCACAAAAATGACACAGATATGCTTATATGTACACGTCTCATTTTGCTTAGCCCCCTTCTCCAAGCCGCCACGAGCCTTTCGACATCCTCTTCAGTCGGATCCCATCCACTAATAGACTCGACTTGTTACCACTTCCGTTGTCGTGGCCTCTAATGAATTTGGGTGATTGTACTGCCGGGGAGCGGGTGCTTCTCAACCCCCCTTCTACATACTCACCCCATTTTGCAACCATTCGTGACCCATAGAGGGCTATGGTAATGACCAGACAACACGAGAACGTACGAAAATTAGGGATTGCTGTACATACCCACCGATTTACACAAGTTTGAGCTAGCTGCATGCCGAGAGATTGTAAATCACGATGACGATTTTCAAAATTTTTATGGTATGCCCGTAAAATGAATGGAAATCTACAGAAAAATCTTTCCGAGCTTCAAGACCGCCGCTTCCGGCTATAGCCCTGATTTCCGGCATGATCTACGATTTGCGCGCGAAAAAAATAGATTCAACTGGGCGCCGGCAACATCTTTTCTGGCGAAGCCCAAGCTAAAGGTAGAACCCGATCTGAAATTGCCAGAGTATCTGTGAAAATATCTGGCTTTCCGGAACAAGATTTCCAAATTATCGTCGGCTCCCTTGGAAAGTTGTATCCCTGTTGTGGCGGACAAAAGGCCAATGCTTTGCCGGGCTCCATCCACATTCGATGCAAATTGGATGTCGCTGGTGTGTGTCTCTGTATGTGTGTGGCTATATATGAGAGGGATAAGGAACGACGACGACAGCCTGGTCCGACACTGATCCGCATTGAAGCAGATGGCGCGCCCTTTATGGCCGAACCTGATTAGCACAGGGCGCTCGCTCAGAGAGGTTTTGGAGGGCATCCGGAATGGGTAGATGGAGGGCATTGGGACCCTCCTGGTCATAACCATACCGGAATTGTCATTATTCTCCATGGGGTAATATAGGGGCATCCCCCATTAGAGTGGTTTGGGTCTGGAAGGGTGCTTTTGAAATGGATGATGAGCATATGCCGGTGATGGTATCTGTTTTTGGTGGTGCCGAAGCAACAGTAATGGAGCTGGATATATGAAAAAATTGCTCGAAATACGCCAGGGGGATGATGACGCATTAATGAGTTATATTAGGCTCTCGGTTTGGCCATTTTCGGTTCGTATTTGACGGTGGTTCTCGTCTAATTTCGTTTAATGGATTTTTCACGTCGCTAATGATCTATTTTCACAGATTTTTGCTGATTCATGCTAATTCAAATTCTTCGATTTAACTTTGTGAAGAAATTCACCTTCTGCTGATGCTGCATCACCACCACTAAACCTTTTTCTAAAAATTCGTTTTGGTTCGTCAGAAAATAGTGCACGCTTGATGAAAATGAAAGCAGCGTGTATAAACAGAGATTAGCAACATGAAAACTGCGCATTAAAACGAGCGAAATGAACGTGGAGAATAGCTTGTGTTTTCAAAAATGTCCTACCTCGAAAAATTCAAAATTTCTCTGCACCGTGCTCATCTGCCTCAACTGACCACCTCGAACTACGTGGGTGAGAGCGGGAGATTGGTGTGGAATGATTGGGAACTGTTTGTGTACAGTCTTTGGCCCCAATCCGCTCAGTCCACCGCGCGTCCTGAGGATGAGGGGGGCCAAAGCGCGACCCCACGCGTCCCACCATCACAGCCCCGAGGCGCTTCCCAGGTGCAACGTTTCATTCGACGATACGCTTTTGCCCTGTGGGATATTTGATTTTAATGATTTACATAAGTGTATCGGTTCTTTTACTTCCCACAGTTTCGCTGTTTGGTACCTAATATGACTATCGATTGACCGTAGAATATCGATAGCCCGCACATATTAGGATCAAGCTCAATCTAAAGTATTTCAACACTCCCCCAAATTAACGATGATCGTTCCCCCAAAAAAACAATTGAGCAACGGTCCCCTCCTAGGGCAGCCAACATTTGGCAGACGTCGAAGATGATTCATGCCCTCCCGGAAGGCATTGGTGGAGACGGAATGACCCCAAGGGCCATGTCCCTAGGGTCCTTCTCCTACTCCTTTCCCTCATCCTCCTCTTCTACCCCTTCAGGCGCAACCGTCTCGAAATGCCCAAATGCATCTCCTCTTCTCCTGTCGACCCAGGCTCGGCCCCTCCTTTGTAATTACTTTTCAATTGGCCCCATTCTCTCTCGGGACGGGTCGGAGGGGGGCTGTGGTCGAAATTTGGGCTTGCAAAAACCGTGGAACTGCTATTTGGGTGGTGGGCCCTAGGGGTCGTCTGGGATGGGCCGGAAGGAGTATTAGCCTAGCCACCAACACCACGGCATTCGGGTTGCGAAATGTTGAAAAAAGACGTTGTGGGCAAAGACCAAAAGCCTGGTGCGGGGTGAATGGGCGAACAGCTACGTGATGTGGAGGTGGAATTGGGTTTTGATGTGTAATGGATGCTTTTAGGTGTGGAATTGGAGCAGATGAGGGGTACGGTAAAGTATGCGAGTTTTAATTATAGTAGCAACAGTCCGTATTAAGAGAAGGGAACAGTGATGTGACTGTTTTTTGTCGCCGCTTTGCGCCGCCAAAACTCCTTTACCGAATTTTTATCTCGCTTAGCTTCATAGTTACTTGCTGAGAAACGTGTCAAAAATGCAATCCATTTGCAGAATTGGTTAACTTAAAATTTTCATTATGAATTTACCATTCGTCCACCCGGAAAAAGTAAAAATGTAGTAAAAATTTTGCAATAGCTATTGTAAAAGCTTTCTCAAGATCTCGTATTTTTTGAAGGCCGCTCCCCTGCTGTCGGGCGACACGCGTTTGACAGTCAGCAAAAATTCGAATCCTCATCTCAATTCAGAAAATAAATATATAATGTTTAAGGAATTAATACAGTCCCCGGTTTCCAAACTGTTGAAATTAGCTCAGAACCTAACAATGTTTGAATGTCCCTATCCTACTGTTGACCGGCACGCGTTTGGCCATGGTGGCCCTAGATGGGGGGTCACGGTCGTAAATGCATGGGGGAGGCCCGGTGTGCATTTCGCATGGCCCTTCCTTCCCTTCTTTCTCTCGCTCTCCTTCCCTCTCTCTGTCCCTCTATACCACCCCTCTACTGCCATCATCAATGCACGCTTTATTGTCCACAGAAGGCAACGAAGGGGGATCTGTCTTCGCATCTTGTCGGCTTGGTTTTTGCCTGGTTGCGTGACCAGAAGCCAACCCCGCGGTCTCGGGGAAGGGGTTCTATTCCTACATGATCCGAAAAGGCGAAGCACCCCCTCCCAACTTCCTGTGGCCCATCTGCCGGCACATTGTCTCTTCATGGCCTGGGTCGCTCCAAACACTCGTAATCCAATAATGGACGAGCCATCCCGGGGGGTCGGGTCTTTCGGGAGGGCAATCGATCCCAATCTAATTCAGGAGACCGACCTCCGCCACACTGAGCTCCATTCCTTCTTTTCCGGTGGTGGAGGAGGGGGAGCTCCAATCCGGAACAAGCTGTGTGCTTGATACGCGGCCGGTGATTGGCCCTATTAGGGGGTGGGGGACGAGGATTGGGGGATGGACAAAGAGGATTAGTCGTAGATTGGGGGATACCATTTTGGAAACGTATACCAGAGGAATGAGCTCGTAATTTATATAGGAAGTCTGAGGAAACTAGCATTTCCGGTCAAAATGTCGTGGTATTTAAGGCATCAACCTAGATGGGAAAAACGTTCAGTAATGAACTCTTGTTATGAATTAGCTGTGGTATCGAAGTGGTACGGTAGCTTTTAAAGGAGCCATTTTACCCTTTGATATTACCAATGAGTCATATCCTCTCATCAATTATTCTGCCCCCCATACCAAAAAAGGCGCATCACAACAGTCCACCCATTGTTGT